AACAGTGGACTAACAAAAAAATGCCCCCGCATCTCCACCGAAGAAACCGGATGGAAGAACCCTGAAGCCTTCAAAGTCCAAGGAAACGCGCTTGGCGTGTTCTGCCCATCGAGATCCTCCGAACGCGGTCGTGTGGAGGTTTCTTGACGCATTTTACGAGTATACTGTCCTTGATACTGACTTACTGCCGCACTTGTATCAATTTACGAAATTCATTGAGAATTTTGCGAAGGAGGGGCACTAAGAGGTCAAAGACCTCGGGGACCCTCACATCGATGCAAGAGCGGGACGTTGGCCACATAGTAGATCCAAGCGCAAGACGCAAAAAGACGAAGACGGCTTGGCCTCTTCCATCGCAGTCACTCACCACCAGAGGCGTCGCATGCGATGTGAGTGCTGTAAGTCGCACAGGTGTTCCATTCTAAGCCGCCGTGTTCGAGCGTGCATGAACAGACACACTAAGCACAATTCGAGCGAGTTTTTGCTGATGCGCAGCATTTCTTGCAACAAGCGGTCCCCGTGGAAACCTGTCACGGGACGGTACGGGGTGTTAGTGTGCTTCGCTTCCTTTCTCCATCAGTGATGTCGTCGTGCGCTTGCGTCAGGCCCATCTCTGTCGACGCTAGCCTGCGCTTCTGTGACCTCTTTTACGCGCCAGTACTCATAGTTTACGCTAGAGAAGGCATTGCCAGAGCGAGGCGGTCACTAGACCACCTTCTTCCCGTGGTTGCAGGGGCGCTGGGTCAAATGTGGAGAAAAAGTGCGCCGCAATGCTCGTTGACATTTCCCAGTCCGACTCCGAGGAAAAAGAGGACAAAGAGGAAAGCGAAGGAACATTGAAGATTCAAGAAAGGCCCTAGATGCAGGAATTGCTTCTGAAGCAATGCTGACGCCTCCATTCGACTTCATCGAACGTTTATCTTGCGTCTTGGAGCGGCCCTTGTTGCCAACTAGCTGCCAAAGCCCACTTTTTTGCCTCTTGTCAAAGTTCAGAGTTTCTTCAAACGTCCCTGAAGACATGGGAAGTGGACCTTCCGAGGCGTTTTGTCTCATGGTCGACTGATATCACTGGGCTGGGAAAACTAGAATCGGACCTTAGCACTGCAGGCTGGCAGCGGAAAATGCGAGTGCCGGACTGGTTGATACCTTATGCGCATTGCTGCAAACCCCATACTTTTTTCATCCCTCCATCGTCGATTCCAGTCGAGTCTGGGAACCTGTCGACTAAACTTACCACGAACACAGTGTCAGCTTCGGGGCCATCGCAAGGCCCAGCTCCTCCTCGATAAGTTTCAACTTGAGAGCAAGGACTACAACATTTGCCTTCGTACATCGACTTAGCTTGTCTTCTGCAACGCTTCGCGGGGTCGAGTCTGCTCATTGATGATGTCTCTTCAACTTCTGGCTAGTTCTCCCCACGCATGGACCCTTCTCACGAGCACACCTCTCGGAAATTTCAGTTCCACGCATCTCGACATCCAGAACTTTGATATTTCCTGATCCGAATTGGCCAATAACCAGTGTCATTCCCGCTGCAAGCTCTTTAATTGAAAGTGTTTGAGCCGTCCCAGTGCTACCCCTTTCATCCACCCTCACTCGCTTCTTTTCCCCTCAATTCACGATGCACGCGGGACGGCTAATAATACCACAGTGTCTTAAGGGGAGTAGCGCTTGGCGAGAAGTTTTCCAGGGCTGGACTGAAGGCGGGAAAGTGGGAATGGATCTATCATCTTCCCCCTTGGAAAATCGTTGATAATAATAGGCAGAATATCGGACATGCAAGTTTAGAGCGGCACTGTGTTGCGGGTGTGAATGGAGCCCTACCTCTTGAGACGTAGGAGAATCAAAATTGACAATTATTTGTCGGGACGTTTGGTGATACTGAAATATTCCCCACCGTTGGAACATGCTGCTCACACGCCCCTATATCCTATGTGATGGAGACCTTGAAGTCAATGGTTGGTTGGATCTACTCTCGATGGAACTGTCAGGATCCGGGGACATGGTGAAGCAATCGGCCCAAACATGATAGTGTAGCCGTACCAAAATATGGAGGCACACCAATTCATTCGTACTACGAGTGGGTGTGCGTTGTACGTGTATCACGTTGGCTGCTTCCTGAAAGGGGGTCTCATCCAAACTCTCTTCTGCCCGGGACGATCGGGATGAGCGTCGACTAAACATTTCTCCAAGAAAAGAAGTGTGGGAGGGCGGCTGAAAGAGGGAGGGGAGAGTCAGGCACACACACACACACTCACACACACTATTATTAGCAGTCTTTGTTGTTGGCCTAGAAGTTGGCGGTGAAAGTGGTTGAGATTGAAGCAGCTCGAAGAGGTCCGTCCACCACACGTCCACATGCCACGAGGACGCTACAGCATCAATGATGACCAGCATTAAAGCATTAACGCACGAGGGGCTTATTATTATACCCAATCTTACCTCTGGGAAGATCATGGAGCCTCTGATGGGAAAAGATGACTTCAACTATCCCCAGTTTGGAAAGCGGGAAGTTGTCAAATTTGCCACATCGATGGCAACGGGTCAGAGGCTGTAAAAAAAGGTTGACTTACATGCAGTGCAGTGATAATACGACACGGTTCAAGTACACGCCGTGCCATTTGATGCCATGCGATACCATCGAAGTAGGAAAGCATGGATTAAGAGGATGGCAAAATGACAAAATCGGGATCTCAGCGCATAATGCACCCCGGACGGTTCTGTTTTGTAGGCTTGGGTCGATCTGTCCGGCGTAGGCATATGACCAGAAAAAAGAGATGAACTACCGGCCGGGCATTATCGATCTTCCTTCTTACTTTTCTTACCTTAGTACAGTTCGAAACATTTTCAGTCCTGGGCTCTTGGTTCCCTCCGTCTCGACTTCGTATGTGCTCGGGATGGGCGAGGAAGTCGAAACAATTCAGCAGCTCCACCTGTTGCAGTCACAATTAATACTTGCGAGCTGTAATCCTTCCTATAATCCTTCCCACCATTGGGACCTCTTCGTAACAGAAAGAAAAAGGAAAGAAAAAAAAAAAAAAAAAGACACTGCATTCGGTGTCTGCAACTGTGTGGCGACCAAGGGGATCGACCAGTCACCGTCCAGTGACAATGGCAAGCTTACGCATGCTGTGCCGCGTTCTATCATTGTTACGACGGTCAGAGAGAGGGAGACACAGACGAGCGCCAGGTAGTTGAGAGTCCGGGTCTATATCAGCCTTCTTCTATGGACAGGCATTACCCGCATATACCCCACTTCTTTTGCAACACCCCTTCTTGACCCTTCCAACCACCCCGGATCCCTGCCGGGTATCCTTACAAAAGGGGAATGGTCAAGCAACGCTTAGAGCTCCGGCAAGGGTTTAAGCGGTTTCACTCCGAGTTCCATGCTGCAGGGCCTATGAAGTACCTTCGCTTCAGGATGACGAAGGAAAAGTACGAAGCAGCAGGTTGACCAAAGTGCGAGAGCCGATTGTGAGAGTGTGCGAGTGTGTGAGAGTGTGTGAGTGTGCGAGTGTGTGAGAGGGGTGCTCCTGAAGTACGCTACTGTACTTCGTAAGGTTGTTCTGTCACGGTCGTGTTCTCCTCTGCGCTCTGTCGCAATGCTGTGCGTTCATCCCGTACTTGGTGTGAAGCCTCAATGTTGAGCTCAAACATCCTGATCTTAGTGAGCTCCTCTCCCACCCGCCTTCCCATCTTCTCCCATCCCCATCCCCGGAGTTCTGCCCTGCTCCGTCCTTTGCCCCCGCTCGCTCTGTCCCTTCGCGTTAGATTACCTTCTGCCCGCTTGTCAACCGGCGCAGTGGCGGAGGGTTGCGCAATTTCTAGCATGGCAGGCCGTTCAAAATGTTTTAACTTCAACGGCGTCGAAGGGTGCCTGGGTCCCTAGAAGCATTGCATGACTGGTGGCACACGCAGTTCTTCGATTATTCTAGGCTAATTAACCTTTCTCTTTTCCTCTCCACTTTTCAGGATTTGCCTTCCGACTTGCAAGGTCCCTTTGCTTCTCAGGTGGTTGACCAAGCACCCTGTGGGCTAGGGGACGAGTTGAATCGAAATTGATGATGTGCAAGGTGCGATTGCTCCACAGTCTGGCGCAGTCGAGTCTGGTGGAGAGAGGCCAGTGTGCCTGGGTGGATGATGGATATCTCGAGATCAATCGCATCGCAACATAGCGCGGCAGTCCTCAGACACAAAAACCCACCCTGACCAGAGATCTTCCACACCCCCTCGACGAAATGGAAATAGCTCTAGTCAGTCTTATTCCCAGGGTCGAGTACGCAGTAGTGTACTTCGTTACCTGTACGAGGTGGAAGGTGCAATTGAGAGGGACAAAGCCCTCCAAGCCCTCCACTTCACGGTTCACCCCGCCACACCCCCTGTACTTCTAGTAGTACTCCTCCAAGCGCAGCACTTTGAGGAGTACTTTGGCGAGTCTACCGAGCACAGTGTGAACATCTGCCACTCCTTCATCGCTCCTCCTCCAAGAACCAGAGTCCAAACGAAGGCCAAGGCCGGTCTGGCCCACGATCAATCCCACAGTACCTCTGTAGCGTAGCCTCCACATATGCAAGAGCAAGGCCTCCCTGCTCAAAGTAGCATCAAGAGCAAGAGAGAGGAAAAATAAAAAAAACCTGCACCGCAAGCGAGGTGGACCCTGGCTCATCAAGACATGCAGTCTAGTTTGCATGCGAAGTACGCTACGCTTTACAGTGGCAAGGATCAGATCCCTCGACTTCGTCTTCCACCCGTGCATTTTCCTATCTCTCCGAAGTCCGGCAGAGATATAATAGCCTCGTCCCTCGACTTGTTCAGCCTATCATCCCGTCTTTATACCGTGGGAATTTATATCCTCTCCCCCCCCTTCTCTCCCGTTTCCTCTCAAACGGTCGCAACCCCCCTCCTCCTTCTCTACTCACGCCCATTAGTTGCGGCAGATATCCCGAGCCTGTTTTGGTCCTATCCAACATTCTTACCCCCCACACCCACCATCCGACTCAATGGCTCACATTATCAGCTGCATGGCCGATGCCGACCTTGGGCCTGGCACTCTCAACTCTTATATAGCAAAGCCAGCCTCCCCACAACCTCCCAATGAATCGGTATGCAACCGCTTAAATTCTCCGTCTTGTTGTCGAACCACCTTGCGTCATTACCAGATGATAGGTTCTGGTTTAGAGGTGTATATTTACTGATTTTCTTTATTTTTCCCCAACCTCCAGATAACTTCACCAACACAGCTGCCCTCTGCCTCGGCCGAGAAGCAGCCATTCGCCTGGAGAATGCATCAACCAGAGACCAGGAAGTATCAACTCTTCCCCAAGGGTGCCCAGACGCCCACCACCAAGGTGCTGGACCCCGAGCAAGCCTTTGCCCACGCAATGGCCCAGAACCCCAAGACCGACAAGAACGACAAGCTTGCGGCGGCTGGCAATGGACTCAGGATACGGATCAAGGAGCACAACCTCACCAGGAGGCGGAAGATTAGCGTGCCTGAGCTTGGTCCTATGACTACAGTACAAGAAGTCGCCATGGATTCCCGTGAGTTCTATTTCCCAACGCTTCAATTGGGGAGACGAGGATGAGGAGGGGGAGGGGGAGGACTCCGGAGCTAACCTTCTCATCCGCAGCGACCATCCCTGGAAGACCACCTCTACATGAGCGATCCGTCAGCGCCCCCGGCCAGAGCTGGAAGCAGCAGAACCAGATTCTAGATCTCTCTTACCACTACAGCCCCATCGAGGAGATTAATCTCCCCAGAAGCATCACACCCGTTCTCGAGACCCGAGCTCCTACACCTCCCAGGCAACCCCTTTCGCCCAAGCAACTCGCTCCTCTCGTCATCCCTAATCACCAAGGTACTCTCCCTCGCCTTGCCAAGCAGATCTCTCTCACTCGCCTTCGATCCGGGAGCACTCCCGTCGATCCTCTCCAAGTTCGCTCCGCGAGGACAGATGACTCGCCCAGAACCCGAACACCGTTCACGCCTCTCTCCTCCAGCTCAACTCAGATGACCAACTCTACCCTTCCTACGCCCATCTCCGCCCCCATCATCGAGTCTCGAGCGTCTCCAAAGCCTTGGGAAGCCCCGAGGGTCACTACTCCCACGCAATGTATCATTGAGAGGGCCGGCACTCCCAAGACCGACGAACCTCGAAGCGCCAACGCCGTTCTCTACGGACACAGGAGAGGAGTTTCCGAGTCAGGTAGCATTATGGATAGAGGTCGCCCTAAGAAGAGGAACGACGTCCGAAACAACAACGGTCCTCTCCTAAAGAGGTCCGATTCCAAGAAGCGAAGCCAGAGCGCCGAGCGAAGAGCCTTTGAGCAACTCCCCAAGGGCTGGCGGGCTGCCGAGGCCGTCAACGCTTTGACGTCCAACGAGGTCTCGGAGCTCTACAGGCAAGCGGTAGGCCAAGCCGCCCGCTTCGAGGTTCTCAGGAAGGAGGATGTGGAGGCCCTGTCAAGAGTATGTGGAGCTGGAAATGAAATCCCCGCTGGCGTGCAAGTGGAACGAAGGTGGACTAACATGGAATTTTAGGAACTCCGCCACCTAGACGAGCGAACGGAATACCTTCGCCGCACTTACACCTCTCTCCGTGCTGGACGGCGCAATCTTCACTCCCGCATCTGCCAGTACCTCCGGTCTCCACGTGTTGCCAAGTTCAGTCACGATTCGATGCTTAAGCAAGAAGAGGCTCTCGCTGAGCTGGATGCCTCTATTGACGACTGGGTTACCAAGCTCGAGCAGGCCGAGAACCGCCGCACGCGGGTCCGCCAAAAGCTTCTCGAGCACGTTGCTGCAGCTGCCACGCTTCAGGGCACCGGTGCGGCCGCTGCATCCGAGTCCCTGCAGCTAGCGATGGGTATCCGCCCGCCTCAGCAACAATACAACGGTGTTGGCAATATCTCCACACCTCCCCGTAGCCCCACCAAGACCAACTTCTCTACCACGACCGCTACCGCTACCGCTACAGCTACCGCTACTGCTGCTCCTACCCACACCATCTCTACCTCACCCCACCGCACCACCGCTCACGTACCGAGCACTATTTTGGAGCAGCCTCTGGTTGAAGAAGCTGCTGCCATTAGCGATGATCGGAAGAGCACCATGACTGCCCTTAGCCGACGAGACTGTGAGAGCATCCGCGTCTACGCTGACAGCGACGTTTATGCTCTTCTCGCCGATGTTGAGAGCGAGTTTACCAAGATGACCATTCCCATTGATTCCCCTACCCTGAGCGATGCTGAGCGACAGGAGCTTCATCGTGCGCGAAGCCACGACATGCTCTGCGGCGCTGAAGATGCCGCCGCGGCCGAAGCTCCCCTGTCCCAGTCTCTTCCCGAGGAGGCCACCACCACCACCACCACCACCACCACCACCAAGACCCCTTCGGCTCAAGCTGCGGCCGCCGAACCCATCTACCTTACCAACGCTGTCTTCCGACCCAATGCTCCTCGCAGGTCCCTTACTGCCTCCTAATTTGCCCTAACCCCTTGGCTTCCTTTTTCTTCTCTTCTTCTCGTGCCTCTTTTTTTATTACACATATTTTAACGTGATGATTATCCACACTGACGCTCCTTTACGCTTCAACGGCCGACCCACAACTATCCTTTGAACAATATCTTATTTTTTATTCTGATACCCCTTCTTAGTCGTTCATTCCGCCAACTCTGGCTCAACTGATCCATCTTATTTTACATGTATTCTCCCACCACTATTTTCATTTTTCAGTCCTAGGTGCATCAAGCCTGGCGTTTATTATTCCTCGGAGTAGCATTAGATCGGAGTGTACCTCGAAAAGAGGACACAAAAAATCACTTGCATCCTGTATACTTGCTTATTTTCTTTTCTTCTTCATCTTCTTCTGTTGTTTGCATTCAGGAGGCTGGCTAAAAGAAATTGGGCTTTCTTCATTTCCCACCCCATTTTAGGAAAGATTTACGCTTCCAAGCATTGTCAAGATTGGCCACCAAACAGTTACAGTGTTGTATTTTACAAAGTACAGTTGAAATGTAAAAAGAATATCAATCAAATATCAAATCAAAAATGTCGAATCGATATCAATCTGCAAAGTGTTGGTGCACCTTGTTCTGGACTTTGACTTTTGGTTGTGCACTTTGAAAATCATGCCTCGAAGCGGTTAGCTGCGCCGCCGGTAAGCTAAAAAGCCTGAAGAGCTGCAGGGTCGCCTGTCCTGAAACTGTCTAAACGAGGGTTTATTACGAAAGAGCTTGGACATGGATTTTAAACTTATTTCTCTTCGTATACTGAGGTACATCCCTCCGCCTTGGTTCCTTGCCATCATCGTCCTAACTCGATTTGACGCTTTTAACGAGTCTGCAGAAGCCCATCTCGCAATCTTGCAGTAAGCCCCATCACCGACACTTTGATCGAAGAGGTTAGGGGCGGGACTTGGCGAACTGGTCCCTGAACTGGATCGGGAAATAGATGAACGTTTTATTTTTGGCGCTGCATGAACTACTGGAGTTGCCCGCGGGCGCATTTCGGTGATGATGATGGACTACATTAGCGTATTACAACATTGAAGCCGAATGACAAGGCTGAGATGAACAGAGAGTGAGAGGGGGGCGTGTTGGTTTATGGGCCCTTGAAGGATTCGAGAGACGCACGCACGCACGGATATCGTTTCGGAGGCGCTTGTGCAGAGAAGTTGGAGTTTGCTTACTTCGTACTTGCTCTTGCTTTTGGCCGTCGGTCGATTTCTTGGACTTTCTTGTTTCGGAAATGGGGGCATGGAGCGGGTGAGAGGCGTAGGATGATGATCTGCTGCTGTGTGATGCAGTGATACAAGAGGTGGGGAGTAGATTCTTCGCGGGTGGGCCGATCGGCGGGATGGGGTGTTGAGATTTGCGGGATGCGGAGGTGCCAATCTACAGTGTTGCTTGGGTTTACCAAGCTTTGCTCTTTGTTGTTCTGGGAGGCATGGTTGATCGATTGAAACGGGTCCTCGGAATTGCTTGAGAATTGGCGAAGCTCGCACTCTCGGAATTGGCGTCATTGGGGACGGTGCCGAGACAATAGCATGAATCCCAACCACCACGGGACCCTGCAAGAGCTGAAAGCTCTCCTTCTCTTCCCCATTGATGGATCCCCACTGCCAACACCCAACACGTTATTCCCGATATAAACTACGATGGAGATGTTGATCTTGAATGTCAGGAAAAAGGAAAGAGGGTGGGGCTAGGGTAGTCGGCAGGTTTTCCAAAGGTAATCTATCTGGCAGCAAATTGGCAGAGCCCACCCGTCCAAGTAGTTATGTCGTCTCTTCATCTGTCGTCTGCTCTCTCTGCTCGTCTGGGAGATGGGGGACAGCGGACAGTGATATTAGTGGCTTCCCTTTTCGGAAGTATGTAGAGATCTAATTGGTGCTGTTCGTAGCAACAAACCGCCACCAGCACCAAAGATTGAAGACGACACAAGACAACGACTTAAACGTCGGGAGATAGACATTTGTAGGGCAGCGTTTAAACTAGACAAAATCGAAATCGTAATAAGGAAGACTCGACCTTGCAAAGCGAGGAAAGATGGGCTGTTTCTGAATCCAATGCTTAACTTCAAAATTTGGGGCGGTTGGCGTGGGGCTGTGATTGGTTTATAACACCCACTAGCCGAGCTCGAAGCTTAGGGCAAGATGGCTGAGCGGTTAAAGCGTTGGCCTGCTACCAGTAGTGAGCCAATCCCTTCGGGGGCGTGAGTTCGAATCTCACTCTTGTCGCTCTATTTTTTCCCTTGCTTTTTATGCGTTTCTGCGAGAGTTTTCATCCCTGTCCCCTTTCTTCAAGTATGCCAATTTTCTTTTTTTACTTGTTTTCCACCTTCCACTTCAAAAATATATCAATCTCATTTTTTTCTCATTTCAGTAAAAAGTGAAAGTTATGCACAGTCGCTCCCGTCCGGCCACTGTTGCTTTCTCTGGCAGTCGATGGATATGCGCCGAGTCACAACTGTGAGGCATCACATCATCAACATTTCTTGGTCCTGGGCGTATTACCCACTGCATATCGTAGAGAATATAGAGTCTGGGGAACCGAGCTAGCCAAGGATCGTCAAACGATCCCTTTAATCGACGTCGATCTGCTGTATTTCTACACTTCGCCAACGAGGAAAGACAGAACGTCATCCGGCACAGCCTTCTACGGCCAACTCCGAAGAAGGACCGGGGAGGCTGAAACGATGATCTACGGCCAGGCTACGATTCCATGCTGGGATACGTATGACTCGGCACGTTTTCTTCCTCTCCTTTGATGATTGCCTGGAGATTTTGGCAAGCCCTCGATACACCCTGTCCGCCACTGGCAGCTGACCTCTGCATCAAGAGGGGGGCCTGGTAATGACGACAAGGGGGCAGGGGATAATCAGCCTACACTAAGCCCGCCTTTGCCATACCGGTCCGCACTAGAGGGTGAGGCTACTCTCGTCTCTCGTCACTCGTGTAATGTATACACCGCACTATGCCTCGGTACTTGCTTAGCTCTCAGGTCGAAGAGTACTAATGTGGGGTGAAGATAAGCTAAAATGTTGGCAGGGTCGGCGCAGAACTAAACTACATACGCACTTGCTATACATGGTGTAATAGTGTAGATCCCGAGGAGTGCACTTCCGAAGCCTAAAGACCCTTCCGGAGTGGGAGGAAGCCACACTTTACGAAATTGAGTGCGGTTAGACTCTGCTTAGCCCACTAGGGTGGGTATGCACTATAGGTGAGCTCCCTAACGGCGTCGTCGTTCATTATGCCGGAGTGGGCTAGTCTGAAGCTTCTCGTCTGGGATGTGTCGTGGGGCGTGCAGCTACGAGTAGCCTTGCTTGACGACAGCACCCTTCGCGCATAAAGTGGCAAAAAATGGTTGCATGGTCCTATTCACCTTCACCACAAGGGTAGGGGTTGATCTAGTAGGCATGGACGAGGTGGGCTAGCACTTTATCCCCGGAGAACAAAAGTGCTCAGGGTCAAGTTGCGTGGTGGGGAAGAGGAATCTGAGAAGTTGGCCATCCTAGGAAGGGGGTATGGCATCCAGAATCATCGGCGGAGACCAATGCCCCGGTGGTGGGGTGTGCGACAGAACCCTTTTGGCCGGCTCACGGACGGCAGTGGATATGTGGGTAGAAGCTAATTCTGTCGCCTGAGCTAGAGGAGTAGGCTATATTCGGGACAAGGGCGAGGGACGGATAGTGGTGAAGCCTATCCGGACAAGGATAGGTTCACTTTAGCATTCGGTTGATGCGCCCGCAACCCCCGTCAACGTTGTGTATAGCCTTGACAGAAGGGAAAGCTTATCAGTGGAGAGGCGGACAAAGGGCTTAGCGCATCGCGAACGGCTCTCCAGTCTCGGCATCCTGGCCGTTGCGAGGAACTGGCCCGTGGTTTCGCCGAGTACTCCACGACTGAGGGGATGAGCAGGAGAGATGCCCGCTTCCTACGAATGAGAAGCGTGGAAGCTAGCACACTCTTGCCGCCTGTCTGATGAAGTGGCTGAGGTATTAGAGATCTGGTGGAGCAAGCTTTCCGTCCACGACAAGCTTCGTGTCCTTCCTCCGAGGACACTGTATACTTCGTACACATGAACATCCCTAGAGGTAGATCCTTTGTACGTGGCATTCCGCTATCTCGAGCTCATCTGACACCATCACTAGTGATTGATCCGGCTTAAACTACTAGCCAGCTGGAGATAGATATCGGCCCTGGCTTGCCTTGGAGCTTCACAAGACTCGAGCCGAGATCTGCGCGGTCACGGCCGAGGCAGCAGCAGCCCTTGTGCAAGCCTTGCTATCACTTTCCTGACCGACTCGACACATTCCTCTGGCCATTCCCCATTGTTACACTGTCTAGAAGTTCGCGGCTTTGAGTTTTAGTATGAGGAGAAGAGCCCTCTTCCTGGCACGACTACGATCTGCTCTAAACTGAACGGTACTGTCATGTCAAATCTGTCCAAGTATCAGGCACTATCTGAGATGCCCGTGATGTCGCCATAACCGACGGGTTTCTCTCATTTCTAAGACCGACCTGCCCTACGTCTGTTGGCAGTTTTGACACATTACACATTTGCGAAAGGAAAGTCACATCAGTTTTCATCCGGTGTGAGAGAGAGGTAATGGAACAGTTTTCACAGAACAGTCTTCATACATCAATTCGTAGAATAAGAACATGATAGAAGAAGAGATGAAATCCAAATCAAGAAACATTCTCGTAACGCAATCATAACCATAACCCGTACATCTCATCCACACATGTACTCTCATTCATATGCCATCGTAAACAGCAGCCGTGAAAGTAAACGTGTAGGACAAAGGAAAGAAGGAAACAAAACATGCAAAAGGAAAAACAAATACAACCATGAAAAAAAAAAAAAAAAAATCGACCAACTTTTCCTCCATCAAGTAGTCGAGGTAAAGAACCTCTTGATCGCGGCCCTGAATCCGCCCTTCTTCTCCTCTTCCTTCTCCTTGGCCTTCATTCTCTCCTCCTGCCTAGCCTTCCTCCTCGCCTCTTCCGACTTGGACATTTCGCCAATATCCGTCTTGGACCTGCTCAGCTTTTCCTCCGATTTGCGCAGCTTATCCTCGGACTTGCGACGGCTCTTCGAATCTTCATCCCTGGGCTTTGTCAACTTGGTACGAGAGACATCTTCGGACCTTCGGCTGCTGCGTCCAAGTCTGGACCGCGTGGTGTTCGATCGCTTAGGTACTGTCTCACGAGATGCTGAAGGCGGGACGGTGGAGAGGTCCTTGGGGCCATCTAGAATGCCCCGGTCCTTCATATCGAGGAACTTCTTGGACTCTTCGGGAGCAGTAGATCGTTCAGCTTGGCTGCGAGAAGTGCCAGGGCGAGAGCGGCGATGGCTTCGTTCTCTATCGCCGTTCTCTACGGATTTGCCCTTGGACTCGCGAGGAGCTTGTGGGCTGTCTTCGGCCTTCTCTCGCTCGCGCTCCTTTTCGCGCTGGCGTCGTTCCTCTCGGCGTTTCTCGTGAGCGGCCTGCTCCTCGGGCGTGCGGTGGTGACGCCTGCGGGATCGTTCGGAGCTGTCGCCGCCGCTCTTAGGCGTCCGGGGGGGAGTCTCGGGGGGCGTCTTGAAAGAGCGGGTAGTACTTTCGGAATGGGAGCGACGTCTGTGAGAGTGCGAAGAGTGGCGTCGGCTATCGGAACCCTCGCCTCCTTCCCTGCTAGATCGTGAGTGATGGCTAGATCTGCGCCTGCGACGGCGCTCTTCTCTAGTCCTTTCCTTGTCCTTAGTATCATCTGCGGAAGTCTCTTTGTCTGTAAACAAGTCAGCAACCGACCGGCGCAACGCAAGCTCCACACTAGGTCTCCCTGCATCATCATCAGCAACGACTTGGGAAGAATCCATCTGCGAATCCACATGACCAGGAGTGGTAGTAGAGTCTTCCTTCTTTCCAGCTTCTAAATCGTCACCCATGAGCAGAGGCGGCGCCTTCTCACGAGTGGGGCTTCCCGACGGGCTTAGAGCCTCAACCGTAGCGTAAATAACCACGGCCGCCGCGATGTCCTCCTCGGCACGGGCAATCGACAGTTTCCGCGCGCGCCGGAGGTTCTTGGTGCGGGCAGCAGGTGTCATGGGAGGAGCATCGTCGAGCGACGGAATCACCACAGGAGGAGTCGGCGCACGCTCGACCCCAGTGAGGAGGGGCGCCAGCGGGCTCTTGCTGTCCTTGAGAGATATTCCCTTGCTCTTGTTAATGTCAATCTGGATAGCCCTGTCATTACTGGCGTCCAGGCTAGGGAATGGTTCGGCAGCGGCCGCAGGTTTATCTTGTGCGACGGCTACTGGCAAAGGCGCAAGAACTGGTGCCTGTCGTTCAACAATGACAGGAGAGTCCTGGAGCTGGGGAAGCGACCTCGAAGGTTCTGCTTCGATCGGAGCCTTGTCTTTACCCTTGTCCTTAGAAGAAAGCGTATGAGCGGCGACAAGGCCGCCAGCGACTGCTGCGCCTGCGGCGACGGCGCCAGCAATCCAGCCCTTCCGGTCTTCGGACTCTTTAGACTTGTCAACGGCGGCGTCCACTTCCTTCTCGTTAATAGACCTGTCTAGAGGCTCTGGAGCCGCGCTATCCGATTCTGGCGAGGCGCTGATCACCGGCTGAGTTGTGGCAATTTCTTTGTCTGCCTCGGCCGTAGCGGGCTCGATAGAGTCGGCCGGTAGAGCTCTAGTCTCATCTTCTGTCTCGGCCGGAGCGATCGTTTCGGCCTCTTTAGCGATAACCGGTTGCTCCTCTAGCCTAGAAACATCAGTAGGCTCGGGGATATCCAATGGCGAGTCCTTTGAGACATCTAATGAAGAGGCAGGTGCCTGTTCATCTTCGAGTTGAGCTGGGATATCGATTGGCACTTCCCTGTCCGCGGGTTCAGCAGTGACTTCTTTCTCCAGAATAGGTTGCTCAGTGTCCGCAGGAACTTCAATAGTCTCAGGACTGAGAGCTGATGGGACGGCATCGGGTTTGGCATGGCCATCCTCTGCTTCCGGAGTAACATCCACAACAGGCTGTTCAATTTCGGCGAGTTTTTCAATCTGTTCTGGCTCGGCGGGCTCGGATGGTGATTGCTCAACAGCAGCGACGCTAATTTCTCGCTCGGTAGACGTCTCCAACACGGCGGGCTTTTCCGTCGACGGCTGCTCAGAGACCAACACTACACTCTCCTCAATTCCGGACGGCTCCTCGGCAGCGGGTTCGTTTTCGGTGGTAGGCGCGACATCGGGCTCGGCGGTTTCTGGCTGGGAAACGATGACGACATCGTCGGACAGACCGGTTTGATCCCTTGCGAGGACCGGGGGTTCCTCCACGGTTTCCGCTGCGGCATCGGCGGGCTTCTCATCTAGACCTCTGTGATCCACAATGACAGGCTGGTCCTCTAGCTTTTCAACCACTTGAGAAATCTCAACAGGCTCGGGCGACTCAACAGGCTCGGGTGACTCAACAGGCTTAAAAGATTCAGGCGTAGGCTCAGGCTCCTCCGCATCAGCAACCTCCTCCCTTACGACGACATCCTCAGTAGACGGTGAGACATTGACAGAATCAGACTGTACGACCAACACAGGTTCCTCGGCGACTACATCGCGATCATCCACTTGAGACTCAGTAACTTCCTCAGACACGACATGGACCGGCTCAGCTGGTGTAGACTCGGTGGCTACAGCAGGAATATCTCGAGATGCAAGTACCTCTGCCGACTCCACGATGGTGGCTTCGGTGGGCTCTTCAACGGATGTTTGCGCATCTGCGAGATCTGGAGACTTCGTAGTAGTAGGCTCCACAATCTCTTCAATTTCCTGGGGTGGTTCTTCCCTAGCCGTAGAAGGTAGCGGTGCGTCCTCTGTGACAGGCTCGGGAGAGATAGCCTCTTCCGAGACAATAACGGTCTCAAGCGGACGCTCAGCATCTTCCACAACAGCTTCAGAAGCACTCTTAAGTTCCCTTGACTCGACCGGAGCAGTGGCAGCAGGTTCTTCAGCAGGTGTCTCGAGGTCATCAACAGACTTTACCACATCGGCAAGGACGGCAGAGTCGTCCAGGCTATCCTTGGGACCAACGGTCTCCGAAGGGCTAACAAGGACAAACTCGTCTTCATCATCAGCCGCAGCCTTGCTAACAACAACAACATCCTCTGATGCAGGTTGCTCATCGTCTTGGGGAATTGATCGATAGGCTACTTCGACAACGGGCTCATCCTTGAGCACCTTGGCTTTTTCAACGGGTGCCTCGGGGCTGGCTTCAGGCGTCTCGATCTGTGGTTCGAGTGGCGTTGCGGGTGTTTCTTCAGGTTCTGGCTGGACCTCTGCCGGCTGTTCCAATTCCTCGGCGGCCTTTTCAATGACGGTGGCCGGTTGCTTATCTTCGGAGGGTTCTTCAGCAACTTCCAAGTTCCTGGCAAGATCGTCGGCGACAACCTCAGGGGTGGGCTCTGGTTGCGTGGCTTCTTGAGCTACCTCTTCGATGATGGCGGGCTGTTGCTCATCCTCTGCTACTGCAGGTTCTTCAACAACTTCCAAATTCTTGGCAACATCATCGACGGTAGCTTCGAGGGCCTCCAGTTCAGCAGGGGGTTTCTCCTCGCTTACGACAGTGTCCGCGACTTCTTTGACTTCAACCGGCTCTGCTTCCTGGGGTACCACGCTCTCTTCAATCTGCGCGACAGGTGCCTCGTCAACCTCGAGAACGGCAACTGGACCTTCGGACTTGGGAATCACAACCTCACTTGACACCTCAGCAGGTTTGGTTGTCTCTTCTGCAACGGGTTCAGCGGGTTCATCCACAGCCACGATGGCAACAGCCTCATTAATAGCGCGCTCGACGGTTTCGACAGGAACGGCAGGCTCATCGGTGACGGACTCAACTTCAGTTAGTACGGCTTCACTGGACTGAGGCACCTTGATTTCCAAAGCGGCTGGCTCTTGGGTCGCTTCGTGGTCTGAAACGTCGTCGGGCTCTTCGTCTGCAGTTGGCGTGGGCTCAGCCTCTGTGGTGTGTGTCTCTGGTTTTACAGCTTCCGGTTGGGGTGCTGTGGGAAGCTCTCGCTGAGTAGAGGCCGTGACAGGTCTTGTCTCGATCTCAGACGTTTCAGGCTCGGCCACTTTAATACGTTCAGGCTCCTCTGACTTGTCTACGATTTCGGTCTGAGGCTCGGCTGGCACTTCTGACTCCTCCTGTGTTTCGGCTGTGATTCCTTCAACATCCTCAATGATGAGTTCTCTCGGCGGCGTAGGCGTTTCAAGTTCAGATGCTTCAGCGACATCAACATCCAGGGCGTCAGGCTTGTCCTTCTCTGTGACGTTGTCTGAGATGTCTAGTGGCTCAACAACTGATTCGGCAGCATCCAGAACTTCCGCGACAGGCTCAATAACAGGCTCCTCGGGCAACAATGTAGTCTCCTCGGTGAGCGCTGATGCCTCAACACTCTCCGTGGCGTCAGCTCCTACCACTTTCTCCGCTGTGGCGACTTCCACGACTGTGTCTGGCTCAGGCAAGACAGGCTCTGTGATGACTTGTTCACCTGCATCTTGGGGCGCAATTGACTCTTCAGGCTTCACTTCGTCTGCTGTAGTTGTTTGTTGTTGAGATGCCACGGGCTCTTGAGGCTTGACTTTGGCAGTGGTGGTGTTCTCTTCGGCCTCCGGTTGTAGCGTCTCCGCCGCATCTTGGGCGGTTTCAGGGGCGGCGGAGGGCTCGTCAACAACAATTTGCAAGACTTCCGGTTTATCGGCTGGCACCTCCTCGACAGGGGCGGTAGATTCAACCACATCGGAAGCAGGAACAGAAACATCCTCAGCAGCAGCCTCAGGCTCTCGAACAATGGCACGATCGTCAGTGACCGTCTCGACGGTGGCGGAAACATTCTCGATGGAAGGCTCCGGAGAGGCAGCAGCGGGTTCATCAGGGCTCTTTGACACTTCCGCTTCGGCGGCTGCTTCAAGGTCGAGAGCAGGGCGGTCCTCAATGACGAGTGACTCCACAGGCTTTGTATGTTCTTCCCCTGCGCCCACAGCTTCAATAGCGACTGGGTCGGCAGTGTCTTGAACCGGCGCTTCCTTAATAACTAAAAGCTCTTGGACGTGTTCCGAAGGCTCTTCGGCAATCGCCTCAGATGTAGGCGGCGCCTCATCAACAGGAACGTCTGGCACAGGGATAGCATCGACAGTCTCTTGAACCGGGAGGTCCTCGGCAATTGATCGCTCTTCGGCGGGCTCGATTACTTCTTCAACAGTCACTTCGGTGGCAGCTGGGGCTGATTCTGTGGCGGGAAGGTCTCCAACAGGCGCAACCTCTCCGGTCTCCTGAATAACAGAACGCTCTTGGATTGGCTGAGCGACTTCTTTAGCAGTCTCCTCAGCGGCAGTAGATGGCACTTCTGTAGTAGGAACATCTCCAGCAAGGGCGACCTCATCCACGGAAGCGGTACTAACGACCGGGTCAACAGATTCCGCAACCTGATCCTCTTCTGGCACAGGCTCTTGGACGGGTTCGTCCTGAGGTTGGGACTCGGGAACTGCCTCCTCCACTAGTTGAGACTCAGGCTCTGCGGTAGGAACTGGGGCCTTTTCAGAGGTCTCTACATCTTGAGATGTGGACTCGATCGGCTCATCAGCCTCAAGTGCAGGCTGGGCAGTTTCAGCAGAGACATCTGACCCAGTAATCTCGGGAGCAGAGTTGGCTTGTTCAGCCTGCACATCAGCAGCAGGCACCAGTTCCATAGAGGCAACTGGATCATCAGAAGAAGTCTCTGTAGCCGGAGCTACCTCGCCTTCGATCTTGACTGTTTGTTGATCCTCGATTGCCTGTTGGACTGGTGCACCCTCGACGGCTTCTTCTGAAATAGGAACAGCAACAGAAGCAGCATCCTCGACGACAGAAGTAGAGACTTCAGCAGGAGCCTCAACAGCAGCCTGCGCGACTTCAGAGACTTCTCCTGGGGCTACAGAGACTTCGGGTTCGGTGGATACCTCGACAGGCTCCTTGACTGGTTCGTCCGCGACCTGCACAGCGGGTTCAACATCTGCAAGCTTCTCCGTCTCTGAGGCAACAGCAGCCGGTTCGGCGCTTTGATCCTGCTCAGGTACCAGTTCGGTCCCAGCAGGTATCTCAACAGGTGCCTCAACAGATGCGTCAACCAGTGCAGGGTCAGAATCAGGAGTTGTCTCAGCGGCCGCTGAAATATCTTCAGCAGTGTCAGTAGGAGCAGGAGTCTCGTGAGGGGCATCTTCCGGAGCTACATCGGCCGTGTCGTCTTGAACAGGAGGGCTTGCTTCTGGTTCGGCCACAGCAGGTATCTCGACTGGTGCCTCAATAATTGCAGGCTCCGAAACAGCGGTAGGTGCCTCAATGGTGGCCGGAACGGTCTCCTCAGGAGTCTCGTTTTGCGAATGGTCCAGAGTAGCATCAGCCGGGTTGTCAGCTTCCACAGCTCGTTCAGCAGGGGTGGGCTCAGGGATAGTGCTAGGCGTCTCAACAGCAGCTAGAACGTTCTCGGGCGGCTCAGTAGGAGCGTCTTGGGGAACAGAGTCGGCGAGGCTGCCAGGTTCGGCAGCGGAAGTTGACTTTAGCTCAGGCTCGGCAGGAGTCTCAACGGAGGCCTCGGCTTCAGGGGGCCCACGCTCAGCAATATTAGCTGTCTCGACTACGGCCAGATCATTCTCAGGCGTTTCGGTAGGAGCATCTTCGGGAGCGGGGTCAGCCGAGCGACTATCTTCGACAGAGGGTGTTGGCTCTGGCTTCAACTCAGCGGCGGGCTCCTCCGACTTTTCGGCAGCTTCTGCAACTGGCTGTGAGGCGGGCTGGACAGTAACGTCTAGAGGCTCCGAGATAGTTGCGGCTTCAAGGGTAGACTGCTCGAGAGACGTATCCAGCGGCTTTTCCACAGGGGACTCGGGTGATGTTTCTGTAGTTGATTCAGCAGCAGTTGTGGAGGCGCCCTGTTCGGGTTCAGCTTCAAATTTAGCCGGAGGTAGGATATCCTGAGACTCGGCAGAAGCGCTTTCAGGTTCGGGCTGAACAGGAGCTTCAGGTTCTTCTTCCGCAACAACCCTTTCTTCCGCTGGTGGGTAGGGAGTCGTGTCCTCTGCTACAGCCCCCAGATCATCAGGAGGAGCGGCTGAAGTGCTTACGGTCGCAGCAACGGCTGGCTCTCCAATAGATTCCTCGGCAGGTATCTCAGAAACAACAGTGACAGATTCAGGCATGGGTTCTTCGTCAGAAGATGCCACCTTAGCCACCGTTTCGGCAGGAGCTGTAGCATCAGGGGCTTGTTCCTCGTCGGTTACCTGGGATGTGGAGTCAAGAGCAAGAGCCTGTTCAGTAGCAACGTCAGTAGCGGGTTGTTCTTCAGCAAAAGCAGCCTCAGCGAGAGCAATCTCAGTGGAGATGTCAGTAGCACCAGCAGCGTCGACCTCCTTATCACGAGTGTCTTCAACCTCATTGTCTGCAGGAAGGTCTTTAGAAGTTTCGGCAATATCTACGGCGGCTTCGGGAATGGGTTCCTCCTGGACCGGCTGATCGTCGATTGGCACATCAACAGCGGGCTCCGGGGACTTCTCGGTAGTCACGTCCCTGGACTCGGTCTCAACTGCGGCAGCAGCTTCGGCTTCTACGACAGGCTGTTCTTCCACGACGGCAGGTACGGGCTCGGTGGTTTCAGATTCCACCGTCGGCTCATCTGTGGATTGGATCTGAACGGCAGCGACTTCTTCGGGAACATCGGGAATATCAACTTCCGCTTCTTTGGCTTCCCGAGCTGGAGATTCGTCGGGAAGGGTGTCTAGAGCTGGCACGTCTGATGACGCAACAATAGAGGACACAGGTTCCTCGGTTGTAGCATCGCCAGCCTGAGGAGTGTCGTCAATCTGCTTGGTGGGAACAGGCTCATCTTCCTCCTTGGGAATAGAATCTAGAGATTCGCTGGATGCTTGCTCTGCAAGCTCTTTCGTCTCTTCAGCCGCAACTTCGGTCGTAGCAGGATGTTCCTCTTCAACAATGCCGGCCGGAGAATCGGTAGCTTCATCAGCAGCTGCCGAGGAAATTTGACTGGCAATAATAGCAGCAATGTCGTCAGGTTGGGGTTCTTCGACAGAATCCTCCAGCACTGGTTCCTGGAGTTGCACTTCAGCGGCAGCAGGCATGGGTTCCTCGACTTGCTTCGTAGAAATTTCCTTAGCGGCCTCCTCAGGAGTAATGACTGCGGCGGGTTCGATTTCAGAAGCTAGATCTTCAGCAGGAACTTCGGCGGATGCTTCCTCAGCAAGATTCTCAACAGTGGTTTCCCCAGCAGGAGCGTCAGAAACAGGAGCGACGGCCCCTTGAGGTGTAGTACCGGCAGGTTGCTCGTCAATTGGGATGTCTCGGGTGAGTACTTCTGATACGCCTTCAGTGGCAGGCTCGTCGATGGGGTTTTCAGCGGGAGCAGCAGTAGGAACAGGTCCGGAGGTATCAATAGTTGTCGGCACCTCAGGAGACTTTTCAACAGCAGGCTGGTCTTGAACAGGTGCTTCTGATGCGCTCTCAGTGGCCGCTTCTTCGATGGCCTCGACAGGAGCAGGAACAGGAGTAGAAGTATCAGTAAACGTGGGTACCTCGGCAGCCTCTTCAACAGCAGGTTCTTTTGGTACGCTCTCAGTGACAGGTTCTTCGATGGGCTCGGCAGGAGCAGGAACAGGAGCAGGAGTATCAGCAGCCGTGGGTACCTCAGCAGCCTCTTTACTAGGCTGATCTTCAATTGACGAGGCTTCAGCGACAGGCTCTGCTGTAAGTTCTTCGACGGCGACTGTAGCAGAAGCCAGAGTGTCTGAAGGGTGTTCCTCTGCAGTCTCTTGAATAGAAGGCTGCTCTTCAGGGGGTACTTCAAATGAGGTTTCGGCCACGGGTTCTTTGACGGCTTCTTCAACTGGAGCAGGGACGGTAGCAGGAGGATCAATAACCGGGAGTTCCTGGGCAGGTTCTTCAACAGGAGGCTGCTCTTGAGCGGGAGTAGGAATTTCGGCGGGAGCCTCAACAGCAATTTCAGAAACAGGAACCTCAGCTTCGGCAAGTTCACGCTCCTTGGTCGCAGCCTCGATGATCTCCTCAGTACCTAGCTGAGGTTCAACGGTAACTGGAGCAGTATCGGTGGGGGCTGCTGCGGATTCAGCGACGGTATCTTCCGTAGTATCGACCGGAAGCGCAAGTTCTTGAGTGTCTTCTTCTGAGGATAGTTCGGCTACGACAGGATCCGCATCGGGCACAGTTGCAAGAATCTCCTTGTCAGCTCCCTCGACAGCAGGCTGTTCATTGAGGGCAGTAGGAGCGACTGCGTAAGCTGGTTCGGACGTAGCAGGGATATCCTTTGAAATAGTCTCTGTAGACTGAGCTTCCGTAATAGCCTCTTCGGCAGGTTGCTCTTCGTTGATCGTAGAGGAAACTAGAGGGGCAACATCCGCCACAGATGGGACAGTTTCCGTGTCAACTTTCTCAACGGCAGGCTGTTCATCGGAAGCAATGGCGACGGGTGCATTCGCCGAGTCGGCTGCAATTAGGACGTCCTCCTCAGGAGATGGGGCTTCCTGGGCCGCCGCTTCAGAAGGTTGTTTATCGGTTATAGGAGCGGCGGCGAGGTCGCTATCCACCAGGCGTTCTTCAGGAGTCTCATTGGTAGGCTGGGGTGTAACAGGTTGGTCGTCGATAACAGGACCATCAGTAGGCTCAGGTGCAGGAATTTCCTCAACAACGGCTTCAGTAGCAGATACTTCAACCGCTGAAATTGGGCCAGGTTCATTAACAGCGAGGGTAGCGGGCGAGTCATCTCCGGGTTCCTCCGCGACTGTCTTGACAACCTCTTCAGCCGCAGGTTGCTCTTCAATAGGAGCAGAAACCGGCGTGTCAGCCTCAGCCTCATGAGGGGATTTCTCTACAGGTGTTTCCTCCCGAGTAGTATCCGGAGCAACTTCAACCTTAGCGGATCCTTCGACAGGAGCTGTCTCGACAGCAGTATCGGGAGCACTAGGTTCAGTCTGAGATTCGACAGGAGGTCCCTCAACAGGAACAGGAGCATCGGGGACAACGGAAGGAGCAGTCTCAACAGGGATTTTCTCGTCAGGAGTGGTTTTAGGAACAGCAGGTTCGTCAGGAGTTTCCTCAATAGGAACAGTAACAGAAGGAGTAGCAGTTTCGACAGGAATTTCCTTGTCGGCAGTTATTACTTCGGGAGCAGCGGTTTCGACAGGGATTTGATGGTCAGGGGTAGTCTCTTCGGGAGCCGCAGCTTCAACCTTTACTGGAGTATCCTCAACAGCGGCAGCAACGTCCGGGGCGGCTGCCACTTCAGCTCCAGCTTCGACAGTAACTTCCTCGACAGTGGCCGTAGCGTCAGAGCCTGGGATTTGAACCTCGGGTTCGACGGAGGTCTCCTCGATGGTAGTAGCTTCGCGAGAAGAAATTTCCGCAACGGTCTCAAGAGGTGTTTCCTCAACTGTTGCGGCAGCAACAGGAGCAACAATTTCGGCATCAGCTTCGACGGGAGTTTTTTCGACAACAGCACTGGCATCGGGAACAGCAGAAGCAGTGACAACTTCGACCGAGGTTTCCTCAATAGGACCGATAGCATCAGGAACAGCTGCTCCAACTTCGGCTGTGGAAGTAGCGTCCCCGATAGCAGTGGCGGTGTCAGGAGGAGAGGTAGCGAGAGCTTCAATAGGAGCCGCAGCTTCAGTCTCAGTCTCAACAGGAGCTTCTTCGTTAATAGTCGTAGCATCAGAAGTGGTGGCAGTTTGGTCGGGAGGTTGCCCAGTTGGAGTTGTGTCCGGCGACACAGCTTCAGCTTTGATTTGCACAGGAGTTTCCTCGGTAATCGTAGCATCAGGACCAGCAGCCTCCGCTTCGTTAGAGGGAGCTTCTTCAACAGCAGTAGGAACGTCGAGACTAGTAGAGGTGACAGTAGCTTCGACGGAGGCGGCACCCTCAACGTTGGCTTCAATGGGAGTTTCCTTGGCAGTGGCAGCATCATCGGGAACAGTGGAAGCGACGTCAGCAACTAGAGTTTCCTCAGTAGCCTCAGTCTTAGGTTCTTCTGCTGGGAGCTGTTCCGTCGCCTTGTCAGCAGCCGCAGGTTCCACACCAGATTCTTGGGGAGCATCTGGTGCGGCCGCCTCGGGTTGCTCCACTGCAACAAGCTCTTCCGCATTAGGGACCTCAGCAGCAAGCTGGGCCTCCTTCGTAGGGACGACCTCGGGCTCGGTGAGAGTTACGGTATCAGAAGTCACGAGTTCCTCGGCCTGCTCGATGTCAGCTACCTTTTCGGCAGCAGCAGGCTCCGGTTCAGGCACAGTGGAAGTTACTGCATCAGAAGCCACGGGTTCCTCGGCCTTTTCTGGAGAAGTTGGCTCTGGTTCCGCCGCTGTGGCAGTTACTGGATCAGCAACTACCGGCTCCTCAGCCTGTTCGATCTCGACAACGGCTTCCGGTTCGGGCTCGGCGGGAGTTGGGATCACCGACTTCTCAACCTGTGCCGCCTCGACCGCCTGTTCGGCGGTAGGTTCAGGCAGAGTCGAAGTTGCTACATCAGAAGGTGCTAATTCCTCAACCGACTTTGTCTCGACCACCTCGTCGGCAACAATTTGCTCTGGCTCAGGCTCAGTGGGATCTACCACCGCCGACTCGTCGGCTTGCTGAGTCTCGACCACCTTTTCGGCGGCAGCAAGCTCTAGTTCCGGCAGGGTGGAAGTCGGTGCATCAGAAGCGACTGGTTCCTCAGCGGACTTAGTCTCGATGGCCCCTTCAGCAGGAACTGCCTCTCGACGAGGCTCAGCGGGTGTGACAGCCACCGAGTCCTCAGCCCGCTCACTATCAACTGCCTTTTCGGCAGCAGCGGACTCAGGTTCAGGCAGGGTAGGAGCTGCTGCATCAGAAGCTACCGGTTCCTCAGGGGACTTCGTCTCGACCGCATCTTCAGCAGAAACTGCCTCTAGCTCGGGCTCAGGCACCAGCTCCTCGGCGTGCTCAGTCTTTGCTACCTTTTCGGGGGTAGCAGGCTCTGATTCAAGAGGAGATACTACCAACTCCTCAGTCTGCTCGGTTTCGACCACCTTTTCGGTGACAGCAGTCTCGGGTTGGAGTTGGGCAGGAGGTACTTCTGCATCAGAAGCCACAGCTTCCTGAGCCTCTTCGGAAGAAGCTAATTCAACCTCAGCGGGAGTTACTGCATCAGCAGCTACCGGCTCCTCAGCCTGCTCGATCTTGGTTGCCTCTTCAGCAGCAACTAGCTCTGGCTCGGGTTCAAGTGGAGCTACTACCGCGGTCTCCTCGGTCTGCTCAGTGTTGACTACCTTTTCGGAGGCAGCAGACTCTGGTTCGGGCTCAGCAGGAGTTACCACCGCCGTCTCTTCAGCCTGCTCGGCTTCAACCACCTTTTCGGCGGCAGCGGGCTCGGATTCGGCTTGAGCAGGAGTTACTGCTGCATCGGAAGTCACGGACTCCTCAACCTTTTCGGGAGAAGTTGGCTCTGGCTCGGTCTCGGCGGGAGCTACAGCATCGGGAACTGCCGGCTCGTCGGCCTGCTCGGTTTCAACCGCCTTTTCGGCGGCAGCTGGCTCCGGTTCAGGCTCTGCCGCAACTTCAGAGGTAACAATGCTCACAGGTGGGGCTTCCGGCTCGGTTTCCGGCAATTCAGCGGCTGGAGTATCGGCCAGCGCTTCTGCCACTGGTTGGGAGTCGATTTGGCTAACCTCAGGCTCTGCAACAACAGGCGTCTTGTCTGCGACGGAGACAGGAACCTCAGGCTCCGCAGACTCAGCAGCCTCAACACCAGGTTCGGAAATCTCCTCAACGGCACGAGCTTCCTCTACCGGAGTAGCATCGGTCGCCTCGATTACCTCAGAAGGCAGAGAGGGAGTCTCAACTTCGGGTACTACAGCTTCGGCCGGCTCGTCAGAGACCTTGGAGGCCTCCTCGGTAACCTCAACAAGCACGGGGTCTGCGAGAACCTCGACAGTCTCAGGAACGACGGCATCGGTGGGGGTCGTCTCTGTATCCAGGGCCTTTTCGGATTCGGACTCAGGGTGGGGAGTTTGATCATCAGGGCTAGCCGCAGGTGTTGGCACAGGCTCCTCAACAACCTCTTCAGCTCGAGTCTTTGCTGGTTGATCTTCAATTTCCTGGACCTGGTCCACGGCGGGCTCGACTACTTCCGGTTCGTCTTGAGTATCGGTTTCCTGGGTGAGATTCTTTTCACCTTCGACGACTTGTTCTTCGATGGAAGTAGCTCGGGTCGGTTCGGGTGCGGGTTGCGCGACGGATTCTGTTGTCGGCTCCTTCTCGGGCTCGTCGTCGGCCGGGGTATCTGTAACTGTAGGTTGCCCCTCAACAATGCTCTCAGCCGGTTTCTCTTCAACTACTGGTCCCTCAGCTGCTTCTGGCTCTGCTACAATTTCCTTATCGTCCTTCGCTGCTTCCTGCTCTACCACTTCACCAGTCACCTCTGCCGTCTCCACCTCTGGGGTTACTGCTTCATCAGCAGCAGTCGCCGGTTGAGCTGCCTCAGTCTGCTTGTCCTCAGGAGTGGGTTCCTCCTTAGGCTGCTCTACCTCAACCGCTTTCTCTGCCTCAGGTTCTACCTGTGCGCGCTCCTTGGACGCCTCCTCAGGGACATTCGAAACCTCAACAGCTATGGGCTCGGTCGAGGTCTCTTCAACAGCCTGTTGAGTAGGAGTAGGTTCAATGGGTGGTTCAGCGTGGGCCTCTGCCACAGATTCTACCTGTGCACTCTCCTTAGACTCTCCCTCAGGGGTGTTCAAAACCTCGACAGATGCGGGATCGGTCAAGGGTTCTTCAGTGCTCTCCTGGGTGGGAGTCGATTCAATCGGTGCTTTGACCTCAATTTCAGCCTCGGCCTGTTCGAGTTCTACTGCAGGAGAGACCTCCTTGATCGTTTCGTCCTGTGCTGTTTCCTCCGTTACTTGCTCATTCCGTTGAGTACCAGTCTCCACAGTAGCAGGAGTTGGCTCAACAGGCTGTTGATAAACATGCTCATCTGCCGTAGTGCCCCTAACCTGAGTCTCTGAAGTTTCATCCTCTGCCTTGATCTCCGAAGTTATGTCATCAGAACGTGCCGTATCACCTGCGGTGCCTGCCTCGTCAGTCTGTGCCGGGGTAGCCTGTACCTCGTCCGTAGTAGCCGTTGCCTCATTATTGTCATCGACCTTGTCGTCAGTAGTCTCAGAAACCAGTTCCGCGGAGCCAGCCGTAATCGCATCGCCAGGTGCCGTCGTATCGTCCAATTTGCCGTCGTTATCGTCCACAATAGCATAGGTGGGCGGCTCCTCAGGAGTCGTTTCCAACTCCACATTACCACCATCAATATTATCATTACCGTCATCCCCAGAACCAGATCGTACAGTCTCGTCATCCTCAATTACGTCTCGCTCCGTGAGTCCTGTTGATTCCTCACGCACGTCCGTAACATCATGTGAAAGCACTAACGATGAACCACTACCATCCTCTACCACTCCTTTGTCTGATTGCGAAACGGATTCTCCCAAGTCTTGCGCAGCATCAGGGGTATCGGGGGTTGGGTGGAGGTTCTCACCTGTCTTCGCCTCTGCCCGCTTCTTCTCTTCGCCTGGAATCGGTCCTACAGTATCTTTACTCTCCTCTTCCTCTTCGGCCTTGGCTGCTTCGGCAGCGGCATCGGCGGCCTTGTCAGACGGCTTATCTTCGCCGGAGGGAGCCGCCTTATCGCCCCCTTCGGCGTCAGCTGCTGCTGCCTCTTCCACAAGCTTCTCTTCAGTCGGTTTCTCATCTTCCTTAGCCTCGTCAACTGCAGGAGCAACTTCCTCCTCGGCAGCCTTCTCGGTTTCAGGCGCAGGCTCGTCCTTGGCCTCAGCAACCTCTTCAACTGGCTTCTCTTCCTCCACAGGCTTCTCTTCAGTCGGTTTCTCATCTTCCTTAGCCTCGTCAGCTGCAGGAGCAGCTTCCTCCTCAGCCACCTTCTCGGCTTCAGGTGCGGGCTCGTCCTTGGCCTCAGCAACCTCTTCAACTGGCTTCTCTTCCTCCGCGGACTTCTCCTCTTCAACCGGTTTCTCTGCCTCTGCAGGTTTCCCCTCTTCAATGGCCTTCTCTTCTTCTGCCGGCTTCTCCGCTGGTTTTCCTTCTTCGGAAGGCTTCTCTTTAATCGGGGCCGCTTCGGCGGCAGGCTCAGCCTCCTTAGGAGTGTCCTCAGCAGGAACTTCTACGGGGGCATCTTCGACCGTCTTTTCCGCTGCGGCGGGAGCTACAGGCTCCTCGGCTGCTTTCTCTTCTTCAGCAGGCTTGTCTTCAGCGGGAGCAGCCACCTCGTCAGCACGCTCAGCCGGCTTGCAAGCAGGTTCTTCAACCGCGGGTTCCTTAACCGCAGCTTCAGGTACTGGCTCGCTCTCAGCGGGCGTGTCCTCGGCCTCGGGTTGAGGTTCAGCAGCAGGCTCGTCCTTAGAGTCTGCCTCAACAGCAGGTGCCTCGTCTTTAGGCTCGGGTTCCGTTTCAACTGACTTTTCCTCAGCTGGGGGTGCCTCCTCAGGAGGAGCCGGAGCAGGCTCCTCGGCCGCCTTGTCTTCTTCAACAGCCGCCGGGGTCACCTCGGACTTCGCCTCAGGCTCCACTGACTTCTCGACTTCAGCAGGCTTCTCGTCAACATCTACCTCAGGGGCTGGTGCCTCGTCCTTAGTCTCGGGCTCTGTTTCGGCAGGCTTCTCTTCAACAGGAGCCTTATTCTCAGCGTCTGATTCTACAGGTGGTTCGCCCTTGACCTCGGGCTCTTCTGTAGCTGGCTCTTCCTTGGCAGCGGGCTCCGCCTCCTTAGGTGCATCCTGAGCAGCAGGCTCGGTATTGTCAGCCTTTTCCTCGGCAGGAGGAGCTGAAGCCTCTGCATCTGCTTTGTCTTCCTCGGCGACTGCCGGAGTCTCTTCGGGTTTAGCTTCAGGCTCTTCAGGCTTTTCGGGTTCAACATGGGCAGTTTCTTCAACACCCTCCACTTCAGCCGGAACAGCACTTTCAGGTTCAGTGGTCTCCGCCCCACCAGAAGCGTCCTCAGCAGACTTGGCTTCCTCAGCCTTAGGTGCAGCTTCGGATTCCGTCTCGGCCTTGGCGACAGGTGCCTCTTCTACAGGAGCAGGCTCTTCGGTAGAAGCAATAGGCGCCTCGGTTGATACGGGTGCTTCAACCTCCTTGGCCTCGTCGGCTGCTGGGGCCTCCTTCTCCGGTTCGGCGGCAGACTCTTCCTTAGCTTCTTCGGTAGGGGCAGACACCGGCTCCTCCTTCGTCTCGATCTCCTCAGCCGGGGCTGAAGCTTCCTCAACGGGTGTCTCCTTCGCAGCCTCATCGGAAGGCGCAACGACTGGTGCTGACTCAGGCTCAGGAGCAGTGTCCTTCGGGGCAGCTTCTTCTACTGACTCAGGCTCCGCCTTAGCTTCTACAGGAGCAGACTCAGAAACAGGCTCAGGAGCTGGTTCAGCAGCAGGTTCAGGAGTAGGCTCGGTAGCAGCCTCGGGAGCAGCCTCCGCAGCAGCCTCGGGCGTAGGCTCAGGAGTAGGCTCAGCTACAGGCTCAGCGGCAGGTTCGGGAGTAGATTCGGCTGCGGGTTCAGGAGCAGCCTCCGCAACAGGCTCAGGCGTAGGCTCAGCAGCAGCCTCAGCTACAGGCTCAGCGGCAGGTTCGGGAGTAGATTCGGCTGCGGGTTCAGGAGCAGCCTCCGCAACAGGCTCAGGCGTAGGCTCAGCAGCAGCCTCAGCTACAGGCTCAGCGGCAGGTTCGGGAGTAGATTCGGCTGCGGGTTCAGCAGCAGCCTCCGCACGAGGTTGGGGAGTAGGCTCAACAGCAGGCTCAGGAGTAGACTCAATAGCGGGCTCGGGGGTAGCTTCCTCCTGCGGCTCCTTAGCAACAGGAGCATCTTCCTTAGACTCAGGCTTGGCATCGGTGTCAGGAGTCTCCGATACAGGTTCCGCCTTCTTATCAGCTTCCTCGGGCTTCTCCTCATCTTGACCGGCAACCTGAGACTCTTCTACCTGAGACTCAGCCGCGGCTGCTGGCGCAGGAGTAGATTTGTCTTCCTCGACGGCTTCCTTGGGAGGCTCAGGGGCAGAGGTCTCCTCCGACTGAGAGTTGCCAGAAGACTCCGGTTCACCGACAGCTGCGTCGGCCTTCTCGTCACTAGTGGTCGGTGCGTCAGATTCGGCGGGAACCTCGGGGGCCTTCTCCTCTTCAGCATCCGTAGACTCTACCACCGGTTCGGGAGCTTCCTCAGGAGCCTTTTCTGCCGTCTCAGCTTCAGCACCCTTGTCCTCCGGCTCGGTAGGAGCCTCGGGCTCGGGCTCAGCAGCCTTCTTGCCATCTTCTGCGGGAGCGGGAGCGGGAGCGGGAGCTTGAGCTTCGGGCTCAATAGCAGCGGGCTCTTCGACAGGAGCAGTCTCGGGCTCTACAGGTTTCTCCGCAACTGCCTCGACCGGAGCAGCGGTCTCCTCCTTCTCATCAGCAGGAGGATCGGCGGGAGATTCTTCGGGTTTGGCTTCTTCTCCCTCCTTCTCCGTCGTCTCGGCGGGCTTCTCCTCGGCAGTTTCCGCCGTGGCAGCTGGGGCCTCTTCGGAAACACCCGCAAGTGTTTCCTTTGAGGGTTCTGTAGTCTTCGGGTCCTCAGCTGGAGTTTCAGGCTCCGCGGCGGAGGTGGGCTCTGGCGTTGGGTCTGGGGCAGCTACTGGTTCCTCCTTAGATGCCGCCGCCTCCTCAGGCTCCTCTTTCTTTGCCTCCGGAGTTTCGACCTCGGTGGGTTCAGGGACAGCAGATTCAGCAGGGGCAGCGGGCTCCTCGACGGCCTTCTCTTCTTCTTCGTCGTCGACGGCCGTTTGCACAGGAGCCTCAACCTCCTCAACTTCACCTGGAGTTTCTTCAGAAACAGCGGGAGCTTCAACTTCAGCTGCAGGTGCGGGCGCATCAGTCACAGCATTTGGAGCATCTGAAGGAGGTGCCTCCGGTTCCACAGACTCTGAAGCAGGCTCTTCGACAGTCGGGGCTGCGTCAACGCCAGGAGCGCCCTCTGCCGCAGCTTCTGGAGCGTCCTTAATCGCCACTTCTTCCGTGACAATCTCGGCTTCCTTGGTTGCAGGGGCTTCTTCCACAGCAGCCTCGTCTTCTTTGGCTGCAGGAGCTTCTTCAGCAACAGTTTCAGCCTCCTTAGCTTCAGGAACTTCATCAGTGACGGCTTCGGCCTCCTTGGTTGCGGGAGTTTCTTCAGCGACAGCCTCAGCCTCCTTCGCTACGGGGGCCTCTTCCGTTGCAGCTTCGTCCTCCTTGGCTATAGGAGCTTCTTCAGCGACAACTTCACCCTCCTGGGTGGCAGGAGCTTCTTCCGCAACGGTAGCGGGAGCCGGCTCCTCCTTAGGTTCCTCGGCGGCAGCCTCCGCGGGGGTCTCCTCAGGAGCAGAATCTTTCGATTCCTCCGTTGGAACAGGTTCGCCTTTGTCAGCCTTGGGCTCTTCTGTCAGCGCTGGCGGTTCTGTTGCCTCCTCGGCCGGCTGTTCCGGCTCAGCAGTGGGCTGCGGTGTGGCTGCGGCTTCTACCTCGGGTGGAACGGGTTCCTCGGCGGGCGGAGGTGGAGGTGGAGGTGCGGTAGCTCCATCGTCTTCGGCGGCAGCAATACTTCGAGACGCGGGTGGTGGAGGGGGCTCTTCCTGTCCCTTACTCTTCTTGCCCTTTTTGGCCTTTTCCTTCCGCTTTCCCTTCTTTGTTGGTTGAGCCCAGTCGTCTTCAGGCTCCTCTGGCGGTGCCACTGCCTCAGTAGATTCGGCAGCAGCTGGGGGTTCGGGTGCAGGCTCGGGTTCAGGCTCAGGCTCCTCCTGAACCTTTCCTTTCTTCGCTTTCTTGCCCTTCTTCTTCTTTGCCGGTAGAGCCCATTCATCTGCAGGGTCCTCTGAAGGCCCCGCTGCCTCGGTAGGTTCGACAACGGCCTCTACTTCGGGAGCGGGTACAGGTGCAGGTTCGGGTTCAGGGTCCTCGAAGTTCTTTCCCTTCTTCCCCTTCTTGCCCTTCTTCTTCTTGTTAACTGGTTCAGCCCAGAGATCTTCGCCGTTCTCTGGCTCCGCTGCCTTGGGAGATTCGGCAACGGCTTCCGCTTCGGGCTGGAGCTCGGGCTCGGGCTCAGGCTCAGGCTCAAATCCTCTCGCCTTGCCCTTGCCCTTCTTCTTCTCCTTTTTCGCCTTCTTGCTCAATTTTACCGTGAATGGAGCTGGCTCCTCGCCCTCGCCACCATTCTGGCCTTCTACACCTGTTGCTCTGTTAGCTACGCGCTTTCATACGTCGCCGGGAATGGGATGCCCAATGGCCCATTCCTGTCATCCAATGCAACGGGGAGTGGGGAAGGTGCTCACCATTTCCATTTAATTCGTCGGTAGAGTCCTCTGGCTCAAAGTATTGCACCTCTCCTAACTCTTGATATTGTACGTTGTGCTCGAGATCTGCCCTGTGAGGACAGAACTCAATAGGTGCCTCGGAGCTCATACTTTTCTCCGACTCCGCTCTCCCACTAGCTGCCTCGTCTTCTTCTCAACCTTGGGAAGGGGAGGGACCTCTGTGAAGGAAGGAAGAATAGTCCTTAGAGAGGGGGAGATGATGTAGTGACTACGGCTTCAGAAAGCACTCTTATTAACTTCTATCCAAGAGCTCCAATGATCTTGCTTATGCCGATGTGTCCAGGGGTGTTCTCTCTCTGTTGAACACAGACACCCCCTAGCTGGGCAAGGACAAGAAAGCACTAACAGGGTAAAATGCGCAAAAGAGGGTATCGTGCAGTAGCAGGGTGTGGAAATGCTGGACAGAATAATTCGAAAAACAAAAAAATTATGTCGCGGGTATGATTATGATGAAAGTGTGGTCTTTGGTTTGTTCGTCTTGACACCTCAAGTATGAGATGGTAGGCGGTGTATAATTCGATGGCTGAACAAGAAGCAAAAGCACTGGTCAATCGTCAAGGGCTATCTTGCTTCGTATGCAGTCGTCTCGTTTCTCGTTGGACAGCGTGAGAACTGGGGAAAACAAATCGTGCCTTCGTGTTCTCGTCAAAAAAAGAATATCACTGGAAGAGTTTTGTGGGCTCTTTCAGAAAAGATGATTGAGTAGAGTGTAGAAAATGGGGAGTCTCTGTGAGAGAAATCAACGGGGAGTGAGACTAGAAAAGGCAAGAATCAACAAGATTGCATACAAACTCGGGTCCGTCTGGCATGGAACGACGGACCAGGGTCCTTCAGTCCTTGCTCCGATGCTTCCCTTGACCAGTAGAGTGGAGAAGAGCTAGCCAGACCGGCAAGGGGTTCTGTTAGGATGAACAAGGATGCATACGCCCCCCAGAACGGACCAACTTGGCAATGACGACTCCAGTTTGAGAAAACAGAGTCTGCTCAAGTGATCATCCCCATGTTATCTGTCGTCAAGCCATTGGGCGGCATCAGGGTACTGGCGCCACGTTGACGATGTAATTGGGCACGGAAGTGAGATGCGAGGGTTTTAGGTCTTTGGCTGTGGATCCTATATAATTACAGTCTGGTGCGCCGTACAGCTACCTGAGCTATGGATCAACGATCGGAATACATAAATAATGTATGGAGTTGGAGCTGGACGGCGCAGAGTACCAGCTGCACACTCTACTTCGAAGAAACTCATCCACTCCCAATCCAGGAGTACTGTACGAAGTACCAAGCAGCACTCAGCACACTTGCAGGCCAGCTCCACCATCGCAAATGAGAACACAAAAACACGGGAATTAAGCAACAATTGGGTTCGGCAGAGAAGCCGAGGGTACGGTAGTATGGGATGTGGTGAGGAATCAAGATAAAAAGCAGGGAAATCACGGAATATTGTCCGGATATAGGCCACACGATGGGAGAAACGGGACACGGAGGGATGCATAAAGGAGCAGAACAATTGGCTCATTGCTAGATTTGGACCAACGGGAAGCTGGGCAGTGGGGAATATACAAAACGATGCTGTTGTTCAACCACGGATCGTGTGCGCTCTTGTATTGGCCATCTTGTTGAATACGTTGTGATATAATTTCGTATCAGGCCGCGGCTGTGGTGGCCCGTCGGGCAAGGTATTCCTCGTCAGGCTCAGTGATGTTAGTGCTGTGATATGATGGCCGGACATAAGCTCAGCGAGGCCATGAATGCCGCTGACACTGCTTCACAGTCGCCGGATGGGGCGGCCGGCAAAGAGAGGCTTTCCAAAGGTGAAGGATAGCCAGGCTAGGCTTCGAGCATCGCCTGGCACTCATCGGACGAAGGCGCTAAACAGTGAGGCACCCTTCCTTGCAAACCGTGCAGTGGTTCCTGGCGGGGGGCAATTTGGGCTCATTGGGTATGAAGGTTCAATGTGAAGATGGGGTAAAAGCACATTGCATTGTGATCGATGGCTGGGATTGGGCGGGAATGAAACGTTGTGGGCGCCATGGTTGATTGGGCCTGGTCACAGCACAACAGGCAGGTCAAGAAACAGGCCCAGACGTAATTGTCTGTGCATCCCAGATGCCTAGTCGGTCCACTGGGGTAAAGATGGCGACTTTCTATTTGACTTGTCGTATGGTTGGAGCGCATTGGAGTGCCCGTTTCGGACGGCAGGGTTCGCTGAGTGGTTTCTTCTGGTTCTTCTGGACGCAGTGGGTTAGTCAGTGTGCAACGTGGCTCGTCTCCAGCAGCCTCGCCTAGACGGCTCCTGCAGAAATGCGACCACTTGCGGCGGAATTCGCAGGTCGGGCAGATTAGGGTATCGTCTGTAGGTTGTTTCGATCCGACAATGAGAGGCACTTGTGCCCGATGTGAGGGATATATCTCCAAGTAGAGAATACTCGACCGACGATGAGCTTTCCGGCCAAGTCCTTCGTATGATTCTAAGACAGCTCGGAAGGATGAAGGAGTTCAGCTGGCGGACATCCCGAGTTCACAACAAAGAGATCAATGTAAACAACCAAGCTTTTAATGTTAGGTTGCCAGGCTACCCACTGATTTGGTCCGAACAGGGAGCTGTCGTGATAGCATCCATGGATGCGTAATTTGGCAAAGACAGCCCAAGGCGGGCAATTGCCGGGGGGTTTGATTAGGGTTGACTAGGGCAGTAACGGTGGCGGTCATTGAATTTTGCTTAGAGTATTGATATCTCATGTACACCAATAGAGTACCTATGGCAGGCGACTACTTCGTCATAGTGTAACTACTGGAGTGGCAGGAATTGCCTGGTGCGTGCTCATCGTACCGATACCTTCCGGATGAGAAACCTCAAGATGAGGTCATTTGCGTGAGTACTTCATGTATGAGTCCACTACATAGTATTTTCTCATTCATACGATCACCAGTGGACCAGTGCACTACATGCGAAGTACGAAGCACAAACGACGCATGCAGTTAGACGGTGTGACCAGGAAAGGTACCGCCTGTCACTGCTAACCGGCTCCTGCCAAAACTCAATTTCTTATATCCCATTTCAAATCGAAGCCAACCGTCGTTGAAGAAGGCACCGACCTTCGGAGCTTGGTGGCTGAACCGCCCGGACCGGAGAGTGGTACAGGAATGCCGCTCCCTAAATACTCAACTTAACAACCGAACAGCAGAAGCCGAACGCTCTCACCTCGCTCCAATTCATTCCGTCTTGGATCAGATTGATGCTGCCAGGATCGCCCTAGCGCTTCGTGTAATCAAACCAAATTGATAATAGTCTATCAGCTCTGTCGACCTCGTACGAAGTATGTGTGCGAGGTACGAGGCCAAGCACGATCAGGTACACCAAGGATCTTGCCGTTCACTCCACAACTCCTTCCCCCCACCACACATGCACAAGTGTCGCCCCACATGTGGATTGGGGGTCCCTACCGGGTGGAAGGCGCAAAGGTGCATCTCTGCCGTCGCCTGGCTTCTCCAGACTACACCCCGTACTTCGTACTTCGATGCGATGAATGTGTAAGTTCATCCACCCCAATTGTCATACATATTGACCTTTACACTGAGACTCGTGACAAATATTGAATGTACGTATGAAGTAGACACTTGCTCTCCATATAAGGTATGCGTGCTCTGAGAATAACCGGAGACCGTTGAGCACAACATCTCAACGTGCCCTTGCTCCCAATGTAGCTATACCCGCGCATCACAGGCGTGTTGGGCATCAACGACAATATGGGCGTCCGGAACAACTGGCTGTAGTACAACAAATGCGTAATGCATCGCAAAGAAGGGGTGCCAGAAAAAGAAGGAAAAAAAAAAGTAGAAAGAAAAACTCCACGCCACAACTGACACATGAAATTTTCTCTCATCCAGATTGGAGAACTGCATGAACAACAATGCCCTACTATAGCAGGGCATCCTATCCTAAAAAAGATTCCGCCTGCCTCTTTCTTATTGTGCACTCGAAGAATAATGATAATGGCACGAAGCACCAACCCCTTCGATTCTGTATTGTAGGTACCGAATTGAAACAGGCGGTGAACCCGAGTCGAGTCGAGTATGTACAAGCGTGCCCAATGTATCGGAATCGTGAGCGACTTTGGGTGCACTAGACTCACAGAACATCACAATTTCAAGGGTCAGGTGTGGCTGGGGAAATGTATTTGTGGAGCACCTCCTCAGTGCAGTGAAGGCGAGTTCTAATCCGGATGACGCACGGATCGAATCGAGGACCGCGAAACGGCATTCTCACCCCGTCGGCTTTCAAGATATTGTTGATCTGATAAAAAGTATCCAACATCTCCGTGAGCCATACGCATGTCTGCTACGATGTACAGGGATTATGATCCAGAACTGATCTATGAATCTCTCAGTGAGAGAGCGGCATCGGGTTGACTACTAGTGTGCTATTTGTCTAGATAAATTGGAGTAAAAGAAAAGAAAAGGACTATTAACCACCCTCATTTCTCATGTAACAGAGCTATGCAGGCCTGGTGTCCCCCTCTCGAAACTGCGAGTGGCATATAACACGATATAACCAGTTATAACAAGAACCAGCCCAACGCCAACGCCATGAGGAAGTCAAGTCAAGACTTGGTGGTAGACAAGAAAAGAAGTATTGCTGTGTCTCCGACCTTGACGCCGCCGCCCAGAGATTGGACCGCGTCGAACAAGTGCAGTTAGACCCATGACTTTTGCGCCGCAACTACATGCAGGTTTTGTCATGTCTTCGATAGGCTTTCTTCCCTTCCAAGCACGCACGTGTAAAATTCTGCCATTACATGGCCATTTCCGCCTGGAGTTTCCTGAGTTCCGCCTCTTCGTCGTCTTCTTCGATCGCCTTGTCGGGAACTGTTGATTCGTGATGTCAGCTTCTTAAATCCACAGAATAGAGTTAGGGTGGCCAAGGATAACCGTGGACCAACACGCACTCTTTCCATTTGCCACGGCGGGCATCTTGTGAACGGCATCGGCCACAGGCACCGGGCCGGTCAAAAGCATCTGTTCGTCCAACTGTTCTTGCTGGAGAGACTCCAACTCCTTTTCCAACTCGTCCTCGTCCACGGTTTCCCCGAGAGCGTTGCTCGTGATGGCGGCGACGATTTCTTCGCTGAGGGCATTCTGGTCTCGGAGTTTCTCCCTATTCGTCCCATCGTTAGCATACAGGTAAAAGGATCTCGGAGGGAAATATCGGGGCAGCAGTCCATACATCGTCTCGTCCACCTTCTCCGGCGTCAGCTTTCCGTGGATCTGCTTCATGGCCTCTCCCGCCTTCTCCATAGCCGCGAGAGTCTCGCGGTTGATGTTCGCCGATTCTATCGCGTTTATTTGTTGTTCGAGAGTGCCGATTTGCGCCTGAGTCTGCTCGAGCGAGTGTTCGTGTTGCTTCTTCCTCTTTAAAGCCATCTTCGCGGCTACACAGTTGGACAACAAGTCAGCGCGAACGCCCCTGAGACCAGGAGAACACCATCATCTACCTTGGGAAAGGAACACTAACCGTTCTTATTCGTGCTGACATATTTCCGGGCAAGGCCATCTTGCTCGTCTATCTGTTTCTGGAGATGCGCCTCCCTCTTTTGCAACATCTCCAGCTGTGATCGGAGACCGAGGATCGCATTCTTGGGGCTGTCCTTTCGCTTTTGGGCAGCGCTGGCGCCGCCGAACCAGCCCCAGATTCCGGACATGTTGTCCTAGATTATTTTAACTCGACCGATGGGGTCTATTATCGAAAGGGTACAGGCGCGATGTTGATGCGAGGTGAGACAGACAGGATTATCACGATAAGGGTGGTGGCGGATTGCGTGGCGGGTTGATGGTGGGGTCGAATAGGCGGCAGTCCTGGGTACTTGGAACGGGCAAGTGGGCTTCCTAGGTAACGCCGATGGGCCTCGTCCCAGGGCGGAAAATCGTACTTCCTCGTGGGGTTAGGCAGACAGAGAAATATGAAAGGGAAAGTCTCGACCCAGGTAGAGAGAGAATGTCGAAGTAGTGAATGGAACGATTTCACCTCGAAATGTTGTTCCTAGGCTGGTCACGATGGACCTTGTCTGGCCTATGACGAAGGTTTCCGTGAGCAACACATTTTGCCGCAGATTAGCCGTAGTCGCTCCACTCTTACACGTGATACCTGGATGGCCCTCAGATACTTTCACCTCACCTCGACTGATGGAGACTGTGAGATGATGAAGAGAGCGAGCTTCCAATCGACTATTCTCCTCAGATAGATTCGAGGTTGCCAATTAGCGATGAGAAGTCGTGTACGTATCATGAAGAGGTGTTAAATTTCTTGTCGACGTTGATTCTCGGTCCAACAAACCAGACCATCGAGATGTCATTTGTCAGCTTTCAACACTCAGTCTCGAGACTTGGATTTCTAGACTGATAGCAACATACGGAGTAAAGCAAATGAACTGAGAAAGAAATTCTCTCGCAATCAATAAAGCTTCCTTAGGATCATTCAGATGTCAAACATCCCGGTCCCCTCTCACCTATGCTCCCTCGCCGACCTTCCAAACAGATCGATTGGTGATAAGGTTCGATTTTTAGGATGGTACGTCCTTGCTTCATTCCTCCACCTGAATTCTTAATTCTGACTCTTATCTAGTGTCGTGTCATATGAGGCCGAGACAGCCACCTTGATGCTACAGCATAAGCTCCCAGAAGCAGCTGCAGTCCGCGTAGCAGTTGATGTTGGTCAGCGCCTCGGGCCGTTAAAGTCGGAGGAGATTCGACCCGGCCGCTGGCTCAATATTATCGGCTATGTCACCTCCATAACCTCCGATGGGGCCGGTGAACGCGTAGGAATCCAAGCCATCATGCATTGGTCCGCTCACGCCCTCGATGTCGACAAATATGAACGGATCGTGAGGCTCGAGTCTTCGACGCCAGCTCCGACCAATCCCCCTCTCTCCTGAAGCCTGAAGAGGGTTGGGGCCATGATAAAGAGTTGACTGTTCGCCATACACAACCCTCCTGCTATGGAGAACCCGTTTTACGGGAATCCCACGTCTATTGGCATTCTTTAGCGCTCCTGGCGTTTTCAGTGTCGGTGGCCAAACGATTAAATCACTATGCTTTACACCCGTTTTTATGTAGCTGGAACAATATATTGATACCTTTGGGCGTTGGAAAGGCATGAAGCAGGCTTTCGACGCTGGCGCCACACTCCATCTGTCTAATCGAAGGATGCTCTGGCCGCAAGTTGGGGGAAGCGGCCTTTTCTCCTCCTTCCCCAGGGCCTGGCATAGAAGGAAAGCCGCTAGGCTCCGGCGATACCCCTATTCCCTCAATTTAAAAGCTCGCAATCCACCCACCCCGTCACGATCCTGATAATCCACGGCGGAAATCAACTTTTACTCTCACGGCTCTTATTCGTGAGACGGCGGGTTCAGTGGTGGAACAGCTTTGCATATCCAGTTAACCCTCTTCATTGATGAACTTTCGGCCCTGAGCAGGCCTATTTCACACTCCCATCATCATTGCCAGCCCACTTAGACGCGCGAGAATCTTTATCTGAGATATCCCACCACATATTAGTCCCAACTAACCACATGTTTCCCTATTTGATATTATTCGAACCATTTTATTACTTCGTTCTCCCTATTCCCAGCCCCTCGTAGCCCGGTATATGGTCGCATCACACTTTCTTTTGAGTGTGCTTTTCGAGGCATATCAATAGTTCTTACGAAAGAGTTTCCCTTATATAAATCGGCACGCCCATTATGTCCTAATCGTCGAGTCCATCCCTCACTCAAATAATACACGCTCTCATTCGGAAGGAACGCCCTTCGCACCTTCGCACCTTCCTCGACATACACGGACACCGCCCATATCCTTTATAATCCTTTATATATGAGTTTATAGCAAGAACTCCCAACCGAGTAGCTCGAGCACCAACACTGCAACTAAAAGACCTAGCGGTCAAGTGGTGCGCTCAAAAAGTTAGAAATAAAATTATTGTTGTTAAATTTTTTTTTCCTTTTTTTCTGGTAGGTACGTGTCCAGCGGGGAATTGTTTCGTTCGAAGTCAACCAGAGCAGCGCATGCGATCTTTTTTGCCTTTTCTTTTCACCTTTTCCACCCCCCTCTCTCTCTCTTTTGCCTTTTGCTACCATACCCGCCGAGAAGATAATGCGCAGCTATCCTCCTGGTCTCGGGCTGTAAAAGGCCAAGTTTAAACATTTTCTTTGATCCGCTTGGAGCTAGTTCTCGAGGTTGGACCTCTTGATTCAGACACGGTCCCGATATGAATCACCCACCAAGCCATGCAGTTTCGGGTATGCCAGAGGCCGGATGGTGACGACCTTGTGACTGAGATCGCCTCACACATTCGTCCCGATTCTCCCATCCGCTGCGGAACGGAAACTAGGTGGAATCAGCCACTGCCACACCTTCTCGACGGACACATCTCCTACTTGACGAGGAGATTGTTCTTATCTCTACTTCTGATTTACAACAGTCAAGTCACACACATGTATTCGAGGGCAATATGTAACACATTTGTCGTCCCATCTCGTTCCGCTCCCTCCGCTCTACTTACATCAAAAGCAGTTAGGTCCTTTATGCCAAGTTGCCATCCCGCTCGGCCACCCTGGTTATCCGTCACATTTTACCGGGTGAAAAGGCGATAGCAAATTACAGCCGGGTTTGTGCTTTTGCTTGTATTGAGTACTGATATAAAACCGACCGCTTGGGTCATTTACAGCCGTCTCGACGGCTGCTATTCTTGAGCCGTCGTTATCACTCCGTGAGCCCACACACAGCAAGACACCTGAGCAAGGGTTCTGGAATCCTCGCGCCACCGGATCGGTAGAAAAGTGGTCGTTGTGCCAATCTTCCCTACTAACATCTCGACCTTCGTGTGTGACGAGAATCGGATGCGGTCTTAATATTCAGGCTAAACCCATTCCGCCCGTAGGCGAACGTCCGGAGAGGACTCTATCGTCGACGGCGTGCCGTTTTGGTGTCCTAGGCACTTTACGAGCGGGCATACTGCACACCCTCTTGCAGCACAGTATTGCTTCCCATGCACCAGTTGGTAACGGTGAGCTCCTTTTTCCTGGATGTGACGATGGCTGTTGCTAGCCACTCCCAACATGGGGGGAAGGCAATGTATAAAATGGGATACATGGCAGTTAGATTGGTGAGCTGGGCGCGCGGGGGGACCTTTTGTGCATGCTTTCGAGTTTGTGTTGGTGGCTTGAGAAGCTTCACAAGGATCATTGATATGTTGAGCAGGTGGGTGCTGTCCAATCTCGCGAGGTGCGGGCTAATAAGAATGTCCTATGAGCTTGTGCCGTCTAAGCTCGTCCCGGGGGCCGCTCAACCTCTCACTCTCGCTTCATCTCCCAATTTTCAAGATGCTACGGTGCTTAATGCCGCTTTAATATGGAAGTCGACATTACTTAATTTCCTTCCCAGCAACAAGTTCCCGGTCCATGGGATACGTTGTCCCTGTTGGTGCCAGTCAGGCGGGTGACGCAGTCTCAACGATTATGCAGAGGCAATGCTGTGTAGGAGAGGAGTGACGGTATAAGCGGTGGTTGCTCCCACTTTGCAAGTTCCTAACGAAAACCAGGTCGTCTCTCTTGGTCTATTAAAGAATTGAAGAACACTGAGATGTGCAACAAAAGATGTATTCCTTGACTCTTCTCACCACAATTTTGGCAGCAGTATCAACTGCTTCAGCCCAACTCAATCAACTAGCCAAGGCCGCTGGTCTGCTGTATTTTGGAACAGCAGTAGACAACCCGGGGCTCAACAACCAGCAGTATATGTCCATCGCGCGAGACACGAAGGAATTTGGCCAAGTGACACCGGCGAACGGACAGAAATGGGACTCTACTGAGCGGAGCCAAGGCCAGTTCAGTTACGGAAACGGTGATGCTGTGACTAGTATAGCTCGGCAGGCCGGTCAGATACTAAGATGCCATACTCTTGTGTGGCACAGTCAACTTCCCAGCTGGGGTATGTGGAATTTATTAATACTAACAAAAGTTATACGAATTCTGGTATTAATGTGGATGTAATAGTGAGCAATGTGTACTCGAGAGACCAAATGGAAAGCGTGATCCGCACTCACATCCAGAACGTTGCGGGTCATTACAAGGGACAATGCTACGCATGGGACGTCGTCAACGAAGCACTGGAAGAGAACGGCCAATATCGCCAGAGTCCAATGTACCGGGCCATGGGTGCCGATTTCATCCCTTTCGCGTTCAAAGTTGCGGCCGAAGTCGATCCAGGGGCCAAATTGTACTATAACGACTATAACATCGAACATCCCGGGGCAAAGGCCACAGCTGCGCTTGAAATAGTGAAGAATATTCAAGCACAAGGCGCACGTATTGATGGTGTCGGTGGACAGGGGCATTGGATCGTGGGCCAGACGCCAAGCAGACAGGATTTGATGAGTGTGTTAGCATCGTATGCCGCGCTCGTCGACGAGGTAGCCTACACGGAGATTGATATCCGGCATTCACGAGTGCCAGCGAGTCAATCGGATAGGGAACTACAGGCAAGGGACTACGTGACCGTGGTAGATGCCTGTTTGCAGACTCCGAAGTGTATCGGCATTACCATTTGGGACTTTGCGGACCAGGTAAGTTGACTTTTCCTTCTTGGTTTTCTCTTTTTTCTGCCTTGCGTCTTTTCTTTCCTTTTTTCTTCTTCTTTTGGGAAGCAGTCTGGTGTTAGCTCGATGGCTTCTAATATCTGCTGCAGTACAGTTGGGTGCCCTCCACTTTCAATGGACAAGGAGAAGCATGCCTCTGGGATAACAACCTCAACAAGAAACCGGCATACACCAGTCTTGTGAACCACTTCCAGAGTGTGGCTTCACAGCGAAGGCCGGCCACTACCAGCACGAGCACGAGCACTACATCGACAAGTAAGCCTAGCAACCGCATCTCGTTACGATGAATAAAAGTAACTAACTATTTTACAGCATCTTTGACGACGAGTGTCGCTACACCATCTACAACAACAGTAGTCCAAACCTCAGTCGTGACAGTTACTCAAGTCTCAACAGCCACCGTGACGAGCACCACCACCGTTAGCGAACTAGTCACTTCAAGTCCAGAGCCAGAAACCGTAGTCACCACATCAATATTGACACTTTTATCTACCATTTCCGAATGTGACACTGGGATTGTAACATCCAACCCGGCAGACTCCCTTCGGGAGCCTACGTCCGAGTCCACAGAGGAGGCAACGGCAGAAGCATCACCGTCACCGTCACCGACACCCGAGACCGTCACAGTCACAGAAGACGTCACTGAAACCGTCACTGCGACGTCTGTTTCCACATTTAGGTCTACCATAACCTCATTCACCGATCCTCCTGCGCCGACAGCCCCTCCAGTCTCCAGGTATGGCCAGTGTGGTGGTGCAAGTTGGACTGGATATACCGTCTGCGAATCGGGCGCTACCTGCACACCAATTAATGACTATTATTACCAATGTCTATGAGAAAAAGAGACTAGGTATGAGAAAGATAAACAGTCTAGGGAAACGTGAGCCGTACATAGACCAATCATTGACGATGCCAGAGATGGGCAGGGGTCAAGCTAGATGGGCCCAAGCTGTGGAATCTAAATTCGATGCCAATGTCTCTGTTGAGAACACATACTCTTACATCGATATGATATCGTATGTAGAATGTATATCTTCGTTTAGTAATGTATCCCTCATGCTTTCCCGAGTCCTTTCCTGAAAGCCTGCTTGGCAGAGCAATTCCACCGGCGGCTGAGGGTGACGAGGGTGACCCTTGACCAAAGATCCTTTCTTATCAGACCACCCATCGTTTGCCTCATCTAGAGCCAATGAAGGGTTCCATTCTACGTAAGAACAAGTGGTATTCTAGATTAAGTGCGGCTGAATACTTCACCGTGGTGCAGTCTGGCCGGCCAAGTCGGACATATCGTGCCGGTTGGCCAAAGGAAAGGTGGAAAAACGAAGAGAGCAAAGAGAAAGGCATCGTCTGAATACAGTCACCGAAACTAAGAGCCGCATTCCCAAGTCCTTGCTGAGAATCCCAATGCTTTATCCTGACCCCACCCGCCTCGTGCTCTTGGACACATCCATTAATGCATACATGTGTAAGATCCCGCCCCAATCCGTACCGAACAAGCAGACCAGGCTCTCAACGAAACCCCCTCCCAATGCACAGCAGAGCCTCAACTATGCCCCTTTGGGCGCTCACTTTCTCCGACATTGCGGCTCTTAGCCCACCTTCACGCCCTCCCTCGGCCGCCTTCGGAACGAGACAGGGTTGGAATGGCGACCAGGCGACCTTGGGGATCTTTTTCCAGCCCCAGTTCCAGACATTGCGGCTCTGTGCACACCCTGCTACTGGTTCGGCTCAATCTAGAAGGGTGATTTGTGCAGAGGATGACACAAGCGAACTTATTACGGAACAAGACACAGCCCTGCCGCTGTGCTACGTACATAGGTGCATCTGGGGAGAACCAATATCACTTCCAGATCACATCCACAACTGTGCTAGTTCGATTTTGGTAATGAAATTGCGGCTCTTCGCGAGTCCTATGAGGCAATGACACCCTCGTGGCCTGCCACATAACACCGAGATGGTGGGCTGAGGCTCTGCTCTAGCCACTCAGAGAGCTGACCTTCATGCTTCTCGTCAAGCATCTCTCTCGCTACTCGGAAGATGAGAGGATGCCGGCAGCTAGTTTTGCTCAAGGAAGCCAGAGAAAAGCCGAACATTCGTGCGGGGGATAGACAATCTGGATGACGACCTTAACCTCGCTCGGATGCAAGTAGGCCCCTTGGCATCAGGCATTTCCCTTCCGATAGATCATGGAGGGTGGTTGATTGAGGCTTTCCGAGGCGGGGAGAGGGAATTGAAGATGCGGAGAGAGACCACAGATCAGGAAACTTGGTCGCAGATGTGCATCTTGGCTTCCACACTTTCGCACCTCATGGATAGAGCATCTGAGGATATAAAATGGCCTCAAGATTTCCACTTTCCTGACCTCAATATTCCTTCTCCAGAGCCCAGAGCCTCCTTGAATAACAAGCCCCCTTCCAAAACCTTCATCTTCCCTTTGACAACTTCAGTTCCCAAGCCCCGAGCTTACCCTTTGACCTGTGCATGTGCGGTGACGACAAGTTCATCAACACTTCCGCTAACACCCAAAACCCATCCCAAGAACAAGAAGAAGCCATGACTTCCATCCTTTCCACCTCCAATGCCGAGCAGTACTACTCCCAGGGACTGCGAGGGCGTTTCCAAGTCGACGCCCTCCGCATCCCCACAATCGCAAGCCCCTCTCAAAAGTTCGCAGACATTGACTACGAATTCACCGAGGAAGACTACCGAAAGCGCACCGAGGCTGTCCTCCGCGCCGGTGGTCTTGAAACCCATCTCCCCGCTGGGTTTCCCCGTGCTGTGGATGGCCCCATGACTTGGTCCGGCGCCGATTTTCCCAATGAGGATGCCTATGTCGTTCATCTTACCGATGAATGGAAGGCCGAGATTAAATCTGCCTTGGACCATTTTCTCTGTAAGAGCATTTCCTTCTTAATAGAACCCCTTCCGATTATTCGGGATGGCGGTGTTTGGTTTGTGTCGTGCGGACAAACATGGCCACTAACACCGTTTTGTAACATCAGCTCTCGGCCTTCCGAACACCGTGGTCGGCCCCGCTAATTTCCCCCTTCCGACCCTCGGGCCCCGTCTCATCCAAATCCGCGACGATATCTACTATGGTCGCGGTTTCTCTATCCTCCGTGGCCTCGATGTCGATTCCTATTCCAACGAAGACGGCATCACTGTCTGCCTTGGCATCACCTCGTATGTTGCCCCGACTCGAGGCAAGCAGAATCAACGAGGAGACATGATCAGTAAGTGCCCAATCCGCTCCCCCATTACACACATCAGGCAATGAGCTAATCTCCCTTCCTAGTGCATGTCATCAACACGGATGAGGATGATGTCGTGGCTAATAAGACGGTGGAAAAGGTAAACCTTTATCCTTCCTACATCACGTCTTTCTCTGATAGAACTTTGACTGACTCTTACCAAGCCCTTCCACACCGATACCGTCTGTGACGTTCTTTGCTTGTTCACCAAGGCTTGCGCCTCTGTTGGTGGTAGGAGCGTCATGGCGTCCGTGGGCAAAGTCTACAACGAAATTGCAGCCACTCGCCCTGACATCATCCATGCCCTCGTCAAGCCCGATTGGCCCTTCGATACGTAAGTAGAAAAGAAGATTCATCCACACCACACCGCTCATCTCTCTTCCAACCGCTAACTAGAAAAACGCTTCCTACCGAACAGTTATGGTCGAAGCCCCGCCTACTACAAGCGTGCCCTCCTCTACCACCAAGACGAGAGGCTCCTCATGAACTTCTCCCGCCGCCTGCTCACGGGCTCGGCTCCCCGCGATCCCCGCAGTCCCGGGATCCCCGGCCTCACCGAACGCCAGGCCGAGGCTCTCGACGCCGTGCACGCCATCTCCCGCGCCCACGAGATTCGCACGGTCATGATGAAGGGAGATATTCGCTTCCTGAACAACATGGGCATCGTACATCGCCGCGAGTCCTTCGAGGACGGCGAGGGTTCTCGTCGTCATCTCGTCAGACTGTGGCTGAACAACGAGGAGCACTGCTGGAAACTTCCGGCTCCCCTCCGCCTTGCATGGGCTCGAGTCTTTGAGGATGAGGAGAGGGAGACGCACTGGGCCTTCAGCCCCTTTGGGAAGGACGGCAAGTATCTTAGGCCGACTGTTTCGTGTGATTAAGTTGATTCTTTTTATCCCAACGAGCCAGATGCGCCCTTTCTCAACGGAGGGAATGGATGAATGAATTTCGAAGAAAAAAAAAAGAAAAAAAAAGAAAAAAAAAGAAAAAAAAAAAGGAGCCAAGGCGGAACGTTTCGAGTATTAGCTGATGTTTATGTTTGATATTTTTGTATGGGGCGCTCGTTTAGTATGGGGGTTCTTCCCTGGTCAAGTATTGTTAGCTCACCTGGTCGGATTCGGAGGGTGGGAGGGTTCCCCCTTTCTTGACGAGCTCCTAGTTTGTGCTTGATTTACCAAAGGGCGGCTTTTGTTTTCCAGATTGCAAAGGGTCACAGAACACCACCAGAATGTATGTCGTCTTTCAGCAGTTGAAAATTATCGTTCGTTACCATCTTCTTCATCAAATGTGAGAAAAAGTGTCAACCACGGAAAAGACCAATGGAAACAAGAAGAAATCACCCCCCAAACAATGAACTTGGCCATAGAGTATACACAATCGAGTACAGAATATAAAGATAGATTATAAGGCAATTCCTACCACGGAGTAATAACGGCTCTAGTCCATTTTATCTGGTGTCCAGTCTTCGTCGTATAGCTGGGACAGCCAGTACCATACATTCTTCGGATCTTGGGTCTGACGAACATAGCTAAAGGAAGGTCCTATCGTGAAAAGTCGAGGAGTCAGTAGGGGAGAGCCTAGATACCTGTATGTGCTGAAAGCAAATGAACTTACTCATTGAACTGACATATGCATATGTCCGTTTCACAAACTTTTCCTCCTTAGGAGTGAAATCAGGCTTTCGCTTCGAGGCAGCTGGACGAGACTCTGAAGTGAGGCGAAAAGGCAGCGCCCCGCCAAGTACAACGTGGAAATGGGCCAGGAGTGTCGTGACTCCCCTCTGATGGTCCTTGACGGATTGTGGGTTGGCATAGTCTTCCCAGAGCCCGATCTGCCGGGCGTATTCGTAGTCCCGATGGATCAGAAGAGAACAACTGTGGAGCAGCACGAATAAGGTCAAGTAAACGCTTAACCAGTTCATCCGGGATCGGCCCCGAATGATTTTTTCAAGCAGGCTGCGGACTTCTGCGCTCCATGGTCGGAGGAATTTAGTATATATAATGCACTCAAGCTGGGCACCCATGACCGGTGGTGTAGGGAACTGATTGGCCCAGGGACTAGAGGGGTCCGCGTCTACCTGCCGGCAGCCCAAAGTTTCCATTCCTGCCACAATAGCCTCGGGGTATGATGTAAAACGGCAGGCCTGCCACAGGCGAAATGCTTGTCGTATCAGAAGCTTTGCGTCGTTATCCTACGCAGGTGGGTGGTGGAGTGTCAGTAGACAGATCCTCGATCTCTAGAACTATGAAACTGAGCTACAAACCTTGACATCACCAATATATCCAAACGCAAAGAAGAAGGTATCCCATATAAAGTCGCCCCCTTCTGACTTGCTGTTCTGAGGGATGATACTCTCCCAGTAGAGGTGTTGGGTGTCTTCTGCCATCTTAGCAATGGATTGTGCGGCCTCTTCCATGTCAACGATGGCGTACGGAGGAATCGGGAAACGTCGCTGGATATAGCCGTCATGCCATATCTCCTCAAGCATATCGCCCTCCTGGGGAATGAACTGTCGAACCCTCAATTTGTACGGAGCTTTCAAGAAGACTTGGCTGACCTCAATGATTTGATCCTCAGTCGAGGCCCAATCCTCGATGTTCACTAGGTCCATGGTTTTCCATCTCTTACTGAACAGATGATATGGAGCTTCTTGTTCTCGGTATAACGATGCGTCATTAACCGAATACCGGTAGCATAGGCCGGGGCGAGGTTTCAAGGAGGCGCATCGTTTACAGGAACCCTCATGGTTCTCTGGATTGACGCTACACTGCAGGTGAGGACAGATGTCAGTAATTCTATATCAGCCTAAGGAGCTCGTGGCCGTCGGCTGCTAGGAGCCATATCCAGACACATCGGGCATTCCATACCTTGGTCTTCAAATAGCGACAGGCACAACAGGCCCCACCAAGGTCTATTAATATGCGAGATTCTTCTCTTGAAGCTTCGGACAAAGGCCCCGTTCTCTTCGGAATTCCCTTCACCGCAGGCCTCTCTGGAATTTTCTTTTTGACCACCGCATGGTTCAGTCGCACGCCCGGTTTCCGCCCGCGTTTCTTCTGGGATACGATTTAGTAAGGCCAAGATACGGAGCTAGCTTGGAGGATGAAGAAAGTTCTAACCTTCTGAGGCAGCGACCAGTCTCTGCTAAGACCAACCCCGGCAGGCCGCGGGTCTCCATTTACGGAGGGAGTTCCAAGGGATCGAGTATAGGGTGTCGTTGAGCTTTGGGGAGTGAGGACAATAGAGTTGGAGGGGGAAGATGGTGGTCCAACACGAATGTTGGGGTTAGAGGATTCGAACGGCTTTACAAGTTCCCCAGAGTGGGATGGAAGAGCAGAAGTAGTCTTCAGGTGCTCATTCTGGCTCCCAACGCGACCCTGCTCACCACTGGACGGAGTGAAATCGACATGACATCGGAATATATCAAACAAGAGATGTGCAGGTTGAGGATTGTCGGTCCTGGAATTGAGATCGATTCCGTCCTCTGACCTCGAGGCGGGCGATCTCGGGGAGCCGGAAGACTCGCTGAACCGGGATCCGATATTATTGAAGGCGGCGTAGCCTGGCCAGCCATGACTCGCTCCGAGCATCGCAAACGAAGGGTTTAGAGTTATGAGGGGTTGGCTGGATGTAGATACAAGGGTTCGCGTATTGCTTGATGGCAAGACTGAGGGGAATGAGGGGGTAGAGTTCGCTGGGTATCTCGGTAGCCCGGCGAAGGTCAATGGGGTCAGGAATTGGGTTGAGCGACCAGAGTCCGGCCCCCCGCTCGGCAATGGGTTTGCGTTTCTTTCATCAACGGCGGTGGGGACCCCCAAATGAGGGAAGACTTGGCTGTAAGCCAAGTCATCATACGAGACCTGGATAGGCTAATGTAAGAGGAGGTTGCCGGGCAGTCTTCCCCGAGGGCATGATCCAAGAAAGGGGAGTGGATACAATCGGGAACTTCGACCTGCAGAAGAGATATTGTGGGTGGGACACACCTGGGGGTCCATTGTTACTTCGTGATCCAGAAGTAAGAACCTGTTTGATCACGGCACCCCAGTTTCACTGGTTGTTTGGCGATGCAGGAAGCCGGGGTATGGGAATGCCGCAGGGTGAGTTTTTGTTCTCGGCGTTCGGCTGCCAACTTCCACGATGATAGCTTTAGAAACCAGCCCCGAACTCTGGTCCTTCACTAACTAAGCGATAACGCCACAATGCAGTTCAGATAAGCCTACCTACCCCTATGACGAGGCCTTTGAGGGTAAAGAGGGCTAAATCTTGGCTCTTCTTGACGTTAGCGTCCTCCTGCGATTGGGAGCCTGGAAGACCGAACAAAAGGGGGAGGGACTTCTAGAAGCAGAGAGACCCGGCTCGCCTGGTGGTACGCACCGGGTACCAATTGAGGAGTAAAGGGATAAAGAGATCACGAGACAATATCGTCGGAGCACTTTTGTGGCAGCATCACGAATAGGGCCGAAGGAAAGGAGAAAGGAGAAAGGAGAATTGTTCCCTGGAGCCTGACGCGGTCGTCGTTGCCCGCAAGGCTCCGGCGCCAATGTGCGCTTCGCTTGGACTCGGGCTGCAAAGTACAAAGTACCTCAGAACTTCTCCAAACCAACCAATCAAATTAAGCCTCGAGTTGGTCGTGGTGTACAGTTGTACACTGCAAATGTACCGAGAAGTGGAGACGCGCTACGGCTCCTGCCGTCCGTAAATTGAGCCTAGGATCCCGTTTCCAGCCAATCACAGCGCGCTATTTAGGCAAACCCGGTGTGCACAGCCCCGGTTACGGTCCATCCCATTTGTTGGTGGGGACATCGCGACCCGACTTGGACAATCCCAGACATCATCGGTTCCCGCCTCGATTCTTCCAGGGACATCCGGTTTACTAACCCCTACAAGAGGGCTCCAATCCCATCGGAGAGAATTCCAGACCGGGCTTGAACCACTTTATCTCCACAGACGGTAACGTCCCTGGAGCACGACTGGACTACGAGACACTTTTCTCTGTCCGCGTCTCTGTCATGCTCTATCGGGATGAAATCTATTCATCGGTCATCTCATGGCGATGTAACATGCCTCATTCTCATCTACGAGTGGTGGTCGTAGAAAGACGGTCTCAGCGCATGAGATCAGACCGCTTTTCCTGTGTGCTTCCATATCCTGCAAATATTGAGCGCTTGCAGCAGAATCGCCGTTGGCCGGATTCGTCTAGGATGATCAGTATCTCTTACAGACGTGGTAAAAAGGATTTGATCTCACTAACAGCCTCAACCGACCTAACCCTGCGGCATCGCGGATGGTGCTCACGTCATGTAGTAATTCCCGTGCGGCTCGGTGAGACCCAGCACCTGCTTTGTACCGCATCGTGGGGAGTACTCTCCAATCAGTGCCTCTTCATACTTTTCGTGCAACGTAGTCATCGGCCCATTACACATCACGACTGTAAGAATCTAAATGCCTTCTACCTCGGTACTGTGGGCAGCCAGTTAGCCTAGCAGACAGAAACCAAGAGCAAACGTCTAGTTCCCAGAGAGGGGAGGTTCTGGGTATCGAATACTAGCTGGCAATCATCACCATTACATTCAAAATTTAGGACCCCAACCAAGGCAGATTTGAGGACGACCACTACTTGTATTTTTGTAGTCTAAGTTGTTGGGGGTAGAACACGCGTAGGGAAATTTAAATGATTGCTGAAAAGGATTGGGAGGTGGTAAACCAATAAAATGAATTAAAATTCAATCCCCGGTATCAAACTGGGGTTGGACTGATGTTCGAAAAAGCATACCGCCTTTCCTCGCCAGGCGAAAATGAGGCGAACTTCTATGCGGGTAAAGCATACCTGGTTTCAAGCCACTTCGTATACGGGTTTCCGGCGATAGTACAATGGTGGCCGGTCAGCTGGTGGGTTCACTTTGGCATGCGCGCTTTTCATTTTCTTCTTTCCCTTTTTGGTGCAGTTGACGTTCCTGGCGTGTGCTTCGTATAGAATTTTGATGTCCACGTTGGTCGCCCGCATGCATCCCTCCTACCATATTGCACATACTCGATCCTTCCACCTGCTTCCGCTTCAAGAAAAGTCTAACAGCAGGCACAAAACATTATTGAGACTTCCTGCTGTTTCTTGCGTCCTGGGGGCAGCATCGAGGACGGTCATGTAATTCCCTGCAGTGTTCCCCCCCTTAGATATTCCACACATGAATCATCTAGACATAAGACGATAATATCTTACGCCATATTGGCCTGTATACGGAAGCGAGGGTGCGACTGCAGATTCAATGGAAATCTGAAGGATACAATAATCCTTGTCAGGCATCAAAAGATTTGGCAGTGATGTTGAGTACTTTTACACCTGAGGTTCCCTTTTATTCATCAATTTGCGGCTCAAATCCACCAAAATCTCATCCGACTACATCTCGACTTCTTTAATCCCCAGGATGTCGCTCGACAATGCTAAGAGCGCGAAGAGCGCCCGGACGGCTTTTACGGAAAGCAGCCTCTTGAGAACGCTCGCGGCTATCCTCCTCTGCTTCCTCTTTATATATCTTGTCCACGTGTGGACTCCTGGAGGACTCGACCTAGTGGGATGGAAACCGGAGGGAAACATCAAGCAACCGACTTTGTGGGAAGATCTTGTGCAGGGAAAAAGAGACGACGATTTGGCGAAAATCCGCAGCGAGTGGTTATTGGAGCTCTCATTTATTGAAAAGGCCAGCCTCCTGCCTTCCATCGCGGGCGAGTTTATTGAAAGTCTGCTTGATCCTGAAACCCTCTCGATCACGTCTATGGATGTACCAGATCTGTTGGCGTTGACCACGAGTGGATCCATTTCATCGGAAGTAGTAGTGACGGCCTTTTGCAAGCGCGCCGCGTTTGCCCATCAGTTGGTATGGTTTACTTGTATCCGGCAGCTTGCCATGCGTTATCTTCGGTGTTCTTCTGACGACCTTGACAGAATAAATCTCTCCTGGAGATTAACTTTGAGAGCGCCATTGTGCAGGCCAAAAAGTTAGATGCCTATTTCAAACGGGAGGGCAAAGCTCTCGGGCCGCTCCACGGTCTACCAATGACTCTTAAAGATCAGTACCATGTCAAAGGAATGAACACGACGATGGGATACGTCGGCTGGATTGATACCTTTGAAGGAAGCAAAGACTCACCTCTCAAAGGGGCTACAGAAAGTGAAATCGTTCGTGAGCTAGAATCCTTGGGCGCTATAATCATTGGCAAAACCACTTGTGTACAAAGTCTCTGGTATGGGGAAACCAACAATAATATCCTCGGATATAACTTCAACCCAGTCAACCAGAATCTTTCTTCTGGCGGAAGCTCTGGAGGTGAGCCGAGTCACAGTTCAGGTTTTGATGATCATGAAGAAGGGGACTAATACTGTTGTAGGCGAGGGCGCAATCCAAGCTCTGGGAGGCAGCGCAATTGGCATTGGGGCTGATGTTGGCAAGTCTCCACAATCTCGTATACTGCCAATCTAATGAATAAAGCCCTAATACCGTACAGGTGGATCCGTTTCTATGCCGGCATCATACAATGGTATTTTTAGCATCAAGCCTTCCGCCAACAGACTTTCTTTTAAGAACGTGGCGAACTCGGTTGGTTTTCCTTCCGATCGTTTATGTCTTTGAGCCAGCTAACGTGAGTTATTTCAAAGTCCAAGGGTCAAGCTCATATTCCCACGGTCCCGGGACTGCTTGGGCGTTCTATTTCTTCCATTAGGCTTCTGTTCGAGGCACTTCTGTCCACTGAACCCTGGCTTCGTGACCCCGAAGTCATTCCCCTCCCCTGGCGGGAAAACCAGGCACAGAATTACACCAAACGCAAGCTATCATTCGGTGTCTACGCACATGACGGCATAGTAAGGCCACATCCCCCAATTGAGCGGGCTCTGAACATAGTGATCGACGCTGTGCAAGCGCAAGGGCATGGCGTGAGTTTACAGGCCGTTTCTCTCGTGGACTATTGTGGCACCACTGACCGTGTTATTTCAGGCTGTCGATTGGAATCCCCCAAACCACACTGAAGCAGAAATATTGCATGTAAGTCAAGCCATTGAGACATCAAAGTTGGACACAAGCTGATTTTTGACTGCAGGACAAAATAGTAAATGCGGATGGCAACTATGATGTGCCCCAACAGTTGGCGCTCTCCGAGGAGCCATTTATCCCGGAGCTAATTCCTTATTTTCCGAATGGGAAGCCCCAAAAGCCGCTGAATGCTATTGAAGTCGAGCAGTTCGTCCAAAGGCTTCATGCATTCAGAAATGATTATAACGAGTATTGGCTCTCGACTAAAGCCCTTAGCGGGACAGGTAGGAGTGGTTTTTTGACCCGATGAGGTTGGTTCATTTTGGCAACGATAGGCTGATGGAGATTAATGCTTAGATCGGCCGGTTGATGCCTTGATTATGCCTAGTAAGCCTGCATGGCTCGTTTCCAGATCGTACTAATACGGACAACTAACCCGGGGGGGTTCTGAATAGTAACACCCACGGCTGCCGTCATCCCAGGGAGGTCATTCTACTACAGTAGGTTACCGCTCTCGGTTAAGCAAGTATTTATGTACATTAGTTGACCGAGTCATTGTAGCGTATACGTCCATTATCAATACGCTCGACTATGTAGCGATTGTAATCCCGGTTACATTCGCAGACAGAGCCATTGACAAACTTGATGTCGATTACCTCCCAGTCAGTGAGGTTGATAGACGCAACTGGAATGCTTGTAAGTTTTCTTCGTCACATACGCAGCTCATGGCTTCTATTTCCAGGGCTGGGCGATTCTACGTGATTAGCATAGCTTCATTAACTCGAACTGTAGATGATGCAGACATGTACCACGGCGCACCGGCGTGTGTGCAGATAGTGGGACAACGTCTTCAGGAGGAGAAACTGTTGGTCATCGCGCAGAGGGTGGTGGATGCCATAGAGGAGTACAAATATAAGCAAGAGAGGCTCTCGGGGAAAGAAACCGGTCTGAAGGTGCAGAATACCGATATAAATGGCTAGAAGAGGGCAGTACGCAGGCCCGGATGAATCACGAGCGAATAGGTCGCAGGTTGGCTCTCTGAGCGTGCCAGCGAGATCAATGATGAGCCTCTCCGCCCAGGACCCACCCTCTCGAGGTGCCTGTTCACGACCGCACCGAATCTCGGCTCGTGAGCAAGAACAACTTAGCTCGGAGAACATGTCCCCGGAACCAGAGGCTGGCTGAGCGGGGAAGGGTTGCTACAACTCGATAGAGTTAAGCCATGACGTCGAGTTTATTCGCTTGAGGCGTTCTGGCGCGTCAATCTGGCTCGATGCTAAGTTTAATTGGAGGATTGGCCGACGTTGACTTCAAGCTGCAAGGATGCGAGGAGATGGGGTTTTGGCTGGAAGGCGGCCCAAGAGTTGTGACTGCAGGCATCCAGTAGTATTTCAAGCCGGGAATGTCGGGAGCAAAATGTGAGCCTAGCCGTCGGATGAGGTTGCTGCCAAGCTCTCAATGGATATCGGTCTGCAATTGTGTTGCAAAAGTGAGCAGTCAATTGTACCTCGGTATAATCATATTCCGCTTAGCCTCTCCTCATTCATCATTAACAATTAATTGCCAGCTGACCGGCTGAACTGCCAAATGGCAACGGCCTGTTGATCGCATTGCCACTGGTTGTGGGTGGTCGGGATTTGCGGGGTCAACCAATCAAAACTCACTAATTATCATGTGAAAACCGCCTGTCGAGTTTCCTCTTCTGGGCTCATGTCGTTCGATCATGTACTATGACCATCTGGGAAAAAGCACGATGAAGTATTTTTGTACTCACTTTTTCCGAGCACTTCCAGTATTTCCGGCACGACCACACCAACACATCACGCCTCCCAATACTCCAATCATACCTGATCATCATTCCCCCTCTTGCTTTCTTCTTCCCCCTCTCTTTTTTTCCTTTTTGTTTTTGATCCCAAGGATTCGATTCTCCGTGCCCAGCCCAATTGCCTTGCTATGGCTAATTTTCTCCCCATCAAAATTCCTCGGACCAATTGATCCACCATCAAAACCGACATCCGAGGGTAAGCCTCGAGCTTGAGAAAATCTTCTCTTGGCCGTTCACCACCTGTGTGATAGCTCCATTGCGGGCCACATCCTGTCACCCAATGTCTACGTGCGGTTTAGACATACCATCGGCGCGATTGATCTACAACACGACCTATTAAGCTCGAGCTCGAAGCGTTTTACCTACGATCCTTGCGAACCTATTCACCTTCCTACGGACAAGATGGTTCTCTACCACACAGCGGCCAACACTTACGCCCACCCTTTCCCCGCCGTCACCCTCGCCTACTTCCTCCGATACACGTCTCCGGCTATCAACCCCTTCGCCACCCATGTCCTCAGCACCGACACTATCTCCAGCGAGGTCGACCCCGTCACTGGTCGCTTGCACATGACGCGCATCCATCTCAAGAAGTCCAGGATGCCCTCGGCCATCTTTAAGCTTCTCCCTGCTGGCGTCACAGGCGGGAAATCGGCCGAGAAAGCAAGCTACATTCTTGAGACGAGCGTCGTCGACATGCGGGAGGGTTGGATGAAGACCGAAAGTCGCAACCTTAACTTCACTGGTGTCTTGAGCGTTGTTGAGCAGCAGCTGTACAAGGTTCCCGAGGGTGTCTCCCCTCTCAGCATGCTTGGAAGCGATTCGAATACCGAGGTCTCTACGAAGGTTATCTTCAGGTCGAGACTCGGTGAGAAGATTAGGGGACGCCTCCAGGATGTTCGGGAGGACCGGTGGCTCTCAGGCTGGATGGGAACGAGGATCCGGGCCAGCATTGAGAAGATGGCTTCGACCAAGACCGTCGACCAGCTCGGAAAGAGCCGAGAGGGCATGAGGGTCGTCCTCGAGACGTTGCGACACTCTGGTGTTATGGGTGTTATGGAGATGGTCCGAAGGGAGAAGCAGATGCGAATGGCCTAGACTTGACCTACCCTCCTTGATTGATCCTCCAGACTCGAGTACGAGACACGAACAACGAGTTACGATATACCCCGGGAGACATATACGGCGGCAACCTGCTACCCTCGGCGGCTCCGCGAAGGCATACTGGAACGACATTCGCGCCCACGAGGTCCGGCCAGCCGCATGGCACAGATTCCCAACTTGGTACTCTTTTCCTCGATGGCGAACTCTACGCATTTTGTACATTACTCTGTTCTTTCTATCCGTGTTATTTTTGGTTCTAGCGTGGCGCCCGGGCTTTTTCTTGGCCGAGAGGGGCTTCAGCCTTGATGTACTGCCCCTGCTGCTTTGTATGGGCGAAACACCCTCTCCGCTCTCTCTGTACTTTGTACTAGTTAGTTATTGTACGAACATGTATTGCAATGTTGGGGGAAAAAAAGGTTGCAAAAATTGAACAAAATTGAACTTGCTTCTGTGTTGAATGACTTTTTTTCGGCAAGGCGAGTAGTTTCCCCGCCAAAATAACGGCCTGAGCTGAGGGGTTATGTTTGGGAATTAGGCACGATCCGGCATGTAAAGCGTTAGGCTTTAGCATCCGTACTGACTTCCAGATACCATACACATTACCAATGATCTGCTTCATCATCGGGTACTCTTCATCATCCTTAGGTCCTCTCTGACCCACAGATTTCGCGAATCTTCCCATGTCCAAGTCACGATGTTAGACTTACTTCGCTGACTAAGCGACTCACTGGCAGTGGCGCTGAACCGCTTGAAGAACCTCATCTCATTTGTGCCTCACAGACTATGATTCTGCATTAGATTTAATCATGCATCGAGATCTTGGAAATGGCGACTTCATCCAAGCGGGAAGTTATAGTCATAGACGACATATCGACGGCATCTGAATCTGAGTGGGACTTTGGTCCTGTCTCACGCGACGCGTCTACCGACGCGGCGAAGAAGACCCCCACCACAATAAAGCCCGACCCCGCGAAGGACATCGAAGAAAAGGTCCGTTGGACGGACGATTCCGAGGATGACAAGAAAATCCAAGGGAAAAGGAAACGACAGTCTATTGCGGGCTCTAAGAAGGCGACTCGGGGACGACCTTCCAAGAAGAAGAAGAAGAAAACAGACGAGGATGCCATTCCATCTGAGGATGAGCTTGCTGACGCAGGCCTGCCCGACTATATTCGGCAGCGACGAAAGACTTTTGAGGAGAACAGAAATATACTCACGCAGGCGGGTTTGCGGCTGCCCCCAACCTATGCGGGTATTGAATTGACTGATGAAGATCGACATGAGGCGCTTGAGACAAGGCCCAAGTTTGATGCAGCGAGCGGTATTAGACCATGTCGGCCCTATCAGGACATCGAACTCGAGCATTCTGGCGGTTTTATACCAGCGCCTATTGCTCAGTATCTCCGAGATTACCAAGTTGCAGGTGTGCGATTCTTACACCATCTGTTCGTCTACCAAAAGGGAGGCATCTTGGGAGACGACATGGGTCTCGGAAAAACTGTCCAAGTAGCCGCGTTCCTCACGGCTGCGTTTGGAAAGACCGGCGACGAGAGGGATAGTAAAAGGATGCGTGCAATGCGGCGGGACCGCGAAAACTGGTATCCTAGAGTGCTCGTGGTCTGCCCCGGTACCCTAATCCAGAACTGGAAGAATGAGCTTGATCGCTGGGGCTGGTGGCACGTTGATATTTGTCACGGATCCGGGAAAGAGGATGCAGTCATGACCGCTAGGTCAGGGCTTCTTGAAATAATGATTACAACTTACCAGACCTATAAACAAAACAGAAGCAGCATCAATGGCGTCGAGTGGGATGCCGTGGTAGCAGACGAATGCCACGTCATGAAGGACCGCCGCTCAGAGACCACCAAAGCTATGAATGAAGTCAACGCTCTCTGCCGCATCGGCCTCACTGGCACTGCCATTCAAAATTCATACGATGAACTATGGACGCTACTAAATTGGACAAATCCAGCGCACTTTGGAACGCTCTCCGAGTGGACCCGAACTATATCTCGACCTCTTACCATCGGCCAGTCCCACGACGCCACCCTAAAACAGCTGAGCATTGCCCGGAAGAGAGCGAAGCAGCTGGTACTGAATCTTCTTCCTAGATTCTTCCTGCGTCGCATGAAGACACTCATTGCCGATCAGCTTCCGAAGAAGAGCGACAAGGTGGTCTTTTGCCCTCTAACTGAAGTGCAAAAAGAGGCATACGAAAACTTCCTGGACAGTGAAATGGTAACCCTGCTACGCACCCTTGGTGATCCGTGTAGTTGTGGCCAGATCAGAGACAACGGGATAAGGACCAAGAAAGGGTGGTGCTGCTATAAATTCCTCCCAGATGGGCGCACTTGGCAGTCGATAGTGTTCCCCTGCATGATGGCCCTCCAGAAGATGTCAAATCACGTCACTCTTATGGTACCTTCGTCCCTCGATATGGTAGACAAGCAAGATTCCGAGCTTAAGATGCTGAAACTCGCGTTGCCGGACACGTGGCAGGAGCTGTACCAAAAGAGGGACTCCATGGTCAACCTTGCGAACCCGGAATTTTGCGGCAAATGGAAGATTTTGAAGAAGCTCCTCAGGTTCTGGCACGGAAACGGCGACAAAGTGCTCGTCTTTTCGCATAGCGTCAAGCTCCTCCGCATTCTCCAGTATCTTTTCTGCAACACTAGCTACTCCGTTAGCTATCTCGATGGATCCCTCAGCTACGATGACCGGCAGAGAGTGGTGGATGACTTCAACTCGGACCCGAGCCAGTTTGTCTTTTTGATATCGACGAAAGCTGGCGGGGTTGGATTAAACATCACGTCGGCGAACAAAGTTGTCATTGTCGATCCGCATTGGAACCCTTCGTATGACCTTCAGGCGCAAGACCGGGCTTACCGTATAGGGCAGACCAGAGACGTTGACGTCTTTCGGCTTATCGCGGCGGGAACCATTGAAGAAATTGTCTACGCTAGGCAGATATATAAACAGCAGCAGGCAAACATCGGATACAGTGCCTCAGAGGAGAGGCGCTACTTCAAGGGTGTCCAGAAGGACGAGGAGAGAAAGGGAGAAATCTTCGGCCTCGCCAACATCTTCAATTACCATGGAGATCAAATTGTGCTGCGAGAGATTGTTAACAAGACCAATATCGCAGAGGCGAGAGTGGGAATCAATCTCGTGGAGCTCAACATCGAACAGGCAGTTAAGGATGAGGGACTGGCGACGACTACTACAGTTAAGAAGGAGGGCCCCGATGACGATGGGGGCATGAGCCAATTGGCCGCACTCGTTTCGGTCGAGAACAAGGAAGAGATATTTGCTTCGAAGAGAAACGAGAAGCCGAAAAGCGATGCTATCCAAGCGATCCTAGCTTCCGTCGGGGTTGAATATACGCACGAGAACTCCGAGGTGGTTGGTTCATCCAAGGTCGAGCAGCAATTATCCCGACGCGCCGAACTTGTCGGGGATTCTGACACGGATCTCGACGGCGAGAGCGCTCTGTTTGCAGAAGACCCGCTCTTTGAAAGTCGCGGTACCGGCGGGACGAGTGCATACGTTTATAATCCGCCCGAGGAAGTGATGCAACGTCAATTCTGCTCCATGGCTAGGGAGTTCGGGTTTCCGAATGCTACAGAGTTTGCTCTTGTTGTGGAGAGCATGACGCAGGAGCAGCGGAGGAACTGCCTTGACAAGTTTTACAAGAGCCGGGCTGCGAAGTTGGAGTTGGAGAGTACCGCTTCGCCTAGTGTTGAGCCTGACGGAAGAGCGGCTAAGACTGAAGTTACCGGGACGAATTACTCGAAGGTCAAGGCAGAGATTAAGAGTGAGGGGCTCCGAGATAGGGTCAAGCCTGACCCCGAAAATGTCAAAGTTAAGCCGGAGACCAAGAGCGAAGACACTGGGGCCCGAATCAAGCCTGAGGCGGGTATGAGTGACCCAACAACAGCTATACCACTAACATCCACTATTGCTACCAAGCCGGAGAGGCTGGATAGCAAGGTGAAGCTAGAAGGTGGCTACGAAGGGAACATTAAGGAAAGCAAGCAGGAGACGAAGCCGCCCAAGACCGAAACCGCAGTCACAGCCGAGGGAAGCAAAAGAGTGTCGGTATTCATCTCGGACGATGACGACGATGACGAGCTATGACTATTGTATTTTAGCGAGGCTGTGGTTGGTGGCTAAAACGATGGCGGTTAGACGCGGATATGGACGGGCATGGCAAGGACAGGAGCTTTTTGATACCCAGAGGAGGCGTTCGGACAGAGAGGCTCTATCGAATTTATCAAATAATACGTGCGACGCCTATTTGAGCCAAGGCTTTAATGTGATTGCTCGCTCCATTCTGACGAGCATAGGATGGTGCAATATGTTGCAGTTGGTGTGATCAAGTAATTGTACTTTGTATCCTTCGGTGTGAGGGCGGCGGGGAAATTTTGCCCCGCGCCGAGCCTCCCGCGTCAGTACAATTGTATTCTCCAGCGACGCTCCAATTGCATTCCACAGGGCGATTTAGCTGCCCCGCTCCTCAGAAGTCAGGAAAGATACAGTCGAACTGTATTACAAAGTCGTCCCGCTCCAAAAATTTCTTTGCTCCTCCCACACCGTTACTTCGCACTCAGGAATCTGAGGACCAGCGATATTCAATCCCAGACCCGACATATTTTCAATATGGCGGCTCAAACTCCCACTGAGGCGCTCAAGAAGCTTAGCGGTGAGTGAACTCAATGTTCTTTCCATCTCGCCTTCATTCTTGAACTTCGTACTGTCTGGACGCTGCCCCACGTAACATGGGGCGTCAGAACGCCTTGGGAGCACACGACGTCATTGTGCCCAAAATGCAGAGACGCTGCCCTATTCAAGTCACACACAGAGAGAGGGGTGAAAGGGAACAAAAGAAGGAAAAAAAAAAATTCAGAATTGTATTATCCAATTACTAACATCTGGTGGTTACAGTCAACGACGCACCCGGTGCGGCTGAGAAAGCGGGCTCCAACGGCGCGCCCAGCGGTGCCAACGCCGAGCACGACGAAGACTCCGATGACGACGCGGACGAGGTAGCTGCACAGGGCGGAGCTGGTGGCGAATCCGGCGCGGCCAAGAAAAAGAAGAAGAAGAAGAAGTCCAAGTCCAAGAAGAAGAAGCCCACGGCGCAGTCCGACCCGCCCCGCGTGCTCGTGTCGCAGCTGTTCCCCAACAACACCTACCCTCACGGCGAGGAGGTCGAGTACCTGGATGAGAACCGGTTCAGGACCACGAACGAGGAGAAGAGGCACCTCGATAACATCAACAATGATAAGACGGCCGATTTCCGCCATGCTGCCGAGGTCCACCGTCAGGTGAGGCAGTGGGCTCAGAAGAACATCAAGCCCGGCCAGACCCTCACCGAGATTGCTGAGGGTATCGAGGACGGTGTCCGCGCGCTGACGGGCCATTCGGGTCTTGAAGAGGGTGATGCTCTGAAGGCAGGTATGGGTTTCCCTACGGGTCTGAGCATCAACCACTGCGCGGCGCACTACACCCCTAACGCGGGTAACAAAATGGTCCTCCAGCAGGGAGACGTCATGAAGGTGGATTTCGGCGTGCATGTGAACGGAAGCATCGTCGACAGTGCCTTCACCATGGCTTTCGAACCCCAGTTCGATAACCTCCTCGCCGCCGTCAAGGACGCCACCAATGCTGGTGTTCGCGAGGCTGGTATCGACGTCCGTGTTGGCGAGGTCGGCGCGGCCATCCAGGAGGTCATGGAGAGCTACGAGGTTGAAATCAACGGCACGACATATCCCGTCAAGTCGATCCGTAACCTCAACGGCCATACGATTCTTCCTTACTCTATACACGGCACCAAGAGTGTGCCCATCGTGAAGAGCAATGACATGACCAAGATGGAGGAGGGTGATGTCTTTGCCGTCGAGACGTTCGGCAGTACCGGTAACGGCTACGTTCACGACGATATGGAGACCTCGCACTACGCTCGCGTTGGAGACGCGCCCAATGTGGCTCTGAGGTTGAGCTCGGCGAAGCAGTTGCTTAACGTGATCAACAAGAACTTTGGCACTTTGCCCTTCTGCAGACGATACCTGGATAGGTTGGGGCAGGAGAAGTATCTTTTGGGTGTAAGTCTACGGGTTTTGCTCCGGATTCAAACAATCGGCCATCTTCCCAGGGTTTGCTAACAAGAAAATGCAGTTGAATAACCTTGTATCAAACGGAATTGTGGAGGCGTATCCCCCTCTCTGTGACAAGAAGGGCTCCTACACGGCTCAGTACGAGCACGTAAGTTTTTGTTGACCGAGACTTGGTTTTGTTGACTCATTCATCATTTATCGCTGACATATTTTTGCTCCTTTTAGACCATCCTCCTCCGACCTACCGTAAAGGAGGTCATCAGCCGCGGCGACGACTACTGAGGCTCCTCGTGGTGTAGGCCGATTTGCTGTTTCTGGTCACGTTTCTTATCATGAAAAAGGATGTAGAGATCGGGAAACATGAATATTTGGGATTCACCTTACGAATAACGAGACATTTTCTGGATAGCAAAGGCTCGCCCAGCCATCTGAATGTTGAATGAAACATTCTTTCGAGAGATTGAACTTGTACGGGTCTGGATTCTTTCAACGTGGGCCTAGACTGTCTAGTGGGGGCAGAGTAGATTTGATGCAGGTCGCCGCACGTGGGTCGGGTGCTGCGGTATGACCCAAATGGAAATGACAGTTTAAGTTGAAGGCTCTTTGCAGATCTTCTTCTGTTTTGGAAATCCCGCACATGAGAAGGAATCGATGAGGCTGAGTCTAATATGCTCGTATGCTCGCAACTACTATATATCTATCCCGCACAGTCGAAGTCTTGATCTTGGTAAGAACACTTAGTTTTAGAGGCAAATCTGAGGAAACAGAGGCAAAAAGGGACGCACCTTCGTCATACGAAGGAACATGGGGCAATTGGCTGAGGTTCCATAGTACCTACCTGCCGTTGCTCGCTGGCTTCATTATCACAAGCCCCTCTTCCATGCTCCATGTGCCTCCACCCACCCCTCGTGTACACTAAACTCCAGATTCTATTGCCCCGGCCCCCGGTGCTCGGCATCATGGAGACCGGTACGCCAAGGTGCCCAGTACAAGCATAGCCGCGGCTCTCAGAGGAAGGGAAAAAAAAAATACTCCACTTTCTACCTCGTACAGGTAGTAGTGCAGTTTAGCTGTGGCTAGTGCAGATTATGTCCAGTAAGGCGCTATCAAACCCATTGATATCCATTGATTTTCGGCCTTGTACTTCTTAGTCTGACTCAAGGGGTATCAATCCAAAGGATTCAGTGGTTCATTTCTAATGCCAACCTTTCCCCGGCTCGAGTCCAGGTATCCTCCTGCTCAAGTCCCGAGATTTCCCACCAAGCCTGTGTATTTTCCAGGCTATCCGAAGACGAAAATAAAATAAAACTAAATAACAACGAGAGAAAGGATAAAGAGAGAAATAAATCGAGTTCTTACGAGTAGAAACTCGCCGAACCTTCGTCGTCACAAGGCCTCCTCGGACACAGCGAAGTCGGCGGTGGCGGGGCATCCGAGAGATTTTTTTTTTTTTTTTTTTTCTTCCCTCCCTGTCGTCCCTTCCTCTTTGGTCTGGGCCTCTGGAGAAAGAGGGTTGTCACTTGGCCCAGCACGTCATAGCGTTGGTGCTAGTCGATTCCGGAGAATCCTCGACGCTAAACCGCATCAAGCAGCACAGACAGTGACCAAGAACACTCTAGCCAATGGGAGAACGGAATAGTCATTAGTCATTGTTCAGAGAGTGAGGCAGAAATGTTTAAATCGTGGCGTTCACGGAGAAAGATAGAAGACAACAACGCGACCAATCAAATCGCGCCGCCGTAAAAAGTCCGTTTTTGAGAAATTCTGACTCGACCCGAAAAAAATTCGCGGCACATTTAATAATACTCTGCGCCTTCCCTCTATTTTTGCTTCGTACCTCATCTCTCCTTTATCCGTCCAACGTCGTTTTTGTTTTCGACATCTACGGACTCGTTGCCGCTTGTTGCAACTGCTTTGTTTCTTTTTTTAATTGCACTAATTATTTGACAGTCCCTCGTTAAGTTGTCAAATCCCATCCGCAACTCTAATGGATGCGTGAGATTCCCAACCGGCACATCGTTTGTACCGAAATATACCGAGCGACAGCTTAGCTTCTGTTGCCGAAGTCGACGATCGAGATCTTGCATATATCTCGCATCACTTCGACAAAACCCAATTCCCAAAGCCCTCTGAGCGTTCCGACAATTATTTCATTGTCGGTTCTTGTCTTCGAGCGCGTTTTCCTTCAATTGGAGTCGATTTTTTGCATCGTGGACCTTCACGTGTCAATCGACTTCCCTAGCTCCGAAGGACGGGGGAAAAAAAAATATCTCGACCCAGGACCACTAGAACCCTAACCACATTCTACATCCTGCACAACCGTTCAAAATGAGGTGGCTCTCGAACAACGTCACTTTCAACTACTCCTGGGAGGAGGTCTCCATTGCCAACTGGCAAAAGTACGGCCCGTGGAACAACAAATCCACCCACGTCGTCGCCGTCGACACGATATCACGAAGCGTCGACGAGGAGACCGGCATCCTCCGCACCGAACGTCTCATCACATGCAAGCAGTCTGCTCCCGATTGGCTCAAGAGCCTCATGGGCAGCTCCATGGAGACCTCCCACGTCTACGAGGCTTCCTACGTCAACCCTCAGGAGCGCACCGTCACCATGGTCTCGCAGAACCTGACCTGGTCCAATCTCGTCAGCGTCCAGGAGACCGTCGTCTACAAGCCCCTCTGCGATAAGAAGACCGCTTTCGAGCAGACGGCCAAGATCACTGCCCTCTGCGGCGGCTGGCAGAGGATTAAGAACAGCATCGAGGATACCCTCGTCAACCGATTCATGGAGAACGCTCACAAGGGTCGTGAAGGCTTCGAGATGGTTCTTGAGATGAGCAGGCGGGCCTTTGCCGAGGAGCGCGAGAAGGAGAAGTTGAAGATGGCTCTCCGCCTCCCCATGGCTGCATAGCTTGTTCGCTTCAGCTATCCCGGATCATCCGGGCCAACCAAGAAAAAATCTCCACAGAGCACACTCCAATAATCGCCGCCTATCCCCTCCCCACTTTCGACACACGATAGAAACCAAACCGTTACGAACAGATTTTCTTTCTTCGAACGCGATTTTTACGGCCTGAGCGATTGTCTCCGATGTTCTACGTTTTATTTTTATTTTTTTTTTCTTTCCTTCCACTTTTATTTGATGGCGTTCGAGAAAGAGGAGACAAGGGAAGTTAGGAAACCAAAAAAGGGAAAGATAAAAGTTTTCTTCGTTTCGCATAAACAAGGGTATCTTGGGCTGGTTTTTTTTGCTTCTTTATTTCATCTTCTCTTTTCATTATTTCCTCCTTACTCCACCCCACTTTCTGGCGTTCGAGGCAGGCAAGCATAGCATGCATAGCATAAACTCTTTTTTTTCACGACGAGGGAGGGACGAAGAAGGAGGACTGGCGAGACGGTCTCCCAGTCTTTCTGTGTATAATATCATTTCCCTCTCCCCTTTCTGCTTTCTGCCGCCGTTCAGGAATACCCTTTTTCTTTTTTTTTTTTTTTTTTTTTTTTTTTTTCTTTTTTCTTTTTTTTTTGCTCTTCCAGATTATAATGGGATAGACCTGAGAAAGGTCGTTTCCTTTGTTATTGGAGGCGAGATGGATGAAGCGGGTTTGGCTTGTTTTCCTTTCAAACTTGATGCCTCGGCAACCTTTGTACACATTATGAACCTACGGATCGTCGTACATAGACAGGACATTGACGCTTCTCTGCTCTGCAAATCAGGTCTCTTGATCGCTCTTGCCTGTGAACAATAATCCTTCCGCTAGCTGGCGAGGCTAGCTCCCATATCTCCCGCCGCCTTCTCCTCACGAACACCCATGCCAAGGCGAAACGGAAAGGGACATCCACGACGGGCCCAAACTTCATTTCGAGGGCCCTAAAGACCGAACTCGGCGACAAAAATAAATTGCCCAATAATGGAAGATTCGGAAAGAAGGCGTGTTTCTCAACATTGCTTTCTCAGACTCGGACCTTCCAGAATCTGCGAGCAGCCCACCCGCAATAGGGAAGAAGAAAAACTATATCAAGGAAGAGTGGAAACGGGAGTGATGCTCTCTGCCACCAAGCTTCAGTTAGACGTATTGTAGAATCCGAAGGGCTAAGATGGGTTTGTAGGCTAAAACGAAAGGAGGGAGCTATGGAGAACGAAAGAATTGCTGGAGGAGTGACGATTTGGACGAGGACACCAGGAATGTTGTCTGGGGAGGATGGGGCCCTCACGGGCTGGTGACAACTCGAATTGGTTGGAGGCAGGATATGGTTTTTGTTTTCACATGCATCCACGCGGGTCTTTTGTGTTCTTCAGTAAAGATATTGATAGAATTCTACTATTCCCAGACTATTCCCAAAAAGAATCTCCCACCTGGTATGTGCCCATGTCCTCCCGCGCATGGATTGAAGATGTCAAATCTCAAACCAGTCACCCTTTCCACACACAATTTGCGTTCGTACAAGTAAAACCCAAACATCCAGTTTCCAGCTCAAGACGCTCATTTCGTAAGAGTCCCAAGGACATGAGGAGTAATTTGATGCCATGGCTCATCGACACACCTCTCGAGGTCGATATCCGACCACTCTCCCGCCTTGAGCAACGTCTCCTTCGTTGGCCTCGTCAACTGACACCCCCCGATCATTGTCGGCCAGAAGATATTCACAATGGCTTTGTATCCTCTACGTTAGTCCTAAGTTCCTTTCGAAATTCCAACGAGGATGGGGGGGATTGTCAATCAATCAAAAAAAAAAAAAAAAAAAAAAAAAAAAAAAAAATTACTCACCCTGATACACCCTCATCCACCACCCAACCCCATCCGCCCTAACATGCTCATAAACATACCACCGTCCCCCGGGCTTCAAATACCCATAAACCTCTCTGGCAATCTCCTCGGGGCCTGGAACACTACACATGCACAAAATTGTCACCACGCTATCCACGCTCCCCTTCTCGACCCGGCACCCATCCCATTCGCCATACGCCACGTCCTGCACGCCCGCGGGCACGACGACGTACTTCTCCCCAATCCCCAAATCTTCCACCCTCTTCCTCAACACACTCAAGCTCCCCGGATTCGGCTCCACGCCAAACACCCTGTCCACCTTCTCATCGCCCGCCAGTAAACTCGCCCAAAGCCCCGTCCCCGCTCCGATCTCGAGGACGGTTCCCGACATGGGCTCGTGCTCATGTTTTCCCGTGACGGCACCCCCGCGCACTTGGCCCTTTAGCAGGGCCGTTACGCGCTGGTCTCCGCTTTGGCGGATGTCTGGGCTCACAGCCGTCCAGAACCGGAAGAACCACGCGTCGCGGAGCGCGGACCATGAGAAGAGCTTCGATAGGGAGCTTGTGCGGACGTGTGTTGATATTGTGGCCGGAAGGTGGCGGAGGGAGAGGAACAGGAAGAGCCAGGGGTCGATGTGGCCGGCGACCACGGCACGAAAGTCGGATTGGGACATTGTGGGGGTGGTGGTCTTGGCAGTTTTCACCCCTTTTTCGTTGAGGACGGTTTTGAAATGAACAAAAATGGGGTGAGCACTCCGCCACGAGAAAATATGGAACAAAGGACTGAAGAGGGAGTCTGGGTGTGAAGTGTCAAGGCTCGAAATGGGGGGTCTGGACGGGTGTAACTTGTGTGTAAGTTTTCCAGGATGGGTGGACCTTTTGAACCGCGGATTGTGAAGGGCGCAGTTGCGCTAGTCCATTCAGGGTTGCCGGGGGACCGAATAGAAATCGTTTAATTGCTCCGGGCCGGCACTGAAGAAAGTCGCCGACGTATCACTCTTCCTCCAAGACGAAACACGGTTAGGCAGACGGACATGAATATCTAATAATACATATATTGTTATACATTGTATACCCTCCAGTAGATTCCAGAGAACGAGAACACCATGCTTTCTATTCTTATTTTTATTCCCTCGCAACATGCCTCCCGCTCCTCATCTTCTTCTCCTCCAACGCCTCCATATCCTTTTTCTTATGGAAATGCGGCGCTAATTCAGCCAACCACCTGGCCTCAATTGGCAGACAGCTGCGCATATACTCCTTCGTCGTCTGCACCAGCTCAAAGTAGATGACCACCCTAGGCGGGGGATCCATGCCCGCCACCACTGAGCTCGGGTGCACGTACACCGTCGTGTTCGTCTTGACCGTCCTGTAACCGTCGCCGCCGCGCTGCATCCGAGCCGCGTTCGGGAAGAAGCCCGCCGTCAGCGCTCTCTTAATCGGTAGCTGGTCGTTCTCGCCGCACGACGACAGCGTCACTTCGACGCGGTCGCACAGCTTCGCCAGCTGGTCACGGACGTCGCGCGCTCGGGTCAGCGATCGCTGTTGTAGGAAGTTCTCGCGCGACCAGATAGGGGAAAAGTCGCTCTCGACCCATTGGTTCCAGATGTTGAGCAGCGTGAGGTGGTCTCCGCCGTCCTTTACTGTGAACCGTGCGCGAGCACTGTCGGCGTGGATCTTCTTGTCCTTGGGGCGGAAGAAGAGGGCCGAGGCCTCACCCAGCATCGAGACGATCGAGAGCACCTCCTCGACGCAGCCCTCCTTGTCTGCAGCTAAGATTGCCTTGGCGAGCATTGGGTCTGTCGGAAACTCGGCCATCTGTCGTCCAACCTTGGTCAACTCGCCCTTGTGGTTGAACGCTTGGAGCGCGTACAATAAGTTGAGAGCAGAGATGAGCGACTCGAATGGCGGGGGATCTAGGAAGTCAAAGTTGACGAGGTCGTGGATGCCGAGTGCCGAGAGTTGTAGTACGACACCGGTGAGGTTCGTGCGCTGAATTTCTGGTGTCGTAGACTCGTCCATCTCATTCATGTAGGCGTATTTCGTGTACAACCTGAAGCATTTACCAGGACCCACACGCCCGGCACGACCGCTTCGCTGGTTAGCTGAAGCCCGTGAGCAAGGCACAACGACAAGGTTCGACATTCCCGTAGCTGGGTTATAGACATTCTCCTTGACGAACCCGGGGTCTATCACATAAACGATGCCATCGATCGTCAAACTGGTTTCGGCAATGTTCGTTGCCAAAACCACTTTTCTCGCACCCTCCGGCGTGGGCTCGAAAATCTTGGCTTGCAGCTCAGAAGGTAGATTGGCGTAGATGGGACATATTAGAAGCTCTTTTATTCGATTCCCGAGTTTGCGCGCCGTGTCTGTTAATTGCTGCTCCGCTGCTTCGATTTCGTCCTGGCCGGTAAGGAAGACGAGGATATCGCCTTTGTCCTGAGTGGTATGAATCTGGAAGACTGTCGTGATAGCCGCCGTTAGATAGTTGGCCTCGGGCTGAGAAGCGTAGAATATGTCAACAGGATACCTCCTGCCGGGAATGTTGTAGATGGGTGCGCCGTCGAAATACTCGGCAAACTTCTGCGCGTTCATCGTGGCCGACGAAATCAAAAGTTTGAGCTCCGGTCGCTCTCTCGCCAAGTCCTTGACTAGTGCCAGGAGGATATCACTGTGTACCGTCCGTTCGTGGGCCTCGTCAATCATCAGGGCAGAGTACCCCGCAAGGTCCGGTTCCGTCATGAACTCGCGCAGAAGCATACCATCCGTCATGTATTTCAAGACGGTCTTGTCGCTTGTGCAGTCTTCGAAACGGACGCAATAACCGACCTCGTGGCCAACCTTAACCCCGACTTCTTCGGCAACACGAGCAGCTACGCTCATGGCCGCGACTCGGCGAGGCTGCGTGCAGCCTACCTTCATTCCATTCTTTGTATATCCCGCCTCATGGAGATATTGTGGTAACTGAGTTGTCTTTCCGCTACCAGTCTCTCCCACGATGACAAGAATCTGGTGCTGCTCCATAGCGGCCAAGAAATCGTCTCGATATTGATAAATCGGCAAGCTCTTTCTCGTCTCCTGGATCGACAGAGCTTTCTTCTCGGCAGCGTCTATCTGAGCCGCAAGGAACCTCTGCTCCTTGGAGAGCAGTTTGCCCTCGCCCGCTAACCGCGTGTCCAAATTCCACTTGACGTACTGGTCTTCGTCAAGTACATATGAATACGTGCCATCGTTGACCAATTCTGGTCTCTGGATTTGGGCCTTGGCCTTGGCCGCCTGTTCGCGTTCCCACTCGTCGTGCTCCGTCACGTATTTCTCGCGACCGTATTCGTCCCTATCCACGTATCGTTTGTACAAGGCATCGGCCTTCTTCTTCTTATCAATTTTTCCCTTCTCCGTGATATAGTCCTCCGGCATCACGTAGCCATCGACATGGTCGTCGACCCGGGCAAGCTCTTCAGCGAGCCTCAGGACTTCTCTGTTTCGCGCAAACTGTGCCTTCTCTGCTCTCGTCAATTTTACGCCGCTTTCGAGTTCTGCCGTCTCTTCAGCGACTTGCTTCCGTAGCAGGGCCAGCTGTTCGGGGTTTCGTTTCTCGAGGTATTTCTGTCGTGAAATGAGACGCATCTCGTTCATATCCACCAGAGCTTCCTCTCTCCTCCTACTGGAATCTTTTGCGTCGGCCTTTGACCCTTTCTCGTCGCGCTTCTTTAACCGTTCGGCAAGAGCGTCTCTCTCGGCAATATCTTTCCTCCTCTCGCGTTCCTCTTCTTCTTCTGGCGAAGGTTCTCTGGGGCGGCGACTCTCATCGCTGTCTCGGTGGCTAGTCTTCACCCGCTTCGGCGAATGCCTAACTTCCTCCTCCACCTCTTCCTCGGAGGGATACTCCTCATCGCCCCACCGATCTTCGTAGTCGTCATCTCTTTGCCGTCTCCTCGATGTCGTGGATTTCCTCGGTGACCTGGATCTGGATCGCTTCCTATGCGTCGAAGATCGGGTGGGCGACCTGGAGCTACGCCTATGGCGGCTTTTGTGCTTCTTGTCCTTCTTCACGACGCGCTCGGGGCCGATAGTGTCATCGTCCATCGGGACGAAGGCGTACTTTTTTGAACTCATTTTCGCCGGAATGGAAAGGACAAGAGGAGTTTCGCATGCAAGGGAAGCCGCTCCCGCGCTGGCTGGGTTCTGGATGGAGGTTGCGCCGTTCAAGTTCACTTTCGGACAAGCTTCTCAGATGTCTTTTTGCCTTGATCGTGAGTTCCGCCACCACACGCCAAAAAAGACATGATCACGTGAAACCGCTCTTATCGATAAGGGGCTTCCCGCGTATGGGGCGCTAACTATTTTCAGTCACTAGCCCAGACCCCAACCCCACGCCTCACTAGGGGAAGCTTCGAAGCTCGGATGCTGGCTCATAAACAAGCTTGGTACACATTCCCTCATCCGTTGATTGCTTTCGAGTCTCCAATATATGAAATTCGAAATGCCTGAATACAGACTCTCAAGGTTTCAACGTCAAGATGTGTAATGTCTTCACAAGCCTTCCCACAGTCTCGAAGCCTTCCACTGTCAATCTTGATATTGATCGAGAATCCACGACAAGCTATCCTAAAATATAATCCTCGAAAAATTATCTACAGTAGATTTTAAACATCTAATTTTAAGTACTTTGGAAGGATGTATTCAGAATGTTCCTCACTGTTCGCCCACTGATTACGTCGTACGTCGCCCTCCACGCTTGCAAGTTGTTCGCCAGCAATCAGCTCGTCAGACCAAGAAGCTTCTTCAACTCCGGGATTTCAGTATGATCCCTCGTAGACTTCATACGATGGCACCACTTAATCGTCTTCTCCTCGAGGCCATACTCGTCGTCTTTTGTCTCATCGCCTGAAGGGACCGTAGGTGTGGGTGAATTCACAACGTCGACGGGCTCGAAAAGAAACTCTCCGCCGACCTGGCGCTGATCGCCAGATTTCGTAGCAAGACCACTCTTCACCTGCTTCAACCCTTGCAGCACGCCCGTGACTACGGTGGAGGTCATGGATTTTCGGGTGTAGGTCGGACGGGCGCCAAGCTGTAACGTCTTGATCATGCCTAACGAGTCGAACAATTTCCGGCTTGGATCTGTGTAGATGGGGAAGACGCAATTTGTTACTTCGGCGTACATGTCGATCAAAGCTGGGTCGCCGCACCCGATGACGACGACGGACGTGCTAACGGGGAGGCTGAGGAGCGCATCTGGGGTGATAGCTTCGGAGAGGGCTAGAAGATAGTCTTGGCAGTTCTGGAGAGGGGAGAAGTAGGGAAGAAAGACACCGATGTTAGCCGTAAGTCACAGCAAAAAAGATGAAGGAAGGAGCAGCTGAAGCTACGTACACCGCAAAAGAAGTGGCGCACGAAGATGACGAGGACTCGCCGCGCCGAATTCTTGCCATTGTACAGGCTCTTGAAGGTGTGTGATTTGCCCTCCTTATCCAGAACCAAGTAGTCATCGAGCGCTTTGACGACTTCGATGGGCGGAGGTACATCGTTTGTGCCTACCTCCCCATCGAAGTCCTGGGGTTTGCTCGTGTCGAGTTTAGGGGTGGGCGACTTTCGTTGATCGCCGGATGTCCTCGGCGGGGTAGGCGAGGTGATAGCGCCGGTGGCTGTCGCCGGCGCCGATGCTGCTAGGGCTGGAGTCGCTTTTCACCGCGCCATGTTATTAATTCTTTCTCTCTTGCAAAGTAGACGCGATTGGGAAGCTCAATTACCCATCTCGCATGGGTTGGGCTGAGTCGAGACGAGGACGGAAGTGCATGCATGCTTACCCTCTGTGACAGGAACTGCGGGCTCGGACATTGCGACCTGGCACCTAGTAAAGAAATAAGTCCTGCGCCAACGTGAACAGATGCTGAGGAGTGTGTCAATTGAACAATTTGAAAGGGCCACACACAAATGACACTTGAAGAGTGTCAAGTGCCAAGGTAGAATATTTATAAGTCAAGGTTCAATGCCAATGTCCATACCGAGTCAAAATCCAATCCATAGGTTTGCGCTCGCTTGAGCCATGCCACATTTAACTTGCTGAGACGAGACATTCTGCAGCATTGACAGCGAGAGCAGGGCAGGTGACCCCTCAAAACCACCCGCAAGATTTTAGAGTGTGGATCGGGTTCGGAATCGGCGTGCGGGGCTTGATTGATGTCCTTCAACTGTTATGTGGTTGGGGATGTTTTCTCGAGTCTGCCCAAATACCGATTGCACTTTCCACCCATAAGCTCTTCTGATTCCTTCCGCTATTGGAAGGAAGACGTGCGTCGTCAAATGCAATTCATATCGCCCAATTCAAGTATCATCCCGAGAGCCCATCTTTCAAGCACCAAGGGGCTTATGAAGTAATTGACCCAGAGCCGTAATGGTTTGGCACAGCGATCCTCTTAATCTGAAGCACGCCCAGAGGTGTGTCCCTTTCTGCGTCTAACCGAATTTCTAGACTGGCACGGACGTCATTGCACCTCTCTATCGATTTCTACTCGAGGTCTGGAACCAAGGGGTATGGTCCAGAGTGGTTCGGAGAAATCGAGGTGTCCAACCCCAATCTCCTGGGCTCTATTGACATCTGAATCGTATTTGATTTGCCCCCGGTTCGCCCGGCATCCTACGACAAGCACAAAAAGGAATGTCGAAGCCGAAACACGCTCTCGGTAATTCCACGATGAATTATCAATCGTTTAAATGGCGCCATGTGTATTCCCTTCTTCTGTTCCGTCGATCGACCGGTGCTGCCCTCCCTCGCGTTTCAATGCCCCAACCCTTCCCCAAATACCAGAGATGAGGGCCCAAGAGCTCACGAGGCGTCCCGGGAGTCCATTTACACAACTTCCCACCCTTCGAGTTCATCTGGCAAAAATCGCAGCTCGGCACAGCTTTTGCCCAGGATAGACGACGAATATCGTTGAACCGTTCGAATTGCCTCCTGGCATGATATCTCATCGGCGGTGCGTCTAGGCCGGACTTCCGAAGTCCGGGTTCTGTGTAGATCAATCTCTACTTGTATCCCTGGTCTCCTTTCTCGGCTCGTCTTGCCAGCCATGGATGGAACTCGCTGGCATTTCGACCCGAACCTTTGATGAAGTGACGGCAAGAACCGCCAGCCTTTGCGCTGTGCATCCCATAAAACCCCTTCTTGCCACCTTCGAGAAGTCACGACGGTTTCAGCCGAGGATTATTGGCATGTTCTTCATGAAACCCTAGGAAGCTTTTATGGGATGAGTTAAGCTGGCCCTTGAAACTACTCAGCCACCACTGGAACTCTCAAGCTGAAGCATGCCATGTTTCTCGAAGTGTGCTGGACCTGTCGTGGCTCTAATTCCTACCCTCTGAGCTGGCTGAAGCTAGGTGGCTTCAGCATTATCAGTCGCGGCTCTACCCGGGACCATGTTGATCGGCGCAAGAGCCGTTGCCGACTCTCGCACTATACCGTCCGTCGCTGCTTCGCTGATAGTGCTAATCGTCTTGAAGATTCCTCAACTCGGCCCCTCACCCTTGTTGTAAGCCGAGCGAGGAAAACGATATCATGGATAATTACATACCTGCAATGGCAAGAGGATTCCTTGAAGGTACTTACTTCCATTTATAAGTCTGAGGAGAATATCATTTCTGTCCCCCACATCTTATCGAATAGTAAATTAGGACTTAGACAGGCAGTGGCAGACAAAGAGGTTACAACTAAGAATACCATAGTAAAGAGTCCAGAATACCTCAAGGGTGGGTACATCTATTTAGGAATGCATCTACATGCTTGAGTCTGGTGCAAGAGCAGCCATCCATTATGCCCCTGCTAAAGAACCACCCTCCGTGCCAAGGCCGGCACGGAGCCGTGGTGCAGGCCGGAGCACCTCCGTTCACTGTCATCGCAGAATCCGACATACAACAGCCTTGAAAACTACAGTACAGGGTGCTAGAAAACCCCAAATGAAAAACCTTTCCTTTTTCAACTTCTACTCCTTTCATCCCAATCTCAAACTTCTAGAAAAGCACTACCAACCCTAAGAAGGAGGGTTTCCATCTCAAACCATCATCTCGAGTCTCTCGTCAAAAGGTTAATGTTTCACCCGTTGTCAGTACCTTCCCAACGAGACTCGATCAGTCAGCTAACCGGTCTTCTTATTTTACCAGGAAACCTCCAGGGAAGTACCGCCGAAATGCACGCGCTCAAATCTCTGGTGCTCCTCGGGGTAGCTCTGACTTCCGAATTGATATCCGTTCTCACCACCAATCCAATTCTCCCCGAGTTCTCAATGAGATTTATCTACAGGGAATTTCACGAGACAGTGGTCGTCAGCGAAAAAATTGTCACATTTAACTATACCATGGAGCATCTTTCTCTGTCCCTGCTCGAGCGTCTCCAGCGCGCCGACGAGGAGCCAGTTGCAATCGCTCCTCCCGAATGTGACCCTCAACCGGGTCTGGCCGTGCATGACCACTGCGATAACGAGCGAGCTGATAAAATGAAAGAAATTGCGACCATGCTCAAGGACCAGACCAAGGCTGACGAGAAGAACATGGATGATCTCTCTCTCAAGCTTATGGGTAAGTAGATAGAACATCATCCATATATTCTACTGCCCCGGAGGCTTGCCTAGACCGCTTAGCGCAGCTCTATTCTCTAACTTCCTTCACTAAGTTGACTTTTGCACTTGGGGAGGCACCCTCTTCGGAGACACTATGGACAATCTCAAGGCTGCCAGCGACGCCCTCGGCGCGAAGGTCGAGTTGATGTCAGTTAGCGAACAGTCTGTCAATGACAAGCTTGCAGACGCCCAGAAGACTTTTGCCTATCCTCTGTGCGATTCACTCGTTCAGGACAGCAATAGACAGACGGGAGAGCCCATTGGTGACAGCAAGAGAACTCTCAGCGATGCTGCTACCACTTTCCAGGCTCGTGTGGAGGCTAGTGGAAAGGACCTTGGCGACCTTTAGGAGAGGTGGAGAGATACTCAAGCCAAAGTCAACTCCCTGCGGGAGGCCGTTGCTCGTAGTATACACCAGAACAGCGGTTCGAGTCGGGATGCCATCGCCGACGACTTTTCCGAGTTTCTTCGGAGCCAACTTGAGTCCTTCCGCCGAGTGGGCGAGACCACTGCTAACCGCATTGAGCAGCTAGAGAAGGTATGTGTCCTAGTCGGATGCGCACTTGCATAGTTTAGGTTCCAACATGGCGCAGGAGTTCCAAGAGTTCATGAGGGCTGAAATGTCCGACTACATACGGGCCTTGGCCTTCATGTAGACTGTCTTTTGAGAGAAACTGGCTCTCACAGAAAAGGAGAAGGCGAGATCCGAGACGTTTCGTTATTTTGATGGATTCGACCTGCTAGTCAAGTTTAGTCGGGAGCTAGCCCCTTTATCGGCGCTGTTGGTTGGTAATTGATCCAACCCAGCGAATCTGAGATTATCAATCATCGTCTCTCGGCCTCCAATATCGTAGTCTGTAACCGTTAACTCAGTCTCCATCGAAGCTTGGCGTATTTGGGGCATTGGCGATACCCCCACATCCCGAATCCTCCATGTCGGCCATGACTCCGCAATGCAAACAAATCCGCAATGTTTGCGTAAAGGGGCCAGCTAGACTGGCCCGGCTCGTGTTCCCGAGCCAAGACCTCTGTTCTTATCAAAGTGTATTCCAACGCCAAAACGTTAAAAGGGAGAGCCAGCACTTGCGTGCCCTCCAATTCCGCACCGGTTCTAATCGGCAATGGCGTCATAAAAACGGACCGGCGCAGAACATCGGACCCCACCAGAAGCGAAAAGAAGGACGAAAACCCAGTTACAATCTCCAATGCCGAAACGACAAGGGCGACACTAATGTCATAATGGGCTATCATCATTGATGAAGTCTCCGAGGAGATGGTCCCTGTATCCCACCCAACCAGAAGCCCAGGGAGCATCACTCTTGGCCCCCCCTCCGCATTTGAAATCTAGCACGTTTTTTTCACCTTTTAGTGCAAGCGTGATGGAGCTGATCTATTTAGATCGTCGCCCCCTCTCATACTTGACCGAGATGGCGACAGTAGGCGTAGTTAACTTAGCCTCAAGATCATCGGGGACTCAGTCGAAAAAGCCTCAGAGGATATCGATATATAGAGGGCTCATAAGATTGAATCCTTCGTCCTCAAGCATTTGCGCCCGAAGCTCAATGCCGAACCCACTTACAGATCTCTCTATCCCCTAAGGAAACTCTATTTAGCGCAGTGGCGCCGATTCCAGAGAGCTTGCGTGGAAGGGCGCAAGGAAAAGAACGTCTTATCGCGCAAGATGATTTCAAAATCGCCTGAGGAGATAGCAAATGGCCACGCTAGGAATGGTGAGAAGAGGACAGGCAAAGGTAACGATATCCGCGTCCGCGAACCTCCCACCACCACTCGAGCGCAAAGCTAACATCAAGCTTGTTCCCCAGTCTGGGCGACGCTGATAACCCACGAATCTTACCTGCCCGGCCTTCTCACCCTCAACTATTCCCTCCGCAAGGCGCATTCAACCTTCCCACTCATCGCGCTATACACCGACAGCCTACCAGAATGGTGCCTCGCCGCCATCCAAGCGCGAGACATCGCCACCCGGCGCGTCGAATATATCCAGCCGTCATCAGGTCGGAACTACAGCGAGGATCCGCGCTTTATCGACACCTGGACCAAGCTCGCCGTTTTCTCATTGACAGAATACAAGCGCGTCGTGCTACTCGACTCCGACATGTTGGTGTTACGCAACATGGACGAGCTGATGGACCTGGATCTCGACGAGCCGGGCGTGGCGGCCCGCGGAGGCGCAGGTTCGAGGAGGGTGTATGCGGCGGGGCACGCCTGTGTGTGTAACCCCCTTAAGAAGAAGCACTACCCCGCCGATTGGGTACCGGAGAACTGCGCATTCACAAAGCAGCATAGGAGCCCCGATAAAGCGCAGGTGTCAGGAGGGGGATGTGACCTGAGTCCGCTGGGCAATATCAATAGCGGCTTGATCGTTATCAACCCATCCGAGGAGATCTTTGCCCAGATCGTCGAGTACATGGAAAAGCATGCTTCCCGAATGCTTTTCCCAGATCAGAGCGTGCTATCAGAGCTGTTCCAGGGCAGATGGGTCGCTCTGCCGTACATATACAATGCGCTTAAGACATTGAGGAAACCAGAGACGCACCAAGCAATCTGGAGGAAAGATAGGATAAAGAACGTGCATTACATTTTGGCACCCAAGCCATGGGACGAACTTGACAGGCACGGAAGATGGACAGGAACAGAGGAGAGCCACAAGTGGTGGATTGACACGAATCGAGAAAGACAGGAGGTTGAGAGACGGGAGGCCATTGCTGACGGATTCTAGGAACTGCGCGTCTCATTGGCTCTCCTCTAACGTATCTCCCAATGCAACGCGGCCTGCATTTCATGTTCGAGATTCGGACTTTCAACGCACACCAGAGATACGGATCTTGCGCGAGTCAAGAGCGTCGGTTTAATTGTTGGGGGGAAAACACCATTGCCTGACGGGGCATTTCAACACATCAAAAAACCGGCACGATTGTTCCTGACTGGAGTGAACATTTGTGCAAGACACTCCGATTTCACTTGATGATAGGGATAATAATTTACCCACTACACGCGACGCACACACCCCTCTAGTTCCTGAGGGGCAGGGCGAGACGAACCTGCAAGACTGGTCTAGAGCATGGCGATTTTGTCCATACATAATGCACAAATCGCAGAAGTGAGCAAGCCATCGCGTGTTCCGCTCCCACCTCCTCGTGCGGATCGGATAGGACGCCGCAGATAGACACTGTTAAGGCTTCACAGTCCTGTGCGGTAGTGGCGGTGAGGGCGCGGGCGACGAGGAAGCTCAATCAGGGGCTTCGCAATGCGGATGAAGTATTATTAGTGTACACGTTTTTTGTTGACGCCCGTTTGGTGGATTAGTTCAGAACATTGGAGTTAGTACCAGGGTTAGTTTGTAGGCATGGCCTGGCAAGGGTGGGATTGTTTAGGTACCAGCCCCGCCTAGCCATAATTGCGGAGCCGGGCTGGTACCGAAATCTCCAAGTTTTGAGCGTGGGATTTCTAATTTAATCCGTCAAATTCACTTGATTGTTCAATCAGCTCAACACAAGGTTGGCCCAAGCTCCTCAACATTCTCTCTCGCCTCGCCGCCCGCCTCCCGCCTTACTCTGCGCTAAGTCAACCTGGGCGCAACCTTGCTCATGGCAACATGGCACAACCTGGAGGAAACTTGAGACAGAGGGAGAGACACGAAAGCGTAAAATAGCACAGTGGAAGTGGAATTGCAATCGGGTTAGATACTCTCACATGCAACGTGACTTTACAGTCTCGGAACAAATTAAATGCACCGTGTCTAAATCGGAGAGTTGCGAGAGAGCGACTTTTCATCAATCGGATGATGTTGTGCTGCGATGAGGGTGTGGACTTCCTTTGTTGCAGCTGAGTTTCGACAACTCCAAAGTATTAATGTTGACAGCAACTCACCGGTACATGAAGAAGCCCTTCGAACTGTTGCGACGCTACTTGAATCCATTACGTGAAGCCAAGGTCTGCTGTACTCGACCCTGGATTCGGGAGATTACCAACATAAGAAAGCCAAGAAAGGTACATAGTACCCTTGTCTCCCAACACCCGTGCTTGTACCAGCATATTGTTGCCGATGCGGCATGGGCCCCGCTCTTTCCCAACTCCGCAATTCCCACCCATACAGGGCAGAGAGCGACCCTCCTGGTGTGTACATCCGCGGCCTAGGCCCGGGACATCTCGATTGCTCTTGCAGCTTGAAGGAAGGACGAAGTGTCAGTATAACCGCGGGAGTCACGGAAGACACATGTCGAGGGGAGGGAAGTGCCTTCTCAAGATAGTTGAAGAGGGGCACACGCGACCACAATCAACGTCAGAACTAACACAGTTGGCGTGTCATACGGAGTACAATTTGTACAGAATGCCTCCACAGGTGAGCCGACGGATAGATGGACTTTAGCACAAGGGGAACTTTCTTTCCCCTTCCTGTCCGAATATGAAATCATTACATGCACAAGTAGTGAAGTAGTGTACTTCCAAGTTCCCAGCTTAAGCTATGTGCGGGCCTGCGAAGCAAACGCATGGGAACTTCAAGGTCCAGTCATACCATTCTAAACTAACTCATCAATGATCCATCGGCATCCCTCCCTCCCTCCATCTTCCCCTTCCTCCTCCCCGAGCCACCGCATATACATAGTTTCCAGTCCGCCGCTTTCGTCGTTCCAGATCTGCACCATCATCTGATCCAGAGCCGAGTCTCTTCTCCCTATCTGAGCCCCTCACAGTCCTTCTACGTGCTTCAAAAGCTGCCTCAGCCCCCGTTGTCGTTTTTACTGTTGTCTTGGACAATTCAGCTCTAGACCCCTTTGCCACCAGTCCACTTGTTTGTTTAGACAGCTCTTTCCTGCGACAACCAACAAGCGCTAGCCTCCCTCGTCCCCCTTGTCTCCTTGCAAGTCAAAAACTCCTTTAAAAGCGGCCTTGAATCTATCTTTCTTTCTCCCTTCCCCCGATCTTCTTTCACATATACCTCCAACCTGTCCCACAATGTCTAGAGTCGGCAACCCCGTTTCCAAGATTACGCGCTCCATCGGTTCGACCGCGAGTCGTCCCGTTGTTGAAGCTCAGTACGCTTCTTTGGCCCCCAAATATGCCGAGCTTCTCCGCAACCGCCGTCCTCGAGTTCTCGACAACAGCCAGTCCGATGTAAGTGAAACCTCACAAAAATCCGCCCCTATCCCAACCCACATCCCACTCCGCGAAGAGCTTCCCATCCCCGGGTTTCCCCCGGCCCACTCAATTGTCAATCCCTCGGCTTCAATCCCCAGCTCGCAGCTCGATGCCCATTTTTTTCTCCAGGTACCCGCTTCAAAACTCCGACTAACATGTCATTTTCACCCTCTTAGGCCCATTCCCACGCTCGACATCTCATGACTCAACACGTGCCCGCCCCACACCAACCCAACCTCGTCAAGCTCCCCAGCAATGCTCCCAGTGCCTCGGTCGAACGTCGTACTCCCGTCCCCATTCTCTTTAATCCCCAGACTGCCACTCAACGCCAAACTTCGGCCCCGACACGGGACTTTGTTTCAACTCCCGAGGTCCACTTTATCGCGAAAAACCCCAAGAATCCTGACCCCTCCATCGCTGGTATCGAACATCTCGACGTTGACGAGGTCGCGCTCAGAGCTGCCTCTAGCTAGTTGCGATAGGAGCGAGAGCGCTTGGAGGATTCATCCGTTGGGGAGGAAGATGAGCGAGTGGTGACAAGGATGGTTGTTGCCGAGGGTCCGGCATCGGTGAGATCTCGCAGGACTAACACTGGGGCTCTGAATCTGAGAGTGATGCGAGGCTAGCTTGGATCAGGGCCCACATTCATGTGGCATGTTTTATTTTCTCCTCTTTTCTTTTTTATTTTTTTTCTTGGGCAAATGACACGGTTCTCTCATTGTTCAATGTTTTACGTCTTCAAGGCTGATGAAATCCACAAAAATGAAGGATCATTGGAAATTTTGGCAAGCGGGATGACTGGCGGCAGGGAAAAAGGCTCTGTTATTATTTTTGTGTTTTCTCTTCTTCAACTGTACTTTCATTTTTTTTTCTCTTTTTAATGGCGGCGTAACCGGATTCATAGGTTACTGCTGAGGAGAACTACCTATTCTATGACGACACTCAAAGCGGCCCAATTCAACATCCTGTTGGCATCTTGCTCATTAAGCTTCATTCAACCATAGATGAAATGGCATTTGCCTCGAAAAAAGAATACTCCATGCAGCTTGACATGCAAGAAACAGTCTTGCTACAGTCCTCCGTACCGTTTCCTCCCCCTTCAAATTTCGTGGGTATACGCCCTTGTCCTGATCGAGCATTCGGCTCCTGGATGACGTAGAACCAGGGACACCAAAGACTCCTCACACAGGAAAACAGGGAATAAAAAAACAGGTGCCAACGCCATAACATTAAGCCCAAAAGTCTTCCTCTCTTTCCACTCCCTTCGCATTTCCGCACAATTTCTCCCCCCCCCCCCCTTTTTTTTTTTTTTTTTTTACCGCTTCTTGACCGCCGGTCTAGGCTTGCACTCATCAGCGTCAACAGGATGAAGCATAACCTTGATAGGATACTGCGTCGTGTTGTGTTGGTAGCCCTTGCTCCAGTCGTAGGAGATGGCGTAGGCGAAGATGTTACCCGTCTTGTTGAAGGTGGTGGCAACGATGCTGCCGCCGACGTTGGGGTAGCCCTTGAGACGGTGCTTGGCGTCCTTGTCCCAGAAGTGGAAGGAGCCGTCGGAGCCAGCGGTGCTGAAGGTTCCGTAGACGGGGTGGAAGGAGATGTCGTTTACGGCATGGACAGTGACGACGTTGTTGGATGGGGGGTCGCGGTGGCATTTGAAGGAGAAGTTGGATCTAAAAAAGAGAAAAAAGGGTTAGCTTTCTGTGAGAGGCAGACGCTTTCGAGAGGAAGGGATGATGACGAAAAAGAAATAGGCAAAACATACGAGCTATCCTTATCTTCCACGTATTGAATAGCGCAACGGCCCTCAATACTTCCGATGGCGAAACCAGCCGAGTCCGTAAAGCAGCTGACTACCTTCGTCTGCCACTTGAGCGGGCTCTGGAGGGTCTTGTAGAACTTGGTAGGGTTCTTTAGATCAATGACGTTAATGTAGCGGTCAGCCGTACCCATGACCAAAAGATTATCCTTAACGTCCATCGTATAAACGCGTTCCTGGCACTGAATCTGAGCAGCGGGCTGCTGCTGCCTCATATCCCAATACTTGATAGTCTTATCCCACGAACCAGAAACGACCATGGGCCCATTCCCGGACTCGAAGAAGCGCACGCACCGAACGGGCTGATCGTGAGCTCCCACCTGAGCCGTTTGCGTGCTGGCCAAATCGCACACCTTAACCTGGTTATCGGCGCCCGCCGAGGCGATCTTGGTGCCGTCCTTGGAGAAATCGACGTTGAAGACGGGACCGGCGTGTTCGTAGATGTGGCGGCCTTCGCTCTGGCCGGTGCTGGCGATTTCGTAGATGCGGACCTTCTTGTCCCAACTCGACACGGCGAGGAAGTCCGTATTTCCCTGCGCCGGCGAGAAGGCGATGTCGGAGATGCTGTCTTCGGGAGGGTTGTTGAGGGCGACGTCCTTGGAGAGGTCGCCGAGGGTTTGGCTAGGTGCTGTAGTGGACGATGAGGTCCCCGTGGAGAAGAGGCCTGCCATGGTTGCGGATTGGGCTCTTGGAGATCGGGTTTGTTTGGTCGGCGGGCGGGTGGTGAATCGGATTTGGAGGTGGACGATTAAGGATGCCTTTATGATACAAGGAGGACTCGACTAGAGAATGGTTAGAAGAGGGCGATGTGAAGTCGGCGAGGAAAGACGAACTTAAGAAAATAAGAGGTGAGGCTGTGGCAGGTGCCTGACGCGTTCTAGGCCGAGGAGATTTCTCGCAAGATCCAATGCCAAAGACAAATTATGTGGAAGAAGCAATCGAGGAATCTCAACACACAGTTCAAGGGATAGATATAATACGACTTGTGTGGGAAGAGGCCGTTCAAATACGTGGCGACGTCTTTTGAAGTTGATGAGGGACCTTCAAAATGCTCCCCTCCAGGCAGGAAGGCAGAATCGAGAAAATCCAGGCCTCGAATCTCATTGGCTCATCAAGCAGCTGCAGCTTGTGATGTCTAAACCTACACCAGAAGCTCACTAAGCACACGCCTGGAAACAAGGCCCCACCCATAAAAATAAAAATTCAGAGCTTCGAAATCGTTTCTGAACCTTTTCCTTTCCTCTCTCTCTTTCATCATTTCACATCCCCCCTCGCCCAATAAATCGCTATCGAAGCTCACAAACAGAGATACTAGCCCTCGCAGGCTCCTATCTCGATCCTGCCTCTGGCAGGATCACATCTTCGCTTCGGGAGAAAGTCCCCGGACAGGCTTCCTGATCTCTTTTGAGTGATGGGGCGAGGCGGTAACGCGCCGCCATAGAAGCACTGCGGCTGACCTCCGCGAGAAACCTGTTCCTTTTTGTCTGATGTCTCTGGCCCCGACCTATCGCTACATCGATGTGTCTGTCTCTGTTCTTTTGCCCTTTTTCTGGCCTCCGGAAACCCAGGGGCCGTCGTGCACTCTTATGGACGAAGATATGAGTCCTGTGTTCTGACGTCTTCTGGGGCGTCCTTGGTCGGAGCCTTGGGTAGAGACGAGGGGATACTTCGATGGTAGGACGGACGTTTCAGGGCTTCTGGTGCTGGGGAACACATGGGTTTCTTGCTTGGAGGATTCGTTGTCGAGGTAGAATAGGTATGCGATTGCTCGGACATTGTTCGCAATGCCGGGTTACTCGATGGGGCTTATTCTTGGTGCGAGGGGGTATATGAAATGATCGCTCCTTTTTTCCCCTTTCTTTTTCTTGCCACCATCTGCTTGGTCTTGGGGAAACTGGTTTCTCGATCCTGGTGCTGAAGGACAGAACCAAACTCTGAACCTCGTGGGAGGTTTTATCTCTGTCCAGCAGCATCTGGTAACGGAAAGCCCTCGCTGGTATAACGCACTTGGTCAACAGCGCTCGCAAGTTCAATGATGATCACTTCATAGAGTCAAGCACTGAGGCATTCCTCCGGGGATGCCCATTGAAGACTACCATTTTTTGTTATCTGACGAACTGCGAAGAACCAACGGTTTCCACTTTAAAATTACCCTGTCTGTTCCGAGATGTCTTCAGAAGAAGGGAGCGCAAGCGCTGCTCCGAGAATATATGTTGAATAAATGAGTTCAAATAGAACAAGAATAAATATACAAGTCAAGGTTCATGTCCCACTTCACCTTCCGCTTCTTGCCAACCCACCCCCATCCCTTTTTGGTCGCCCATCATCTCTTCCCCCCTTGGTCGGGGCTTGCTTGCACCTCAACCTCGTGTCATGAGAAAAGAGAATTTCGCAATGATACATGTCATGTTAACGTGTTCCGCCGTCTAGAGAAAGCCCAAGGTATCCATAGTCGAAAAAAAAAGAAAAAAAAAGTTTCCATCCCAAATTCCAATGCCATGAAAAGAAGGGGGGGAAGAAAAAAAAGAAATAGGTCCTTGGCCTCCACCGTATTTACATTAGCCCGCCCAAGACAACCTTTGAAATATTTGCCAACTCCATCTTGACGTGCGCCTTGCTATTCTCCTCAAACTCCTTCACGGCTCCCTGGATGATCAACTTGCGCACCTTTGTATCAGCCTTCGCGAACTGCTCGGCCACCGGCGCCGAAAACTCCCTCGGGGTCGGGATGAGGATCAACAGCCTCTTATAACAATCGATAAGCGCATCACAGAGCGTCGCGAACGTCTCATAAAAGTCGGGATCGAAAGGCAACGCGGGTGTGAGCAGGTAGGTGTACGTCTCGCCGGGTAGGAGCTCGGCCTCGGAGCCTGCAAAGTTGATAACGCTCGAGGGCGCCGCCGCGGCGTTCACGCCGCCGTCCGTGTCGGGTGGGTAGAGAGAAGCCTCGGCGGCGGCGCTACTCCGCCGGCCTTTGCTGGCCGTGCCGCGACGGAACATTTGGGGGAGGCGGGCGCGGGATAGGGAGCCGGTGCTGCCGCCCTCGCCATGGAGTTGTTGGAAGGAGTCGAACTCGGATAACAGGGCGTTGAAGCTGCGGAGGAATTCGAGGGGTGTGGAGGAGTTGAGGTCGATGACGTTTGGGAGGGAGAGGCCTAGTAGGAGGTAGTTTGTTGCTCGTCGGGCGAGTTTTTGGGCCATTACGGCGGACATGCGGCTTTGGTTTGGCCGGTCGAACATGTACGTGTTGAACCAGAAGACTTGGCCCTCGTGCCTGAGGAGAAGGGAAAACGTCAGCAACAGCTCGATGGAACGCAAAAACAGCATTCTAATTGTACAACGGTCAAAGAAGGAAAAGGGAGACGCACGCCTTCCTTAGGTAGTCCAATGTATACATCCTCTTCCTCGCAATCTCCCTCATATTCCTATGCATAACGGCGCCCTCGCCCTGCCACATTTGGCCAAGCGGCTGCACGGGAGTCAAGCCCCCCGTATGAAAACTCGTCGCCGTCGGCGCCGTCCTCCCCAGTATCCTCGAGAAGCTATCCCCCGTAACGGGCGTCATGGCGACGGCTTCCGACTCTCTGCTCAACTTGGCCGCAGCCGCGAGCGCGAAATCCGGTAAGGCAGGTGGCGCCGTACTATCCGTCACGAAACTTGCGCTGCCGAGGCTTCTCGCACCGGCGCTACTCGAGGAGCCGGATCGCTTTTTAGACTTTGTGGGGCTGGAGAAAGAGGTCTTGCGCGCAAAGGAATTCTTGCGGTCCTTCGTGAGGACATTGGGTTGTTGGAGGAGGAAACCGTTCGTCGGGGGTTGTTGCTGTTGCACTGACTCGCCGGATGAGGTGCCGGGTCGAGACTTGGAGGAGGAACCGAAGAAGGCGAAGGCACTCTGGGTCGCAGAGGCGGATTTCGGCATCATCCTTTCGATCAAAAGGGGGGGAAGGGTTTGACCCAGTTCCTCTAGAGTTCGCGCCGTCGGTGTCGGAAAGGTGAAGAAAGAGCGCGCGTACACGTCAGAGAGAATACGTGGTCAAAGGAGTCGTAGTCGGGGGAATGTGACGGCCGTTGATGGCCGAGCCCCTTCGAGTTGGGGCACTCGATCGAGGCTTTTTCTCTTTATTATTTCGTATTTTCTTTGCTCGTTAGGGTATCGACAACGTTTGGTTGCTTTTTCTACAAGTCCTCGATCGTTTTGAGGCTTGCTCCTTTGGGAAAGTCGGAAATTTAAATTTCGGGTCTTGGAGGGGTCTTGGTCACGTCACGTTCGTTCGTCAAGAGACACGGGTAGAGGCGTAATCGATTCGTGATGTGGTCTTCGTTTTATCGTTTTGACAAGGCGTCTCACCGCTGCCCTTATACACACCCCCTTGGGGGCCCGTGGGATGCGCCTGGAAGACGTGATCGGATTGTAGGAGCGATTGGGGACTCGACGGCAAATGGGGTGAGATCAATTTATCGTCCTGCAGTTCATGGGCGCGTGCGTGACGGCGTAGACACTGGCTCTTAGAATAGAATGGAGGAGAGGTGTATATACGGTATCGAGTCTTCGAAGGGCGTGCCCGGTATCATCTATCATAACATGGAGGAGAGGCGACGGAGAAGGAGGCGGAACAAGGCGAGCGGGAAAAAAAGAAGAAAGAAAAGAGGTGAGGTCGCGTTGATGAGTGGAGAAGGACTGGAAATTTGACTCTAATTTCAGCTGGAATTAGAATGGTCGATTAACAAGAACAGGTCCGAATCAGCCTAGACCAGACTGTGAACATTCCCTCTGGGAGACACAGGCGTTGAAACAATTAGAGAATATATCGATTATACATCGACACAGGGAGCGTGGAAGCGAAGCCAGGCAGAGATCCGGCGAGGCGGAGGATCAAGAATATGTATGGCGTTAAGAGAGTGTTGGTCAACCTGAGAACCAGAGGAGATTTAACGTTCAGGAGTACATTAATAGCACCAAGGGACTGAAAGAAAGACAGGGAGAGGAACACCTTGATCGGAATCAATTGATCAAATCCATTGATCCATCAAAGTACTTCGTTGGAGTGTGGTCTGGCCATCCTGTATCCTCGTTGGTCCAGAGAGCGCCAGCACTAATTGATTGATGTTCTTGAGGTGCCAACGCTGGAATCTTACTGGGCAAGAAGCCGTCAAGGTCCTTCATTGATGCTGTCCTTCCTGTCCGTGACGATCTCAACCGCTGCAGGTCTAGAAGTATTCCAAACCAGCAGCCCTTTGAAACAACTTGAGCCTCGCCCATTTACACCTGCGTCTGCATCTGCCAATATTGTCCTGACATATTGATCGACCTACTTCCTATAGTACGCTCCAAGGTCCAATAGTGTTCCGCTAGGCACACCCAGACAGCAGCCCAGTCCAAGCCACCACGCAATGCGTGATGGAGGGAGACAACATCAATGTACGGTTCATCCACCACTACTTGTCCTCAACCCCATCCTCAGAAAGGCTGATATTGGGGAGTACTTCGTAGGAGACATCAATCCTAATTTCCGCGCGTACAGAAGATCCTTAATTGGAAAGAAAGCCCCATCTCTCCGGAATGTCAGTATATTACGGCGAACTGCGCGATCCAAATTGTTCGTAAAACTCGTCGCAGCCGAGTCTACTTCGTACTTCGCAGGACAATGGACAACAACAGCCTTAACTGTGGGACGTTGGATCTGGTCCTCCCTCAGGCGACGGATTGCCGAGCGTCTCAAGGGATCTGGGGCAGGGGGACCACGTCCCGCTCGGTATGCGTGCTCGCTGCCACGAAGTACCCCCTTTTTGCTCCAAACGGAATGCCAATTTTACAACAGTCTGTTTCAGATTGGGGCTAGAATCCTCCCGTTGATGCAAGGAAGAGAAATGGAAGAATGCGGGGAGGGGCTTAGACCCAGCCAACTGGTGCCGCCAACGAAACAGACAATGGCTTTTTCTCAACTAAACTACTTCGTATGTGACCTTGTGCTGTCTCGAACGAGAGCCAGAACATTGAAGCACACGTTGGTCATGGGAACCCCTCCTGGAATAGGCAAAACAACACAGAAAAGGGGGCTACTCACCCAGCATTCCTACCCTTCTATTGCCTCTACCTCTGAAAACCTGTTCCATCTGCCAGCACCCCCTTCGTATTTCCTGCTCGGTCAGTCTAAGAAATTTTCTTGCTGGAAATGGTTTCGATTTCCCCCCCTATTAGGATCTGAACCATTCGAGCAGGGAGGAACCAACCGATTACAGCCCTGCCGAATGGGAGGGTGCTGGAAGAAGGGAAACAAACAGACCAGTCCTCTGCTCGCCTTGCCGCAAGTCATTGGTAGTACAGCCAGAGGTCCGCGGCGTCGGCTCGACGATCGCCGCTGTGATGAGCACGGGAGAGATCTGGGCCGTTTAGTGTCGGCGGCTGAACCCTTTCTTACAAGAAGAACTCGTCCCTTTTCCATGCGTTTGCGCTCACCTACCCTTGACCGCCACCATTTGCATTTTTTCGTGTCTATCCTCTGTTGCGACGTGGTTCGAGGATGGACTGGCGAGCAGACACAACCGAACTATAAGTACCACAGGTCACGAAATGAGAATCGCAAAGGCAGTCTGTTTTCGTCTCATCTCATGTGCCTCTTTCAGCCAACCTCCCGGCGATCAACGAATTTGAATTTTCGACGCTCTTCCCGCGATGCGAATTATTTGAGAGGCTCCGCAAAGTCGGGGCGAGTGCGAGGTGGTCGTGGAATGCATCAATCCGAGTCAGCATGAGTGGACACGATCTCGATCTCGCTTCAAATTGTTCCAAGTCTTGTCGCCCTCCTGTGGACATGAAATGAGGAAATTGATAAATTATTTCACGTTAATGACGCCTATAGATATATCTGGCATGACCTGTCGATGCTGGGCTGAACGGCCATCTCCCAGAACTCCGGGTGGTTCCGTGGCCTGCTGGACGCAGTTAAGTAGAATTAACATGTGCGTTGAAGCCATGATCGATAATATCAACTACATTCCTCCAAGATCATCATCACATCTGTGCGTTTGGTACTCTAGTCTAAAATCACCTTGAAAAGATGCATATTTATTTCCTAAACGAAAATGCTACATTGATAAAGACAACACGGCGTTATACACTTGTAGACGCGGGACTTAAATATTATAATCCCAAAAATCGACCCCGAACCTCCCATCCCTTTTTTATCCCGAACCCGTCTGAATCCCGCCATGTCTTCTTCTCGTATGTTAAATCATTAGCAAAAAAGCAGCATGCCGCCTTGCCTTTCGCTAAAATGCTAAAATGCAGTTGACATCTCTTCATATTCTTTCCCCCAGTCTGAAGACCTGGAATTTTTCTTCTTTTTTTCCCTTCTTACGCCTCCTCACCCTCCTCGGGGATGATGACGGCCCACTTGTGCTGGGGCTCACCGCCGTACATGATGTCCTTGAGCCATCCCCTAACCTTGAGGGTGTACTCGCCGCCCTCGCCGGTGGGGCCCATGGGGGCGTCGAGGTTCTTTCCACGGTGGTTGACGACGGAGATGGGGCAGATGAAGTACTAGGGAGAGAGGCCATCGTTAGTATTTTATTTACATGAATTGACATGAAAAAAAAAAAAAAAGAGTTAGGGAAAACCTTACAGCAGTGCCCGCGGCAAAGCTCTCGAGGATCCTGCCCTCATCGTGAGCCTCCTCAACCTCCTTGATGGTATACTTCCTCTCAACAATCTCAATCTCGGGACACCTCTCCCTGAAGAGCTCAAGGACGCTCCTCCTGGTGACACCGTCAAGAATGATCTTGTCGTCGAGAGGGGCAGTGACGAGCTGGGGCTTGCCGCCCTCGCGGGGCTTCCACAGGATGAAGAAGTTGCTGGCACCGGCCTCGGTGCAGAGACCCTCGGGGCCGTACAGCCAGAGAATCTGATGGAAGCCGTCATCCTTGGCAAGGGCGGTAGCGAGGAGCGAAGGACCGTAGTTGGCACCGACCTTGGCATAGCCGAAGCCGCCGGACCAGGCGCGGATCATGTCCTCGGGAGACGTCCTAAGGCGGAGGCCGCCGGCGGGAGAATCCAGGGAAGGCATGAAGGTGCAGATAATGTAGAGCATAGCCTCGCGGGAGGCCATGACGCCGAGCTGGGACTGGGTACCGATCATGGTGGGGCGGAGGTAGAGGAAGGTTCCAGGACGGGACTTAGGGATCCACCTGGGGCCGTCGACGGCAAGGAGGGCAATGAGAAGCTTCTCGAGCTCCTCGGGGGGGAAGCCGGGGAGGGAGATACGGGTGGACGACATGACCATTCGGCGGGCGTTGCAGTCCGGGCGGAAGAGGCGAAGGCGGCCGTCGTGGCCTCGGTAGACCTTGAGACCCTCGAAGCATTCGGTCGCGTAGTGGAGCACGGAGGCAGTGGGCATGAGGGAGAAGGGGCCGTAAGGCTTGAGCTGGGGGGCGGCCCAGCCGGTGCCGGCGGTCCAGGTGGCCGTGATCATGTGGTCGGTGCAGATGGAGTCGGAGCTGGCGGTGGCGGCTTCGACGGTGGGGACGGGACGAGGGGACTTGGTGCGTTCATAGGTGAGTTTGGAGGCGTCGAGTTCGGCGTAGGCAGGGGTGGATTTGGCAACGCCGTTGGAGGGGGCGGCGGCGGTCGCCGCGGGGGTTGCGAGGGCGGAGGGAGCCATTGTGGTGGTGGTGGAACGGAGCACGGAGCACAGAGGACGGAGGGCGGAGGCGGACTGTGGTTGAGGTAGCAAAGAGCGTTGGTTTGGGAGTTGGGGAGGAGCAATGGAAGGGTATCACTTGGAAGAGGATGGGGGAATGGTTCGTACTTAAAGGGAAGTGAGAGGCGGAGAGAAGAAGTAGTGTGAGAGCCACATTTTAAGTTCGGGGGAAACCCGGTCTAGAAGAGGGCAAAAACTTCGAGGCGGGCTAAAAGCCGGACCCGTCCCTATATCGAGAGAAGTACGTACTGCATACACTCCACTACATGAGGATCCCCTGTCGGCGGCCCCATTCTCCGATCTATCTCCTCCCACATGGATACACCACCACACACATACACTAGACGTACATATGTTACACTACGAGGGAAGTCGAGCAGTGGATCGGAAAACTTGGAGTCATCGCCCAAGCCTCAAGGTACACCTGATAACACTGATAAAACTTGGCGTGGATGGGAGAGGGGGTAAAATATAATATGTATGCCGAGCTCAACCCTAGCCTCCCAGGGTCTTCGTGCTAGGCGCGGAGCCGGGCCTAGCCACAGGCTCGGTAGTGGGGAATCTTCCGTTCCTGTGACTCCTTTTCCCCTTGCGACGTGCTAGCTACGAAGTATATCCGTACTTGTAACGACAGAAGAGGAAAAGGCTTAGGATCAGAGAGAGAAAAAAAGAAAGAAAAAAAAAATTAAACTGGGGAAAGAAAAGTGGAGAGAGGCGAGTTCGAGAACAAACGTGGCTTGCCCCTAGGCCCTGAGAGAACACGCCTGAGCTTGGCACTACGACACAGGGCATAGTGTAGCCCCGAAGCAGCGCACACTCTCGATCATTTTCCGCGACGAACATTTACAATCAGCGTTGGATGGCCGAGGTCACCACAGTTCTATTTTCAGCAGATAAGAACAAATAGATAAGGTTGTATGACCAAAACGGGGCCGCTTGTTGGCCCACGGAACGGGTCAGCCGTCCGTACTTTGCTTGCTGGGATTCATAACCTTGATAACTTGACACTGCGACACCGGAGCCAATTGACCATTCATATGAGCGCAATTGATCAATCAAGAGAGGTTTTGGGGTTCAAAATTCCCACTCTGAGGGTGTATGTACCGAAAATCACCAACAAACAAAACTGGAGAGATAAAGCCCCGTTATGCCGAAAGCCGGCGCGGCGCCGAAACCGTGTAGACTCGGCCTGAGACGGCGTAAAGTACAGAAGAAGAAAAAAAAAGTTCAAGACGGCCGCGTGACGGAATCTTCTCCATTATCCGTCAGTAGCCGGTATTATCCGGCGCCGGCAGCCCTTTCCCCAGGATTTGAGAGAAGAATGACGACAGTGCTTTCCAAGGACGCAGGATGCATCAATTGATAGTCGCTATTGGCTGGATGTCAAAGGGCGCATGATAGCGGAAGGCGTGGACGACATGACGAACTGAGATTGTGGGGAAGGAGTCGAGGAACCCGCCGTTGCTGTTGGGGACTCCTCGCTAGGGAAGAAGACTCGAATAAGAGCAGGTCTAATTCAAGCATTGCGCATATATTTGCAGTAAGATGCCTTCTGTCGAGAAACACGGATAGCAAGGAATTACCTGTGGAAAGCTGAATCTGTTGGTGGCTTGGGAGCTGCCAAACCTCGAACCAGTTCAGCATCGTTCTTCCCCATGGGATTCCTTTCCAGCTCAACAAGTTTGTTCCCACAGAATCGGGCATCTTCATCCGAACGCCTCGAATGGTACATAAAAAAAAAGGGGGGGGGGGTTAAGAGCTTTTGCCGTGGTCAGGCGTCATATTCTACCAATGTAGCTAAGCACCAGTGGAAGAAGCAAGTAATCCCAACCAATTATGGCATCTCTTCTTTGTTGTGTAAGTCAATGTACTACACTTTTTTTCTATCAGCACCGCGAAATAGCGACCTGTTGAAGGCCCCGCACCACCAACCCCGCGGGTTGTCGATGCATATCTACACTACATTAGCTTCCAGATGGAACATCAGAGTCCCGATCCCAACCGCAGAATGACACACATGTGTAATGACCTCATTCATCCAAGTCCCTTAGCCCCCTTACCCCACTCACGCCTTCCGCGCCGCTTCCTTCTCCCGCTGCTCCTGCTCGAGCAACTCCCTCTGCTTATGCGCCTCTTCCACCTCCGACTTGACGCCCTTGGCTCTCTGCCGTGCCTCGTACACGTCGCGACTCCGCAAAATGCGCTGCACAATGGTGCCGGCGTTGACGTCTTCGTAGCCGTGGGAGCCGATCTCGAGGTAGATGCCCATTTCCTTTGGAGCCGTGTAGGGGTCGTAGGTGAGCGGCATGAAGGATGTGGGGCCGTGGTAGACGGCATCGGGGGTGCCGGAAGGGAGGCTTGTAAGGTAGGATTTGGTTGGCGAGAAAGGAGCCCCAAAGATGACGGAGTTTACGTACTGAGAAAGAAGAGTTTAGCAGTTAGAACGACCGGGTTGCCAAGACCAGTACATGTCGGGTACGTTAAAAAAAAAGGAAAAGAGGTGTGGGGGACAGGGGAAGGGGTGTGCGTGTCGCATTCCGGGGTAAAGTTAATTCACAGCAAGGCCTGGTAATGGGGGAAGAACATGACCAGGGGTTCCAGGGGTTACCAGTCCTATTACTCACTTTGCATTGCAGCACGCAGAGACCGCGCTCATAAATGTTCATGATGGGGTAATTGACGCCCTTCCATTGATTGATGACATCGTCGTCGTGCACGCCCGCCACGACGAATGCCGGTGGGTAATCTCCGCCGGAGGCGACCCGTTCAGCCACGGCCTTTTCGTCGTACCAACCCTTGCCTCGCGCAAGTTCCTCCTCGGCCTCGACCACTAGACGGAGGAACTCGATGTGGCCGCTGGAGAACAAGTCGAAGCCGCCATCCACGTACACGATTCGCTGTCCAGGTTTGGGACCAGGCCCCTCGAATAGCTGACGGAACGTTCCCCTCTCCTCCTCAGAGTCGGACGCCTTGGCAACCCGCGACGCAGCCCAGAAATACACGTCAGCCCCAGGTTCCTTAGCCGTCTCGTCCGTAGCGTAAAGTCGCATTCGCTCCGTCATGGCCCTGCCCGCCTCCTTCTTCTCTTCCTCAGTGCCGCTGCCCTCGGTACCGTCGAGGGCCTTCTCGAGACTGCGGATGAAGTGCGTGCGCGTGCAGAGCAGCATGCGGCCAACGAGGTCGGTGGTGGAGATGCTCGGAGTGCGTTTAACGACTCGGAAGCGCCCAGCGGCCTTAACGAAGCGGTAGCAGTCTTCGCCGCTGCTGTCGGAGGTGATATCGTCACCGTGGACAACATACTTGCAGCCGTAGTGGCTGATCCAGCCCAGGTCTGTTACGTAGGGTGCGTGGCCGATGGATTTGGTTACCCACCTACAGGCATCGACCGCTGCAAGTCTGAGGGAACTTGTTAGAAGATGATGACAGCGCTGACTCTGGGCGTAGGGCTTCGGGAGAGTGAATGTAGGAGTGGGAGAGGCTGAGATTGGGACTCAGACTGAGGCCGGATACAAAGAGGGGGCGGTAGCAATGCTCTTGAGTGTGCAGTGCACACCGTCTAGTTCTGGGATCTGGGGCCTCACCGTTCCTGAAGGGTCATGACGGTAGGACCCTTATTTTCGAGGATAGCTTCGTCAGAATGGACACCAACATAGAGCTCATTTCCGAGCTGGCGCGCTTGCACGATAGCTCCAGCATGACCTATTTGGCGATCGGGCTTAGTATTTGAGCAGTACAGAATAAGATACCATGCCCATGGGGTCGGGAAGGGTAGCAAGGCTGGCCCAAAGCCTTCGTAAAGGAGCTCGGTGAGCTGGGAGATGATGAGATCGGGGCTAGATACTTCCCCCTCCATGTATCCATGTACTTGGCGGCAGGTAAAGATACCAAGCTCGACCTCGATCACTTATTCACATACCGTGGTGGAAGAAATCGAAACATCCATCTATCCAGATTCGGTCATCTAGGATCTCGGGCGCCGCATCGCCGGGCGGAGGTTGTACGGTCATCCTTATGCCTGTTCTGACGGAGCTTGGTATCTTGAGAATAGGAGTGCCCCGCTAAGCTGCGAAACCCCGCGATGAGCTCAAACTGGTGGGGTAATAATGATCGCAGAGGATTGCGTTGAGGGGAATCCCCTTTTGTTGGGGATCGACGTGTCGAAATATCTGGGTCAATTGGTTCAAATGAGGGAATCTTCGCAGCCAGTGAGGGTTTGCCGATGCCGCACTTGGATGGTAATGGATTCTATCAAATTGGCTTGATCGATTGATGGGATTGATCAGTTCGGTGGTGCTGTTATAATTACCTTTCAGGTACGAGTATTATTGATGCCAGCTGGCGAATCTAGCAGCTGCCAGCCAACCGAGCCTGGCGCTCACTCAGCCTGCAATCACTCTCAGCAGAGGAGGAAGTGCTCCTGATTCAAGCCTTCAGTTCGATCAACACCCCGATATTCCTAGTCAAAGACGGCATCCTCCTTAAATACTCCAAGCACTCGCATCCAAACAAGCTCATTCGTACACAATGTATACAGCGGCACTACCTTGCCGTCACCCCTCCTCCAAGAGCCCAGCTTTTAGAAGTCGCGCCGAACCCATCCAGCTTCCGACTCGCTGCTCAAAACCACTAGCGCAGGACCATCGAGGCTCTGCACTCTAATGAGCAGACGTCCACTCTTCATTAATGTGTTAGTTTCCTTGGGTTTGTCCATGGTGAAGCCGTCATCGGCCGATCTCGAAAGAATCTCTTTGAACGGGCCTTGTTTTTCAGCTCCATCTTCCTCTCAAGCCGAATTAGAATTATTACTGAGGTCTGCGGATCGATGCCAGTAACAGCTGATATTTCTGTTCAAGTCTTGCTCCGGACCCGTCCCTCTGTATAACGATGCGGAAGACTAGGCAAGAGAGGTGACGCTCGGTTGTTAATAGCAAAGAAGGTTATTTAATGCGTACATTTTCATTGACTGAGCTCCATGTTACGTATTCTGAGATATTCTCGACCACATAGGCTTCCTCCAAAGTTGTTCCGGATTCTGAGAGACCAATGGCTCCTTCACTCACCCCAGAGATATTTCCACCCAGCTTTTAGAGACCATCTTTTCTTTGGTGTGCATACCACAGTCCGAAGACGATTCTCGAGGACCACCGGACTGCTTTGGTCGAGAGCGGCGCTCAGGTACTGACCAAAAGTCTTCATAGCCTTGAGTCCCTCAATGATTTCGTCCATCTTCAGAGCCCCGGGCCGACGCTCTCCTCCCTCGGCAATGAGCTTCATCAGTTCCTCGAGTTTAGACCCATACTCGGAATACTGCTGCCTTAACTCTGCAGCATCGGCGCCCCTTCCCTCAAGCTCTGCGTTTCGGATCTGGTATGCGAGGTGTGCGGTCGTCGCGTCGTTGTATGTTACCAGCCCATTGTCCTTGAGGTAGAAGCCGAAGTAGGCCTGAGCATCTTTGATCTGAGCCGCCTCCTTTTCAATTTCCTCGATCGTGTCTTGGGCAAGATCCAGCTTAACTTTGAGCTGGTGTTTGGCATCCTCATTGTTCTGGATTTGGCCTTTTATGTCCTTGTCTTCAACCAACCTCTTCTCATTGTTGAACCTGTAGGAGACAAGCATATGCTTTTCCCATGGATGCTTACACTTATAGCACGGGTACCCGTACCAGAAAAGCCAGCCTCGGAATGCATAGCATCCTCTCATGTCGGAATGACCGGGGAACTCTGTGGGGGCTCGGAGATCACAGTCGCTGTGGCATTCGGGATTGAAGACTCGTTGCCTGCGGCCCTCTTCGTCTTCCATATAGGTGCTGCATTCCTCCTCTGAACACACCATCATAGCTCTTTTAAGGTTGTATCTTACGGGTACTGTCATGGTCAGCTTGAACTTTTTGAGCTTTTCAGCTAAGTCCTTATCCGTTTCATCTAACGCTGCCAAGTCCTCCCTAAGGGCTTGCAGTTCCACCTGGGACTTCTTCATGGCGCTAGAAAAGCTCGTGAGCGGCTTTGCCATTCGCTCCAGAACGTTTCTGATACGATTGTAGTTGAGCGTCTCCCCGACATTGTGGGTGGGTAACTGCATCACCGTTGCAATGAAACGACCCGTCTCTTCGGCCGATCTCCGCCACATTTCTTCGTGGCAATCTTTGCCAGGGAGTTCGCGGCCTTTCTTCTTGCATGCAGCGAGATATGCGAACCAACCCGAATCGAAGAAGTATTTGTTCCCTTGACCCAGTATAAGACCAACGTTGAGGCTCCGTAAAAGTTCGTTCAGAGGCCGTTCAACTACTCCTGCCTTGTATTGTGTGCCACTAGCAAAGGTAAACCCAAATATGACATTTCTGACGGCACTGCGGTGAAGGTGACGGAATAGCTCGATTAAACAGAACCGGAATGTCGGGGTTAGGCGCGCTTGACTAGGTCGAAGGAGAATCAGAATCGCGCTAAGTTTGTCGACCTGCTCGAGGGTTGTGAGAATATCCTTGATATTCGCATCGTCATATCGGATACCCCTCGAATCCCCAATGCCAGGAGTATCTATGAGACGTATACTCTTTCCGTTATCCATCTCTAGGCTGTAAATTGTGCCTCGTTGAGTGGCCGACTGTCCGTTGCGGGACAGGATCTCGCTCTCAGTGCTTTCTCCAAGCGTCACGTCAACCATTTCGCCGCCTTCGATCTCATGAGCCAACGCCGATGGAACAGCAAACCGCACTACCTCTGTGTCGTTCAGAGCTTCCTCTAGAGACTCGAAATTGGCATAATTAACGAAAGCATTGATGAAGGTCGACTTCCCAGTTCCAGTCTCACCCATGACCAGAACATTATAAACCTCAGACTCATCGAGATCCTTGAGCAGCTCCTGCAAAGTGGTTTCCTGATACCTAGAGAACTCGGGCCCATGGGTAATGTTTTTGCATTTGAACACACTCTGCGAAGGAGGGTACCGTCCACAGTTGCAGTATATGAAGTCGTCCGTGACCCCATAACATACGAGACGTCTACACTTCGCACACGTCCAGACATACTTTCCTGACTCGTGGCAGTTGGGTCCGGGGCAGGAAATTCGAACCACCCGCCTCGAGAGCGGGGCAAATGTTCCGTTGAACGGCTGGAATTGGCTCGGATCATCACACCTTATAATACACTTATCGCTCAGTTCTTTGTAGGATGCCACCACGTCATCCACAAGTAGCCGACCTCCTCTGAATTGCTCTAAGAGGGGTTTTTCCAGGATGTCCGGGACCCCGACGTCATGGTCAACTATCATGAGTCTCAGTTCCCGCTCATAGAGTAGTTGCATGGCAAGGCGGAAGTGCTCTGGCCAATCAGACATGCCCCGTGTCTCTTCATTGTAGTGAAGGACAAATAAGTCCTTCTCGTGGGGTTTGTGGATGGCAGATTGTATCTCAAATTGATCGTTCTTGACGTAGATGGCTCCCAAACCCCGAAGCTGGCTGGCCATGGCCATTTTGGTAGAGTACTTGTCGATGGTCTCGTTGTAGTTTGTCGGCTTCTTATAGTCGTTAACTTGCGCAAAACAGTCCTCAAGTTCCGAAATGTCCGCCGATTCCTTCCGGATGCGACAGAGTATGCCTGTCATATCCTTCAGAAATTCACTCCGCTGCTTTTTGGATGATCCTAGCATACCCTTCACTTTTCGGATATGGTCTTTAGGAATACAATACGAGTGTTCCTCGAGACGGTCGTAATAATCTTGGAGCTCTTGACAAACCATCTCTAATTCCTCAAGGAGCTCGACGCAATCATTGACGCAGCTTGTTTCTAGGCGGTGGGAAATGATCTCCTGCGTCAACTCTCTCTTGAACTCGCGGGCAACATCGTCAATGGGCCGCAGTTCAAACTCGATAGGAACCGCCTTGCCTTCCCTAGCTGCCTTGAAGGATGAAGGTATCTTGTGGAGAAACTCGATAAACTCCTCGACATTCCTCGGAGTTGTCTCGAAATCATCGATAGCGTCACCGGAAATAGAAAAGTCCAGTTCTGTAATTCTTGACCTGGTCTCATCATCTAGGCTGAGCTTTCCGTCCAGATTTACCTGGCCAATACAGTTGACTATTCGACTAAGGAGACTCTGAGTTGACTTGTTTCTCCCGATTTCTGCTTCTCCTTTTGGCCCAGTGCCGACATCTGACGTGAACTTGCGAGATTCACTCGATTCGGCCGATGTGACCCGTACGGTGACTGAAGTTTGCGCTCCCCAGACTATGCCGCAGATGACATGCGTCGCACCAGCGGTGTCGAGGGCGCTGAAGTTCAAATTTCCTTCAAGTCCGTGGGCGCCCAAATTGAGATATTCATATCGGGTGTGAACGGTGCAAACCACGGATGCTTGCAGGACACGAGATTTCCTCCTGCTAGAAGAGAGGTAATCAGCCCTCCAACCAGCGTTGATAGATCCGCAGAGAAGGCTGGCGCTAACATCCGCAGATGCACCGAGGTTGGAGTATCTCTCCTGAAGAGAATCGGAGATTGCGTGCTTGAAACTGATGCTACTCTTCTCACTGGTCTCAAAAGATCCGGGAGGGGGGACCTCGGTTCGCAGAAACTTATTGCTGAGGACCTTATCCGAATTGGCGTCATACAGTCTTCCAAGACTAGCTTCCTGACCAAGTGCAGACCTTTTGTCGCCGCAATTAACTGAACCGCCCTCCAAATTGGGGAGCGTCATCGTGTTATATCGGCTCAGGTAGCAGATTGTCACTTAATATAGGGAACCGGAAACTAATCGAACAATGTGAAGACGTTGGTCTTCGTGGAGGGGCAGGAGGAAAAGTCGTAGCTTTCAGTCTTCTTGTGGTATTAAGTTTATATCTCTTTATAGCGCAAAGATGTGCTCGAACCTGACGGGTCGCACAAAGTGAGGGGGTAAGGACGTATCGATGATCGACAATCGCCGGACACCTGCGGGCACCAATTGCAGTCTCGACCGAGCAAGTCTTTCCAGTAGTGTCCTGCAAGTTATCAATACATGGAGGTGGGCGCAAATTAAGAGGGTATGGCATTGGCAGCCATCGTTTCGGTTAAAGCGAGGTGGTGTAGATGCCGATCCGGTGGCAAATCACAGCTCAGGATGAATGTCACCTTAAATGCAGCAGGCCAATTCATGCCTGATACGCCCAGTCCATCATTGGGAGAATTGGATGAGTCCTTCCGCGCTGATCAGGATGGAGAGGCCTTTTGTCCATCCTCTCCCCGTACTCAGGAACGGGTTGTATGGATACAAGCCTAGGTACCTCGTCTCGAAGCTAGGCATGGAGCTTCTGTTGACTGACTAAGACGATGCGGAAAAGGCCGTCAAGAAAAGCGACCCGAAGAGGACCCGATCGATATAAAGACGTATGAACTCAAAGAAGAGTCAAGCATCCTCGAGCGAGTAAGTGATATCCTAAGCTCCCCGAAATCTCCTGGTGCATGCAGGGGGTTTCATTGCGTCCACCGCTTTCATCTCATTCCGGCCGCAGAGAAGGGGGTGCCTCATCTACGAGTGGCCCCGAAGCATGAAGATGAGGGGGAAATAGGAATATCGCCGTAAACTCCATCATCCCGTACAAAGCTTGACTGTGACCAAGGGACGACCACAGCGGCCTGATCTAAGTCATCCAATTGAGGCAGTTGCAACTCTTTTGGGGTAAATAACTAGATTCACTCCCAAATTTCCGCAAGCCCGGGGTAAATATATTTTCAAAGTGGTATCCCTCAAAGAAGTGCAGGACTGCTTTCGTAGAGGTGTTGCATCTCACTGTGCACCTGTCAGCAAGATTCCATTCGGGCAGCGCAGCTGGAGTTAGGAGTGGATCCACCGGCAAATTCTCGGGACGGGCCGGTCGAGCCGCAATCTACCATTGCTCTGTTTCCCTTTGCCCTCTGGGCAACCTTTATCAAAGATGATCCACCACGAGCTTAAACTTGGCCGTGCTTAAACTTTAGCTTTCAGTCCACACTAACTGCAATGGCCGGTCAAGGAAATTCCGAAGCATTTTCCCGGTATAAGTGGACTTATTTCCCCTCTTGACAAGACGGCCTAATCCGTTCCCGGGCGGAGTTGATTTTGGACTCCGTCAATTGGCGTGCCTCCTGGAACACGCTGCCGAGAAGCGGGATGGAATCACCTGCACCCTTCTTCCCGACATTCCTGGGTGCTCTGGCGAAAATCCATGTAAGTTTTCCGATCTGGATTAGAACCACCTAGCAGAGAATTATAGCCCATAAATATTCTAGGTCCAGTTGTCCACACTTCAGCTGCCCAGGATCGGGACTATTGTCTCTGTTAATGAGGATGGCGGTTGCCAGCAGGGCCCAGTGCCTGGGCTTGGCGGCCCATTCGATACAGCAACGGAGTTTTTCGAAGCATGGGCGGCCAAGGCAAAATTTCCTCTGCCAGACTAGAAACTACGAACAGCATCCGGTCCGTACGCTTCCGAAATTATCTCTTCAGTTTCGTCCTTCCCAGAGTCTATTCGCAAGCTTGCTAGCAGACTATCTGTTCGTGATCGCGGTCCCTTTCCTCTTTATCATGGGGATTTTGGCCACAACAACATCATTGTTGATGACGAATATAATATCCTCGGCGTCATTGACTGGGAAACAGCTTTCGCCGGACCGTGGGAGATATTCGGAGATTTCCCTTTCACCTTTTCAATAGTTCGCGCTACAATAGACGCTCCGTGGAACTATGACGAGGAAGGCAACCCCAAGAGCCCGGAGCTGGCCCAACATTTTGTAGACCAGAAAGAATACGTCGCAGCTGTGAAACGTGAAGAGAGTAGAATGGGAGAAGACGACCATTTTCTATCGGGAAGGCTAGAAGATTCGAGAAGACAGCAATTGGCAACTGCGATGACACTATATGAAAATGGCAAGATTGGGAGGTACTCTAGACTGGTCGATGAGTTTATCTCTGGCACCCCTGCACTTTAGGACATCTCAACTGGCCCGACCAGTCTTCTCTCGCAGAGTCAAAAGGGGCCTCTTAGCTACCCAAAATGGGAGTCCAGAGATACAGTGGGTGTAGTACTTCGTAATAGGCGCTTCTCAAGCTGGGCTTAACACTAGCGCCCGCACCATTGCCAACACCAACTCCACCACCCCACATCTTTCGAGGCGCGTTCGGGCCTCCGCTGAGGGTAGTGTTTACTTGGTTCAAGGTCGATTGTATATTCTGCGTCATCGAGTGTTGTGAGCTCTCTCCCCGTTTTAGCGAGGAGCATATTGGCAAACATGTCGACCTCCTGAGGAAGATAAATTCCTCCCTTGTGATGCCTGACAAACATCGAGATGGGGACGGACGCAAGAGGGCTGGTTTTGAAGATCGATGCGTGATCTGGCCACACGCCGCCGTTGCAGGCTATAGATCGAAGGGCGCCAGTTCTTCACACCTCGTCGAGACTTTTTCGGCGTATTGGGATATTAGGGTTAGGGTTATAACTAGCTGGCTGGGAGGTAACAGCAATAACGACTGCGATTAAGTCACTTGCAAGACGACATAAACTACATTGCTAGGTTCAAAGGCATCGCATCTATAAGCTATAGGAATCACCGTCATAACTTGGACGTCCCCCACTAAACGCGACCACTACTGGCACCCCATGAGGGAGGGCCAACATGCGGGCAAACTAGTCCCCGTAGATTCCCACTATGAACATACTCTCGTCGACGGAAGAGAGTAAGGCGTCGGCCATGAAGCGTCGTTTTAGATGTATGCATGCAACATCTCGAATCTAATATGTATGACCAAACATGGCAACCCTAAAGGTGCAAGTGGAGCTTATTACACACATTGCGCTGGCAAGTGAGTAAATAGAGACCAAAGGAATAGAAGGTGAAGTCCAAAGCCTTGTTGGCGTCGTGTAACGTCGGAAAAATTCCATATTGAATATTGGATTATTTTTAGCGGCTTACCAACATCAATGATGAAGAAGAATTGAAGATCAAAGACGCGCGTGTTGGATCTTGGTGCCCCGAGCATGAGAGTACAATTAACGTAGTGTCGTAATTTCTGCCGTCTGCGCCAGAATCCTACAATCCTACCTGGGCATTATACGAGGCTCGTACCCCCTCCAATTCGCCAACATTGTCCACGCTGTCCCCAACCACGGGTGTCAAGCCCATTGCCCATTTTCCCTTCCACCGCCTCCCACACACAATCAGTTGATGATTCCATCATAATCACCATCCTTCATCGCGAACTCTTGTCGCTTGGCGTTCTCAGTCTTGCCGAGCTTCTTCAAGTTGTTGTGTCGGCCGCCATGACTTCTTTGCCTGAAGCTGGCCAGCAAAAACAGTCTGGCCTCTTAGATCCAGTCGAACAGAAGTTGCAAAACCAACCTGTGGATAACAGCCCAGAAGCCAAGACTGGCGCCGATGTGGTTGCCAGATCGGCTTCCAGCGATGCTAACAATGCCGAGATTGGGCCCCAATTGCAGATTGGCCTTTCCGAGGAGACGAAGGCAAAAGTCTACCATACCGGCTGGCGCTTACATGCCCTGACAGCAGCGTAGGTAACCGTGCTCTACATCTACTTGACTGCCTCTAAACCTCCGCTTCCTTCGCTCTAATGATAACCAACTAATCTGACCGGCCGCTGGACCTATGCCTGATGAGTACAGTCTTTGCATGAGCCTACTGTTGTCCACTCTCGAAACCACCATTGTCAGTACAGCTCTCGTGCCAATCGTCGATGCTCTCCATGGCTTCGATAGGAGCGGCTGGGTCGTGACGTCCTATTTGTTGACTTATACGGGTATGCCTCTCATAGTCATGGTACAATCCTCGCCGATCATCCTCAACCATCCCAACTACTAATAGATGACATTCTTCAGGTTTCCTCGTTATCTATGCGAAGTTGAGTGACATCGTTGGATGCAAACTCATGCTTCTCTGCGCCATCACTCTGTTTACGGTCTTCTCCATCGCCTGTGGCCTCTCCAATTCCATGCTGATGTTGTACGTTGCGATCCCTAAACATCCTACTACATCCTCCTCGCTCTGCCTATTAGCTAGCCCTCTGGCAGTATGCTCATCATAGACGCATAATAGAATCATTTTTCGGGCATTCCAGGGTATGGGTGCCTCGGGAATTTACTCGTTATCGACAATCATGGTGCCATTGATGGTTCCGCCGGCGAAATATGCGACCTATGTTACGGTCATCACATCTGTCTTCGCCATCTCTAGCGTTCTCGGCCCACTTCTCGGAGGAGCCATTGCTGATAACACGACCTGGCGCTGGGTCTTCCTTCTCAAGTTTGTTGACCAGATGACACGCCGTTGCGCCGTGACACCAACCACCCTTGCTAACTCTTAACCCTCTTCAATAGCGGACCCGGTGGATTCGTGGCAGCAGCCTTACTAGCTTTCTCGATCCCCTTTGGATTCCCCTACGGAAAATCAGCCAATTTTTTCCATTCCCTGGTGGCCGAAAGAATGTGGAGGCGTATCGATTACTTTGGGGGGTTCTTGTCCCTGGCCGCATCCATTCTTCTCATCTTTGCACTGCAACAGGGTGGCGTGGCTTATGCGTGGAATAGCGGAGCAATAATATCCATCTTCGTCATATCTGGTGTTCTCTGGCTGATCTTTGTGGCCTGGGAAAGGCAACTCTCCCTCTGGGACATTGTCTGCGAGCCTCTATTCCCCTGGAGGCTTGCCTGCAATAGATTTGTCTTGGGGTTGCTAGTGTAAGTTGCTCCGAGTCATTTTGACGATAAGAACCAGGTGCCCTTACCTCACTAACGTCCTTTGGATACTGATAGAAATGGCTTCGTGACCGGGTTCCCCTTTATGGCAGCCCTCATCAATATTCCTCAGAGGCTGCAGACCGTTAATTCGATGACGGCCGTTGACGCGGGCATTCGCTTGTTGCCTCTCCTCTTACTCTCTCCCGTTGCCAGCTCTCTCTCTGGCCTTTTAATATCGAAGTTAAAGGTCCCGCCTCTCTATCTCCTCATCCTAGGAGGATCACTGCAGACTATAGGAGTTGGTCTGTATAGTTCCATAGATTCCTCGGACCATCGAATCCCTCCTGCCCAATACGGTTACCAGGCTATCATGGGCCTAGGATTTGGTTTCAACCTCAGCACTATATTGATTATGGCGCCTCTGGTTGTAAAAGAGAAGGACATGGGTAAGTGATTTCCATCTTCAGCTCTAGTTCGAATACCTGGATTGATGAGGAATGTAGCTATCACTATGGGCTCTGTCACGCAAGTTCGCGTATTGGGCGGTACAATTGGACTCGCCATTTGCTCCGCCCTCTTGGTAAACTACATCAAGGCCCAGACCTCACGGTTCCTCACTCCTGATCAAGTGGCGGCCATACTCTTGTCCTCGGAAAACATCGCATCGCTACCGCCCGAACTGCAGACGCAGACGAGAACTGTGTACGCGACGGGCTACTCGCAGCAGATGAGGGTCATGCTTTTTTTCTCTATAGCATCCCTCCTCTCGCTCTTTCTCCTCGCCGAGAAACACCCCAGGAGAATAGTAGATCTGAAGACGGGGCAGATGTCAGGGTCTCGTTAACGGTCACCGCTTGAGCAGTCCTAAGCTGTCACATTCCTAAAATATGGGATCTAGCTACTTGTGCTGGAAAGCAAAGGATTTCGCCTTCGCCACAATCTAAAACTTGCTCATACTACCTCCTACGTCACTGGCGAAAGATGACCTTGCGACCCGCGTCCTCAACCACACCCGCCGTGGAGCGAGCGGACAATGTATTCCGGATAGACTGGTACCTCATGGGCGCCACTGTGGTTAGAGACATTACCCTCTTGGTCTCGCTCAGGGCCAGGTGCCACTTAGAGCATCCTGGCCCTCCATGATATGGGCATTTAAAATATTGATCACCCCAGCATCGATATTCCTCTCGGTTTCACGGTTCCCATGAAGACCAACAACACCATCTGCCCGCCGGAGAGAGTTGGATCATGAGAGCAGCATACCGCTCTTGGACAAGGGGTGAGCTGATGGCTGATCCATCTGGAGACGGACAAGGAGCGTTCGCAGGTGTAGAAAAGACCGCTGCCCCGCAAGGATGGAACGTGTGCCCTCAACAATGCGAACTAGTGTTTGGGCCTGAGTGCGTGGCGGACGGCAGCTTGAGGAGTTGGCCCTTTCATGCTCTTGGTTTGGATACAAATACGGAGTTATCTGATTGTATTCCCAACGCCTGTAGGAGATGCCTCAGTTAAGATTATGGAAATGTGAATATATATATATATGAGAGCACTATTTCGCTCACCCTTACTAAAACTTTCCATCGTCTCCAGGTAATGATTCTTTACTCGAGTTACCCAATCGCACATCCAAACTCGCCAGCTCAGACGTAGATACTCGGAAGATCTAAACTTCCTGGTTTGTAGAAACTGTAGGTTCCTCCTAGACCTGAAGGGGACTTGCGGATTCACGCGGTCGCATGTGCCTTAACGCTGGCATCATGTGCTAGTTCAAGACCTTACCTCGAAGCAAACGTCTTACCATCTACTAACATTCTAGCCCCTTAAAACAAGGCCGAACTCCCAAGAGACTACTAAGTTATAGGAACGGATGGAGGGTTAAGCGGGGAGACTGAGAAACGCTGGAGAATGACTGGCCGGATTCGGGGCCTGAACATGGCCGATGCAGCTTGGGCTGTAGCAGTTGCCTAACATTCAAAGGGGAAAGGTCTTGTAGGGAGGTGAGAATCTCTGGGGATCTCTTGCTATTTTCATGTCTCATCCTGCATAAAGATGCCTGTTTTATTCAGAGATTACATCCACACTAAGATCACGATGTTCCAAGCAGTCGCAAAACCAAACCGCTTCACAAAGTCCCTTCACTCCGTTACATGGCTGCCTTGCCCCTCGATTCGAATGGCAGAATAATCACGAGAACACCAGCGGCGATAAACAACGCACCGCTTGTGTATACCGGTGCAGAAGTTTGGAGGTTCGCGAACATGGCGACGATGGGCTACATACAAAGCGCCAATAATGTCAGTGTTGCCAAATCTAAAATTGAAAAACAGACAAGAAGGAGGAGAGGAGGAGGAGAGTAACTTACAGCCATGATGCCGAATATCCGGTTGCACGTAGCCGCCAACGCATTCCCCGTCCCCCGCTGTGGCGTCGGAAAGAGCTCAGGAGTGAACCCGTACAGCACCGCATACATAACATTACTAAAAAAGCTAAAAGCGCAATTCCACCCCAGTAATGCTTTGCTATCCAGCGCCGTCGTCGAACAATACAGGAACACGCCCGTCAGCGCCGTGCTGACTGACAACGTTCCCTTCCTTCCGACGCGCGGCAGCTCGATGAGCCAGCCGCCCAGCAGAGCCCCCGGGACGCCGAGCACGGCGATGATGAGGCTGTTTCTGTAGGTGAGGTACGTGCTGCCATCGCCGAAGTCGGCGCCTCGGGTTGCTTGGATGTAGGGCAGGAAGGCGTTGTAGAGCGGGTATCCTAGGCCGATGAGGGCCCATACGGCCATGACGAGGCCGGTGCTCAGGGCGAGGCGGGGAGAGGAGAAGAGGACGCGGACGTGGCTGAAGTCTAGTTTCTCGAGGTGTCTCTTGACGGCGGCGGTTGTGTTCGTCTGCGCGACGTAGCCCTCGGGCTCGCAGGCTTTGAGGTCGTCGATCGTTAGATTCGAAGTCTTTCCGTTCCGGCGCGCGACTTCGTGGACGATGCGGACGGCTTCCTCGTCGCGGCCCTTGCCCATGAGGTATTTGGGTGACTCGTAGATGGTGAACAGGAGGAACCGGATGAGGAACATGATGAGCGTGAGGCCGCCCACGGTGATGACAAAGTAGCGCCAGCCCATGTTCTTGCCCTTGGTGCAGTTCTCCTCCTCCTGCTGACATGTGAGGTTACCCAGCAACGGCCAGGCGATCAGCGTCGCGATCACCTGCGCGATGGCCCAATCGATCGACAACACCGTGAGCAGGTACTGATGCGACGGCGGCAGGAACTCGAGGAAGATGGCCGAGTCGACGGGGAGGTTGCCGCCCACGCCGAAAGACCAGAGGGCCGCAAAGACGCCGATGGCTGCGAAGTTGGGCGAGCTCGCGGCCACGGTGCCCCAGACCGCTGTGAGCCCCAGCGTCAGGTTGAAAGCCCACTTGCGCCCGAAGATGTCACATCCGAAACCCCAGAACATGGCGCCGGCGAGAAGCCCGATGTTCTGCGCCAGGGTGAGGAGGGGCGGGCGTCTGGGCGAGAATTCGTTCGTGATGGGGGTGAAGATGAGGGATGTTACGATGGGCCAGAGGTTGTCGCTTGCCCAGCCGAAGCCGACCACGATGAAGAGCTGCCATTGGTACCATCCCATGCCGATATCTTGGATCTAAAGAAACACGCACCGTGGGATCGGATGGTGGCATTAGGGACATGAGCTCCCTCCTCACTGTTGGGGTATTCGAGAGGTATTAGATAGAGAATTACGGTAGTTATCCACGTACCGCGCGGTTAAGGACTCGCGCCTTAGCTTCATAAACTGGATCCAAGGCTCCATGCGGGATGATGGTATCTTCAGTAGAGCTGGCATCAAGACTGTATTGGCTCCCGGCGCGCTTGGCATCCGGTACCACCAGGTTCGCCTTCTTCCCGGCCTCTATGTCTTCGGACATTGTTCCGGTTCGCTCCGGTAAGGTTTCGTACTACGCTGGAGGACGGAGTCGTTTATGCGCCCCGTTTCGGCAGTGGTGTGTGTCGAACTTGTCAGTCTTAATATCAAGACTGTCGATCTCACCGTTAACACGTGCATCCATGCAGAACCTGTAGGGACGTCGGGAATATATAATCAATCCCAGCTCGAAGGCAAAGACACCAAGACGGCAACGCGGGATCGGGAGGGTAGGATTTAGAGCACGGAAGGCACAAGACGTCGTCGATGATAGCAATGGCGCAATTCACAGGGTCTGGCCTGCAGGTGTCTTTCATTGGGCGGGACTCGGCAGACAACTCCAAAACGGGATGCTCAGGATGTCGATCAGCAGACTGCTATTTGTGTTCCTTGAAAATTGGGGAGCATCGCGCCTATTGTTCTGTTCGAACGAGGTATTGCTCCATCGCACACCCTCAGCCACGGGACTGAAAATGCAGTAGTTTATTGGTGTCTTGGTTCGAATTCGAGCGAATATCTCGACCATTGCGGTCGGTTTCGGTCTAACTTTGAGGCCCGAGTAGCCAAAATCTGACAAGCTTTAATCTTATTTGATGCAGCGGATGCGATGCTGCTTGGAAATGGGTGTCTCAACTGCCCACTTTACACTCAAAATTGGCCGAAGAGCCCCCACGGCGCACGCGGAGGCGGTTCCGAGCTCGACGCGGGGGGATATCTTCTTGATTGGCTTCGAATTGAGGCTCACCACGCGAGTTAATGGCTGATGGTGTACGAAGTAATATTTACCATTACCTTCACGGACAATTATAATGTCTAGAGCGATGTCAAACAAAGTAAGACGACAACACAGAGGAATGTTCAGAATTGCCATCCTTCCATTCAGTAGGGGTATAAAAGGTCCAATTTGAGCCAAATTCAAGCCTCAACTCTAAAACAGAACTTAAGATTCAAGGGTTTCGACCGAACCCGTGGCTGATGCATTCTTGGATAACTAAAAAGCAAATGTCATGTCCGTTTCCATTCCAAAACAGGCATTCTAATCGTGAACAGCGACGGAATGCCGCGTGCGACAGGAGACACATCCAGAAGGAAACGCCGAGAGAGTGTAGCGGAGAAAAACGAAAAGGAGACCGGAATAATGATAAAAAAGAAAAGGGAAAGAAGTCCAACGTGTAAAGAGTGGGCCGGCGCCGCGCTTTCGCAATCTATGATGCATGTTCCCTACGATGCTCCAAGTGCCATGTGCCGAAGTGCCATGTAAGAAATGGCACGGGAAAATCAAACTTGACCAGACTGATACCTAAGAATGCAGAACAAAAAAAAAAAAAAAAAAAAAAAAAAAAAAAGGAAAATCACAGAATGTTTGGACGGAGAGTCTCGTGGTTGCAAGACCTCCACGTGGTAGGTAGCCGGTCACTGGCTCATCGCTTCTTGTATTTCTAAAGAGGAACGAATCGTTAGGACAAGGTCTGCAATATCGGAAAATGGCGGAGACAAAAGGAAAACATACCTCTTCCACTCTTCTCTTGTTGTGAGGATCAAGAGAATTCGTCGCCCCAAGCAACGTCTGCCCCAGCGCCTTCGTCGCCCCAATCGCAGGCCTAAAAATGATAGTCGGCGCCTTCTTCAAGACGGCCTTCGCAGCCCCCTGGGCATTCTGGCTTTCCATCACCGCGGCGGGAACCGCAATAATGGCATCCCGCGCGAGGTTGAGATCTCGAGAGAGGCTCGCGTATCCACCACGTAGGCCCTGGATGACGTTGATCGGCTGGTCCGCGTACAGACTGATCTGCCGCGGCTCCTCCGAGTCGGTCTCGTCTAGCTCCCAGGGTTCCGGCTCGGGTCTTTGTACCAGCAGGCCCTCGGCGCCTTGGAGCGCGTACTGCGTTCCGACTGCGACTTTGGCGCCGAGTTTGATGATTTCCGTGCCCGTCGTGCGGACGAATGCAGTCGCGCCCTTTGAAATGCTTCGCACAATCCTGCCGTCCTTCTTGTACTCCTTCAAAGGTATCTCGACCAAATTGCGGAATCCACTCCCGACGTTAACAAGGGAGCGGACGGGAGCAAGGCCAGCGAGCACGCCCGGAAGCTGGTTTTTCTTTACGTCGGGCATCCAGATGTCATTCAATGTCCTGCCTAGCCTCTCAAAGCCCGACACTCCATAGATAATGGTGTGACGAAGGACCATGCGAGCCTCATCGAGGATAACAAAATTCATGAACTCGGTCGTGCGTCCCGATCTCAGTCCGGCATAATCCACCCTCTTCGGCTTAAAGTCGAGCTTGACAGGGATGTCGTTGACCTCGGCCCTTTGAAGGAACGGCATATCGGTGGGCGATTGCGAAACGACCGCATCGTCATCTTTGAATTCAAAGAATCTCGTGATAAAGTCTAGAGCATCCTGATCAACGTGAAGCCGAAGCGGCAGAACCGTAACTCTCATGACAATCTCGGAAGCTGCCAAATCGGGCAAGGGACGGACGTTGAGCATCTCAATGTGAACCATGCTCGATCCCATTTCTCTCTCCCCGGCATCCTGGTCGTAGGTTGCAAACTTCTTCCAAGTAGATGTAGGTACATGGTCAAAGATGTCGAGGTTCTTGACGCGCACGTCGATAGAGCTTTCCGTCTCTCCCGAGCCCGGAGGGAACGCAATGAGATCCACGTCCACACCCTGGAGTTCAAAAGTAATCTTGTGTCTCTTGCTGCGATTGAGCTTCAACCTCGGACCGGATCTCTGCGCTCCACCAGCCCGTGCGGTACTAGTCGTAAATGCCGTGGTTGCAATGGATTCCGTCTCGGTCGCGTTGTCGTTGAGATCGTGGTTAATAGCCCGAGCCAAATCTCGTGCGTCGCGATTCGCCGGGATACCGATGTAGATGGAATTGAACAAGAAATCGCCAATGACGGCTTCTTCATCCTCAAGATCCTCGTCGTACACATTCAGCCCGTCATTTCGAGCACGCCGCTCATTAGCCTTCGCCTCCACCTCGTGGACCGCCTTTGCGATGACATCGCGTGTATGCACCCAGTCGTACCCGTCGAAGAGGTTCCAAATGATGTGGACGTCTAGCACGGAAACCTTTAGAGGGCTACGTTTGACAAGCTCAGGCGGGGCCCGGTCGTAGGTGTTCCTGGCCGAATTCCACACCTTCGCCGTGCCCTTCTCTGAGGCATCACTAGCGAACCAATCGTCATGCACAACAAGGTGTGTATCCTCCAAGTCACTGTCCGTGCTGGCCTTACTATTGAAATTGTGCAGGTCGCTGACATTCGTTCCTTGAGAGGCCGGCAACGACCCCAACGAAGATGCCGTAGCATCGAGTAGCTTCTCACCCACGTCGACCTCGCCGTAGTAGTCATCGTGGAACTCTAACTGACTCACGTCGCTAGCTTCGTCGTCCCCGGCATCTCCCGCCAGTTCCTGGGCAATGGCAAAGTCGTTATCAAAGTCATACTCGCCTTCAGGGTTTCCAAAAGCCTCGGCAGAGATTGATGAGAGCAGGTCTTCCACAGGCATAACGTTTGTCCTGTACTTGATTTCCTTACTCGGCGGCGTCGGCGGCTTCAAGCCATTCGCTAGCGCAATCAAGGTCTGGGTTGAGTCGGCGCACGTTTCGAGCACCAGCAGGTCGTCACGGAACGAGACATCAACTTGCTTCTCTCCATCCTCGAGAGTAGTAATGGCCACTGAGGCCTTTGCCGAGGAGATGAAGCATATCTCGACAAACCCTTGCGCACATAGTTCACTGACTTGTTGCGACGGTACGTTTGTGACGCGAGGTCGGGAAGGAGGCCTGGCATCATGCAGAGCCGTGATGTCATCTATGAGCAATATTGCCGCCTTTCTGAGCTCAAACTCGGCGCTGACATTTTCATCCTTGGGTAGCACCATCTGGAGACGGGAATCCGTAAGCGCCAGCGTCAACTTAGATTGAAGACCCAAGGGGTTAAGACCAAGTAAGCAGTCTCGGAAGACAATCCTGACTGCCAATGGCTTAGCCGCAGGTTGTTTGGCCTGGGATTTGGATAGTGCGGGTGATTGCGTCTGCTGCCTGAGAAGAGCAGCGTGAGCATGTTCTCCCAAGTTGGCAACTGAGGCGGCTAGCTCGGCCTCGAAGTCTTGAGGTGTGGCATCCTTTCCAAGCCCCAGGAGATCCATGAGAGTGGGGACTCTGTACTCAAAAGCCAGTCCCTGCAACCTAAGCTTGAAGATTGGCTCAATTTCATCCCCAATCATCCGAGCAATTAAAACGAGCTCATCCGCAGTAGCGGATGACTTAGGTGACGTAACAAGCTCCTCCGTCTCATTGCGAGTCACAACAAGCGACTCGAGACCCAAGGCGACCAACGAAGGGAGGGTGATGTGCGCGAGCTCGAATTCCCTTAGCGAAGCCTTTACCATACCGATGTTCCCCTCGAGATCTGCAGAGAATGCAAGGTTCTTTATCCGCCCCAGAGTCAGGAGTCCAGGCCGATCATCTTCCGGCAAGTACTTCGCTACAGTGCTGAGCCGGGCAATTTCCTCGCCAAGGCCAGGTAGGCACGCGAGTAATGGGACATTATGGACTCGAGTCCGAACGGAATCGAGCGTCATGCGGAGAACCGGCCCTTTCCTCCTTTGTCGCAGAAGAGTATCGACCATAATCTCGTTATCTCCGAGGTCTGGCTGGACTTTGGAGGGGGTAATGAGCTTGAGAAGACGCTCTAGATCGCTGTCTTGTGGGTACGCCAGATATTCGAGCCGTGTACCCTCGACTTCAACCCGGATCGGCGGTGAAGCGTCCAAGTTGCTCAGGTATGGCCCTGATAGACTGATTGCACTTACGGCAACACCTAGTCCCTCATTTCGTTTGACCATTTTCACAGCACTCGTTTCAAGGCTCATCTCGCACTCTTTTCCAACGATCCGTAAGTAGAACCCGGCAATCCGCATATCCATCTTGTTATCCGACGCTGCGGAGCGGTCATTGGGGTTGATGGGTGTTTCAAACCGGACGCCTCTAGCGCTCGGTGTCACAGGTGCCACCGTTTGTACAGAAGCAGGGGCAACCGAGGACATGCTAGATCCCATATTAAGGAAGCTACTCAGTCCTCCAAACCAACTAAAGGTCTCATCCAGCCTCTGCAAGTCGAGATTGACGACCAGGGCTAGAGTGGTCACTTCCGTCTTAGTGACCTTGCCAGCTCGAGTGAGCTTCACGGAGACGTCCGCACCCGAGGGAGGGAAGACGTCGCGGACGGATGCGCCGAGCTTGAGCGCGCGGTCAAACGACAGTATGTCGCTATCAGCATACCCAAACCTGAATTTACCCAGATTTATAAGGGTGGTGGAAACTGTCGCGGCATTCTTGACAGATACCGAGAGTTCTTCGAGGTCGCAACGCAGAAGAGTAACCTGATCAAACTCAAAGGCTGCGGGATTAAGATGCCTTTCAGACGTATCTGCAACTCCCATAAGATGATGTAAGAAATGCACCGATATCTTCTCAAACATTACTTTGAGCGCTGGCATGGCCGGGGCGCCTTCGGTATTGGGTTGGGCCGCTGCTGGAGTTGGTGTTGCCGGCTCCTGGGTAGGTGTATTGAAAACCTCGAGTAGTTTAGATATAACGGTTGCCAAGAGGAATCCAATGGACGCATCGAAGCGGATGTCGATGGGGGAGAGCACGATTTCGAGGCTATCATCTGGTTCCAGTGTCGACTGGTGAGGCTGGGCTTGGGGTTGGGGTTGGGGTGGAGGTCCGCGGGAGCTGATAAAAGAGTCATGGGTCTGGGAGTAAACCGAGAATGCCCCCGGTAGATGAGGAGAGGTAGACTTCTTCAAACTAGGGCTAGGTTCGCTATCGGAAGGGTCTGGTGTGGGATGGACGTGGATATGCTTGTGGTGGAGAGGCGCGTAGATGGAGATGGTATCGAGGGTGATGAGTTCTTTTACAAGACGAGTCGGGCCGCGTGGGGTTTGGTCCTGAGGGGGAGTGGGAGGTCGATCGACAGAGGCATCCTCTTCTGGTTGCGGAACTTCTTCGAGGGGTGAGTTATCGGTATGATGAGATGAATATAGACTTTGTCGTATCCGAGAGCTCTCCAGGTCCTCATCTTGACCCCGAATATCACCTTCATCGTCGCTTTTATCCTCAGTGGCATCAACCAGAAGATCCTTGGGAGGATCGTAGACACTCTCACTTAGAGTTCCATTATCTCCCGTTTCCTCAGGTTCCACTTCAGTCACCGCCTCACTTGGATGTGAAGGTCGTACCGACGGACTCTCAGGATCCTCAAATTTGTCTTCCACCTCATCACCCGGCTGGTCGGACGGCTGGACCACGTTCTTGGTGTCTTGTGGTGGCGAATTAGATGGGCTGGAATAAGTGTCCCAAGAACCCGGCATCGACCTCGACGGTTGAGACGGAAGCTCCGAAAAAGCACTGGCGTACATGCTTTCCGCCTCCTCGTGGGAGAATATGTGAGATTTGCTAAGGTCCTCCTCGCCCTCCGGATCCAGGTGTGCATCGCTTCCTGGACTCGGGGTGGAAATCTCTGGCGTCCGAGGTCGTTCCGAAAAGGTCGAGTCAGGGAGCCCAATGTTGCCGAGAGCCGGGGTGGAATCTACTCCGCGATGCACGCTTGCCCAGGGTTGTGCCACTTCTGCTATGTTTGTAGACTGCGACACGGTGATAGTAGGCTGTTGGGGTAGGAAATCGGGGTGAACAGAGGCCCTAGGAGTAGGGGGACTGTCTTCTTCCTCCTCCACCGCCTCCTCCTCTGGCCCGTCACTTTCTTCATCTGAATTGCTAAAGTCGTAAGGTATGTTCAACGCAACCTCGCTATCCCGGAGGGGAGGCTCATCTTGGCCGAAAGTCATCGAACTTGCCAGGTAATCATCCACATACTGATCGTTCGCCGACAAGGAACTCGATTCTCTACTCAGGCTCCCCTGACGAAAGCTGCTGTGGTTGGAAGTAACAGGGGACCGTGGAATCGCAGGGGATGCGACGGATGGGGACCGCGCAAAAGCGGAGAAGACGTTCGCCTCTGACACGAGGTACGCCCGAATATTAGACAAGGAAACATGTCGTTTTCCTTCCCTGTGAACAATCAGGGGCACTCCGTTTTCATCGAGATCGGGAGCGGTGACGCCCTCGACGTTGATTCCCTCGAGCGCAATTTGAAAAGTCACGGTATCGGAACCCGGCGAAGTTGTCGCCTCCAGCGGAACTTCAATATCAAGCTGGAACGTGACACCCCGTATCCTTATCTGGGTCCGGTCTACAATTCCTTGCAAAAAGTCCGCCAAGAATGCCGGTAGCGACAAGGGCTGGCCAGTCCCGAATGCTGCCTCCTCCTCACTACCATCATCGCTAATCGTAACAGAAGCGCCAAGATCCTGCGTCTCGGCCGCGATGGCCTCCTCCAGCCTCTTCTTCTCAGCCTCCGGTTGGTTCTCGAGAAATGACTGGGCCAGGTCGGCCGTATTAGGGACGACATCTGAGGTGGAGGTGCGCGAGAGGCGAGAGGGTTTCGCATGTGATATCGTATCACGGCTCGCGACTCGTATCCTGACATCCACGCCATCAACCTCGACTGTTATGGGACTCGTGTAAAAGTCGACGGGGATCGTGATTCGGAGGAGGAGGACCTTGGCCTTGAGAAGCTCGAAAGAAGACGGGAGTTGAAGTATTTTCTCGAGTTTCTGGAAGGCCCAACGGCGGTTAGCCTTGTCATAACAAGTTCCATCCAACCCATAAGTCCCAGGGTTCGGGGTTTGCTTGGAGCGTCGGAGACGCGGAATCTACAATACCTTTAACCTGATACCAACGTCTCGGAACTCGAAGACGGTATTTCTTCCTATCGCGAGGTCCAGGTTGTCCATATCAAGGGCGTCAGCATCGAGGAGCTCCAAGCGGGAGAGGGCGTATCTCAGCAGCCGCTTGGGCATGCTGGAACTCCGCAACGACTGGAACATGGTCGCCATGGTGGCTAGGGATGGCGTCTGTCTATCGCTCTCCCGCAACGGGATGGGTTCGGAGGGATCGGGATAGAAGGGTAAGAGTCGCAGGAATCAGAATCCGGCCTCGACGCCTAACGGCAAGAGGTGTATTGGTTCAGTCAGGGCGAGGCCCGCGTCGAAAGGTGCGAGGGGTACGAGGCACATTCAAGGGGGCATAGTAAGTATGGAGATAGTAAAAGGTGATTCTTCCTACAGTAAAACCAAAGCTAAGGTAAACAGGAAAAAAATTATTAGGAAAGTTGAAAGAAGTCTAGGGAAACTAAGGCCTTAAGCTGGGCCGAGACGGCTTCCATCTCTGTCAGACCTGAGATGGAACGGCTCTTGTCCTTGGTGGCGTTGAATGTTGTACTAGGATGGGATGTGCTGGCTCTGAGAGGACAGGCATTAAGGTGATAGCAATGAGGAGGGGCAATGGCGTTGTTGCCGTGTACACTGTACTTTAAAGCGGTCACTTGGGGTCATCCGTGCCGCTCTAGGTTAAGCCAAAGCACAGGTACACCATAGAGGTACCCGTGACCTAGATTTCCTCCTAGCGCTCGGCACAATGGTCACTAAAGACCCAGAGGGCAACAAGTCATCCCATCATCAATGGACAAGTCACTCGTCACACAAGACTGATGATGTACCATTGCATTGCGTAGCCTCATTTAGTGTACAACTGGCGGACTGCCTGCCAGTCATTATCACTGGCTTGGCAGCCCCAACTTTCCATCAGACCAGACCACCAGAGCAATTGATCATTGTGATTCTGGACAAACTACTTTGTAAAGCTAGCATCATTGATGTAACTGTCTCTTTGTCTTTCCGTCTCACAAAACCCAGCTTCAGGCTACAACCATCAAGGACAACCAAGCAGTAGAAGTAAGTAGTTCTCAGTCATGGCCAACCTTCTCAAGACAATAAAGCCGTGGTCCTTTGTTGTACGCTGGCACTTCGACTACCATCTGCCAGAGGCGCTTTTGCTCCTCCAATGAACTATGAAGTACACGACCTCGCCTCTCAAGTCTGTAACATTCTGCAAACCCAGGAAAATACCGGGCTTCGTTGGCCTGGCCTGCCTAGTTCGAAGCATGGGTATGCCTAAGACACCTGGCCCTTCCATTGAGCTTGACAAAGTCGAGGATACAAAGTCTGTCGCATTTCACATGCTCCCCTAGCAGTAGCCGCATTGTTGACCAGCGAAACAACAATCGCGACACTTGAATAGGTACTACGAAGTAGTTAGCATTGATTCTGTTGACTTCTTGCTGACTTACACAGGTACAAACCATCAAATTCGCATTCGAAGGCGAGCTAGGCTCTCCGATGAACCTTTCCGCCTTACACCAAGAGAGACCGCAACCAGCAGCTAAACTCTACGGAGCAAAAACCAAAATGAAAATTGCTTCATTTGATGACGCAAATGGCTTCTTCTCTTATCCGCGGAAGTAATCCTCAGTGTCCACGCGCATCAACATAGAAAATCTAGGGCACGCTGATCTATATTCTATTATCGCTGATTTTCTAGACAACAAAGGCAGACCCCCGACACCCGGAGAGAAGCCGCACCGTCCTACCGAACAAGCTCCAGGCTTCAGCCCCATGGAAATACCAGACACTAGCGCCACGGTGCTCTCAAAACGCCAATTCCAAGACCCTGCATCTACTACCTCTGTAGCCAATACGTTTCCCTCTCGCCCGCCCCATCTTTGCTGCCTGCATGCACAGAAGTGGAGCTTCTGGACGCTGTCTATCGCGGCACGTTTACGCCTCTAGAAACGGCCTAGTACCAGCGAGTCCATACTTCTCAGCGATCCTCCGGCCAACCGACTCACCACTCCAGTAGGCGCCGGTGGCTGTTCCCAGGCCCACGAAGGGCGCAGTATGTTCACCCGCCAGCCACAAGCCGACGTCTGGCAGCCCTGTCCTCATGGTTTTAATGTCTTCATCCCCATCTTCTAATCCAACCTGAAAATTGGTGTAACTGCCATTCCCGGCCAGCTCATCCTGTAACCAGTTCGTTGCCAAACATCCGGTGGGTTGGCAATCCACAGATGACTCGGAATAGTGAGGCAAGCGAGAGTAGTATGGCTTGAAGAAGTCGAAGATGAAAGCATCCCTCTCGGCCTTCTTTTCTCGTTTGGCTGCCTCCTCAATAAGGTATCTAGAAGCATCGCCGAATGTGTAGAAGAGAAGGGTCGGATGCGCTGATGGTGGGGACAGTGAAGCTAGGTCTACCACCTCTTGATTCCACCTATGCGGATTGTTGGGTGCATATCTCGGCGCTAGCCATTGGCAAAAGCCCTGGACGCTCCTGCCTGTGTCATCCGAACCTAGCCAAAACGCAGTAGGGAAAGTGATGTACGTCTTAGTTGCTCATGTTAGTAGCCTTCAGCCAGCACAATTGAGATGAACATCCAGCTAGAGTATCATACCTTTTCAAGACAACCATAGCCCAAGGAGTTTACGGCCTTCACCATCCGCGGGGGAAGTTTTGGCTCAAAGGCTGCGAGATTCCTCTTCAGCCAGCCAAGTGGGGCTGTTACGACGATATCATCGAACTCGAAAACCTCCTCTTCCTTCGTTTGCACTCTCACCCTGTCTTGGCAGCCCTTGCCGTATGAAATCTGGCTTACTACCTTTTCGAGTTTGATCTCCGCCTTCTCGAGCGCTGCTTTTGCGACGGATTGGAGAATTTCCTCATAGGTTCCAGCGCAAAACAGATTTTCTAGAGAGATGTTAGCTATCTTTTGCTCCCTTCATGCCTTTCTCTGACGACCATCCCTCGATGGGTCAGTGAATGAGTATAACCTACCGCCTTCAATACACTCTTCCATCCAGAAGAACTTGAGACTTTGCGTCTGGATCGGGCTCCCAACGAAAGCACCCCACATCTCCGCCACATGAAGTACAAGCTGCCGCGAGTGGCGGTAGTTTTCCTCAGTTTCTGGTATTCTCTTGGCCACTTCTACCAAGAAAAAGTCCCAGAGGCTTTCCTTTGGATCAATCTCATTACCGTTCTTATTCGAGTGCGTAAAGGCATCTTGGACAATGTCCCACATCATGCTCGCATACCGCTCGCTCTCCTCTAGCGAAAGGAGCGTGCCGGTGGGGTCAAACATGTACGATCGCGTATCCCAATTTCCCGTCTCCGTGCCCGTTTTCTTGGCGATGTCATTGATGGGGTTGTTTTTCGTTCCGTGGATCCAGTTTGGGCCCAAATCTGCGAGGCGGCCATTCTGCAGTTTGGCCTGGTGGACTCGTCCACCTATCCGATTTCTTCCTTCCAGAATCGTAACTTTGAAACCATACTTGAGGAGGACATCCGCGCAGCGTAATCCGGCAAGGCCGGCGCCTATTATCCCCACGTGCGGTCTAGTATTCCGACCATGGAGCGATTTTTGCTGCATGCCATGATGTTAGTGACCCTAGACTTTTCACGCGCGCAAAAATATAGGAGGCATGCGGCGCACCTTTTCTAGTCTGTCCATGTTAGAGAATGTCCGAAAAAGTCTATCTTGGCCAAAGTCTGAGAAACCAAGAAGGTGTATAGACTTGAGGTCTTGGTATATCCTCGACTGTTTGCAATGCGAGGCACTGCTATACGAGAGAGAGTAAGCATCCATGGCCAGGGCGGTTGGTTTCGGTCTCTAAAGAAACTGGCACGTCTAAGTTCTAGCTGTGGCGGGGTAGAGAAAGGTGGTGGGAGACGGGAATCGAGAGTAAAAGTAGGGAGTAAAAGGTTGGTATAGAAATTGAGAGATAAGGAGATATTAAATGCCTTACGGTCAAAACACACTGGTTCTCGCAGTAAACCCGGAAGCCACTGGGTTGGACGAATGAAATATATAAAAATTTATGAAAGGGCAACGTTGGTAAAAGGTCGAGAAATGAATAGAAGAGGAAGAAAGAAGAAGAAGTCAGGGATGTGAGCCGCGGTGGGTGTTGGCTAGGACGGGGACTATCTGCCACAGAAGGCGCGTCCGAGGTCAATAAAGAAGCATGAAACAGGGCTTCAATGAAGGTTAACAAGAAAGGGATAAGAGATTCGCCGAATGGCTGGAATACACTAGTCGTCCGTCCAGAATCTATGCAGCAGCGAGGAAGTGTCCAGCAACACAGACACAGACACAGACACAGACACAGACACTGGGGGATTTTGGTGTTTAGGTCTCCCAAGCAAACGAAGAAGGCGCAGCACCGGCGGTGGCGGAAGGTCCGTTGAGAGCGTAGAATCGGCAGACAACACCCACAACTGTCCCCAAATATGCAACACTCGGGCGGCTCAGAAAGGGAAAGATGAACAAATAGGAACAAAATGAGACTTGATTGAGTTTAAGTGACCAGATGCCAAAGAAAAAGGGGTCGAGGGGCAGAGGTGAAGGGGGGTATCAGCCATGCTAAGGCCAAAAGGAAAAAGTCTATCAAATGGGTCCCCGGATCCGCCCGTCTATAAGACAGGGAGGCGGCTGATGAGTTGATGCTGAAAGGCATAAAGGATGAGCCCTGAACAACTCAACGAAGGCTCTGTAGTTAAAAAAAAAAAAAAAAAAAAAAAAAAAAAAAAAGGCCGGATATCACCTCGCCGACCACCCTGCAAACCTACATGTCCACAGGAGCCACCAGAAGCGCGGAAGGCGGAAGGGGGTGGGGGGTGGGCAATCTCCATCTCAACTCTAGAGGAGACGGCGGGTGAGAAAGTGTTGATAATGCCAAATGGGCACACGACCAATAGTTGCCGAGCTGGGACTCGCGTGGATCATGGGCGCAGAGATACAAAAAGGGGTACGAGACCAGACCACGGGGGCATGATCGTCTCAGTGCTAGTGGGAGTGAAGTGGGAGCGAAACGGACTGGTGGCTACTGCCATAGAATAGAGCGAAGAGAGAATTGAGAGGAAAGCAGGGCGTCTCCGCTGTTCCTCATAAGCTCACCTGCAGGTCACGATTATCGACTTACACGGGCGCAAGTTACGAAGCCAGGCGGGCACAGCGGCGGGCATGTTGCCATTTGATGTTGCGGTGTGCTTTGTAGGCACTGGACAGCGAAACGGCCAGGCTCAACTGTTGCTGTAGTGTGCAGTAGTGGGGAGCCGGGAAGGTTGAGTTCAGGCTGAGGTGCCATTTGTACCGCTTGTATCGATTGCATCGATTGGGTCGCCGGCACCGGCACGTTCTGTAGAGCTCCAATTTGATTGCTGATTCCAGAAAGACCCCACATTGATTATGCAAGATTTCAATCAAGATCAACGTTGACTCAAAGTTCAATCTGACTTTTTCTTTCGTACAGCCGCCAGAATCACGGACGGAGTCTCCCCGCCATCCCTGCCTGTTGCCCTGCCCCTCCATTTACCCCTCCTCAATACAGGTCAATTGAAGACCGAAAATGGAATGGCATCAGTCTGCAAGAAGGCAACTGCCAGCGAGTGTCTGTCGGCTGCTTGACGCCTTGACTCATTGGCTTGATCCACCATGTCTAGCAATCCCAAGCCGTTATTCTCCCCTAGTATCAGTCCACCAGCTCCCATTGCTCAGGTAATCTAGTTTAGTTTATGCAATGACCTGCTGTCTACGTCCGGGGAACGGATCACATGCCTGAGTCCCAAGATCCCAGCAACGCGGAGCTTTGGGGTAGGCCGGATCTCGGCCAATCACAGCCCAGCTATTACTCTTGCATCCCAGACATCTTCAAATCCCACCTCGCGTCTCCTTAACCAAGAATGGACATGCGCCGAGGACCCACGGAGATAAAGCTTGGTTCCTCGGGAGCTTTTCTGTCAAAGTTTAGCTGAAGCTTCGGTCTATTATGTGTAAATATATTGCTTGCTCCATTCTTGCGCCCGTAAAGTATTCTTAGAACATCCCTAGATCTATTATCATCGAACTCTTCTCGCGGTCCTGTTGTAGTCGCTCGTCTCTCTTCATATTGCTTTGTCCTACCTCATCGACGTCATTGCAAAAAGCCGGCACTAAGCGTACTCCACCCTCTCCCTCTCCTCACAAACTCGACCCTCAGAAACCATGCCCGCTCCGACCGAGTCCTTCACCCGCGAAGAGGTCTCCAAGCACATCACAGATGACTCCCTCTGGTGCGTAATCGACAGCGTCGTCTACGACCTAACCGACTTCCTCGACGCCCATCCCGGCGGCGAATCCGTCCTTCGCCAAGTCGCCGGCAAGGACGCCACGCGCGAGTTCTACAACCTCCACCGCCAGGAAGTCCTCACAAAATACGCCCGCCTCGCCGTCGGCACCATCACGGGTGAGAAGTCCAAGATCGTCACGCAAAAGATCGGCGATCTTAGCAAGGTCCCTTACGGCGAGCCGCTATGGCTCTCCAAACCCTTCCAGTCTCCTTACTTCAAGGAGTCGCATCATAGGCTGCAGCAGGCTTTGAGGAAGTTTGTTGATGAGCATTTGTATGAGGAGGCACAGGAATGCGAGGCCACGGGTCGCCTCATCTCGCAGGAGATGATTGACTTGATGGCTAGCAAGGGTATACTCCATATGCGGCTGGGCCCCGGAAAGCATCTCCACGGCGTCAATCTCCTCGACGGTGCCGTCAAGGGAGAGGAGTTTGACTACTTCCACGATCTCGTCGTCAGCCAGGAGCTTGTACGCGCGAATGCCCGCGGCTTCCAGGATGGCAACATGGCGGGAATGACGATCGGTCTGACGGCCGTCTTGAATTTTGCCAGGAATGAGGCCTGGAAGAAGAAGATAGCCGACGAGGTGTTTAGCGGTCGTAAGAAGGCCTGCTTAGCCATCACTGAAGCTTTCGCTGGTAGGTTCTGTTTCATGATTATCACTCAGAGATAATTGATGCTTATTTCATTCTTTTTCTAGGTTCTGATGTCGCCGGTCTCAGGACTACTGCTGAAAAGACGCCAGATGGCAAGTACTATGTAAGTAGCATCGCGTGGCCCAACCAAGCCGAATTACATCGTCGAGTTCTCCCCCGAAAACTGACCTGGTTTTATCGTGAAGATTGTCAACGGAACCAAGAAATGGATCACAAATGGTGTCTTCGCCGACTACTTCGTCACTGGAGTCAACACCGGCAAGGGCCTGAGCGTCCTCCTTATCGAGCGTGGAGAGGGTGTCGAGACCAAGTCCATCAAGACCTCCTACTCTCCTGCCGCCGGCACCGCCTACATTACCTTCGATAACGTCAAGGTCCCCGTCGAAAACCTCCTTGGCCAGGAGAACAAGGGCATTCACGTGATTCTCAGCAACTTTAATCACGAACGCTGGACCATGGTTTGGTACGTCTTTGCCCTCCAATGCTCCCAGCTAGCTTGCCATACCCTGTCTCGAGCTGTCCAATCGCTGACCTATTAATCTCAGTGGAACTGTTCGTATGTGCCGCACTATTGTCGAGGAGACCCTCAAATGGTCCAACCAGCGTCTCGTTTTCGGCAAGCGTCTCATCGATCAACCCGTCATCCGTCAAAAGCTTGCCAAGATGATCTCCCTCGTCGAGGCCAATCAGTCATGGCTAGAGACCGTCACTTACCAGATGTGCCACATGCCCTATTCCGAGCAAGCTAAGCACCTCGCTGGTCCGATTGGTCTTCTCAAGATGAGCTCTACCCGTGCTGCCCACGAGATCGCCGATGAGGCAGTCCAGATTTGGGGTGGTCGTGGCTTGACCCAAACGGGCATGGGTCGTGTTATCGAGATGTTCAACAGGACGTACAAATTCGATGCTATCTTGGGAGGTGCCGAGGAGGTCTTGGCTGACCTGGGTGTGAGGCAAGCCATGAAGAGCATGCCCAAGGTCATGTTATAATTCTTCTGGTCCGTTTGATAGGGAAAAAAAGAAGAAAAAAAAGACCGCCGAGTTAGAGCTGTTCGGGTAGTATTAGTATCGCCATTCTGTACAACAAGCTTGAATCTTCACACGTAGCACAAAAAGCACGCAACAGTCACCAAAACTCCCCGCCATCGTGCAAAACAAAAAACAAATGTCTTGTCGGAAAGTGATCCTCTCTTGGCCCCTAACTCCCCTAACTACCGCCCCCTAACTGCCATAAAACCCCTAGACGTAACCTATTTTTTCTTTTGCCATCGAGACCGCCATCCAACTTTGTTTTTTTTTTTTTCCCCTCTTTTTCTTTTTTGAAGTGATTTTGAAAACGGTTGCTTTTGGGGGGTATATCGTCGACCGGAAGGAGCCGTAGCCCTTCTTTTCATTTTTCGCGTGATGTATCATGACACAAAAGGGTGATCGAAAGAAATAGGCAACTGCCCCGCCCCCCAAGAACTTTCATACTATACACGGGTGCTTGGATATCTCGGTTCCAAGAACCCAGGGGTAGTTCCTCGGCATCACGAGCCCATATCGTCAATGGCGCAGAACTAGAAACCTAGTGTGTTGGCTTAGGCATTGGGGCAGGCAGACTGGATGTGGCCAGTCTGCTGGCACTTGTAGCAGATCTTCTCGCCACCAGTGTTCTCCTTGGGGCAGTCCCGGCTGAAATGGCCATTCTCACCGCAGTTGTAGCACTTGGAGCCATTGGCACAGTCACCTAGGAAATATATGTTAGGCGAGAGTAATTCAATTTGCAAGAGGGCTACTCACGAGACATGTGGCCGTAGCCACCACAGCTGTAGCACTGCTTCTGCTGGCTGCCATAGCCCTGGTTGTATGACTGGTAGCCACCACCATAGGAGCTGTTGCCGCCGGCCTCCATGCAGTTCCGAGCAATATGACCGAGCTTGCCGCACTAGAATGGAGAACTTAAGTCAGGACGAAAAATCCTAGAACTCGCCCCCCCCCCAAAAAAAAAAAAAAAAAATGGAGTCGAACTTACCTTGTAGCACTCAACTTGAGCGCTGGAAGAGCCACCAGGAGCGCTGCCTCCCTGAGGGCAGTCACGGGAAATGTGGCCGGCCTGGTTGCATCGGTAGCATGTCTTCGAGTCCTTGGGACCGTCGGGACAGTCGCGGCCTAGGTGTATTGTCAGTGGACTAGGACTGGGTGGAGGAAAATAGAAAATTCAATGACTTACTCATGTGGCCCTCGTCTGCAAAGCCAAGTTGTCAGTATCAGGCTTGGATGTGGAAAAAAAAATGCAGCGACCATCGTCACTTACTTCCACAGTTGTAGCTAGAAAAAAAAACCAGTTAGCTTCATTGCTGTAACCATTGCTTCTTGGATCAACCAGGGCTTGCTTACCACTTGGCCGGACCCCGGTTTGGGCATTCACGGGCCTGAATTAGTTAGTATTCGGCGATTGCCAACCTGTCGCCACTCCCATGTGAAAGTCATACCTGGTGATTAGTGGCACCGCCTAGACCGAAAACGTTAGACAATCTTGAGCTTGAGAGATCTCAACAGAAGGTATTCGTTTGAAAATTGGAAAGCATGGAAAATTAGAAACACGATAGAAATGGGGGAGTAAATCGATGTAAGCTAGGTTGCAGAATCTCCATCTTCCAGCCAAAGCTTGATGATATGCTCAAACACATAACCGTGGCAGTGGAGGCGTCTGAACGCCAAGCTTGGAGAAACTTCACCAGGTGTGCCCCAGAAGCGCAAAGGTAATCTTAAGGCAGAGGGAGGTTGTGAAAGCGATCGGCCCATGATACTGCCATCAATGGAAGTAATATGGAATATGACGGATTGGAGTCGGCGCTTGCTTCTTGCGCTTCCCAAGGGAAGAGAGTGCTTAATGGATAACCTGAACAGGGGAGTTCTTATACACAAATCGCCACCCCTCAAAAGAAAACTTTCAAGGCGATAGCAACCGCGGCGGGGAAGACAATGAATGACGAGGAAGGGAATGAAGGGAAAAATGCGCAGTAATATCCTGCCACACTTACAGGTGTAGCATGCACGTCCGCTGAAATCCATTTTGGGTAGATTCTGTGTTTGTACGTTTGTGTTGTTGTTTGAAGAGCGTAATTCTGGAGATTTATCAATGTTCGTTAGAAAAAAAAAATCTCTGTTTTGCTGGGGCAAGAGAGTGAGGAAGGGTTGGTGTGGTAGATGCGCTCCAAGTCTCCAATCTCAGAAGGTGGGGCTCCAGGAAAGTGCGCCTCGTTCACTTCTGGTCAGAGCGTGGGCAAAGTTGAGACCTCTCTGCTGGAGCTTGGACGATGTGCACTTGGAGTGGTTCAGGCGGGAATTGTGGCTTGGGACGTACTAACGTAGTATCGAGAGGCGAATCGAATCGACTTGTGCGTTCGGGGAAGAATTCTGTGGCAGAGGAAAAAAAAATCTGGAGAAAATCAAATAATAGTTAGCGTTGGCAATTGGACCCGAGATGACCCTTCTTCTCTGTGCTAACGTGAGCCTTGAGGGTCGCCTCCAACTAGCCAAGATGGTTACGTCGTAATCAATATTAACAGGGAAACGGATAATATATGTTTGGACAGCGAGAAAGAAACCAAAAAGAAGGGAAAATAACAGCATGGAGAAGAAAAACACCTGAGAGATCGGAGCGAAATCTCTCTCAGGTCCCTCCTTCTCAGCACCAAGATCTTTGCCAACCTGTAGTGGACCGAATCATGGAGCTCGCCTTCGCAACAAGCTGATTGCTCGGGTTCCCACTAACCTTTTCAGCCTACCCGTGATTGGATGATGGGCGTGAGGGGAGAAAAAGGCGGTAATGGCGGGATGTTTGATATCAGTCTGACGGACTGGCTTTGGCTTTTGGGTACAGGAATGAGAAAGATGTTGTTCCAATGAGAGGCGAGGGATGAGGAGCCTTCTCTCGTACTTAATGCAAGCAATGTGATTGTCGGGACGGGCAAGGGAATTTCTTCCCACCAAGTAGGAAAATCGGAATTTGTTGGCTTGTAGGTGGAAGAGAAAAAAAAGAAAAAAAAAAGAAAAAAGGAAAAGCATGCAGAGGTTGGGATTTAAGACTTGAGGTCTGATTTGCTGATTTGCGGAGATGGCGGTGACCTGCTTCAATAGGGAAGGCAGAAGTCGGGAGGAAGAGTGGAATAAGAGGCAGGAGCAACGAGTGGTGGCATCCGCAAACATCAAACCAAGTCTCCGGCTACATCGCCAAGTGAAGAAGGTGCGTCCTCGCAAAGGATCCTCACTGAGGGAAGGAGGGAAGGAGTGAAGGGGCACATGGTGAGAGGACAAGATGTCGTAGCGACCACGTAGGAGATGGAAGGATGTAGAGTATGAATTTGTGGATACTAGAAAGGGAAGAGCCAGTCTCTTACCTTAGAAGAGATGGACTTGTTTCTGACGTCTAATTGGAAAGAGTGTACGGGAAATCGTCTGAAAGATAGATTAGAGGAGGCCGGACGCCGCGTCGAACAGGTATTGCCCGTCGCAAACAAGAGCGAGGGGTGGACGCAGGGCTTTATTGACGAGATGTGGACTTCCCCAAGTCGATGCTCACCAATGATTGGCGTGTCCTACAAGAGCAGTTCGTACTTACATAGAGAGAAATTGCTGAATGAGACAGAGGATCAAATATCGCGCTTTGCAAACTGCATCTAATTCGGGATATTGGGGGAGGTACCCCTGGACATTTATATCTCCCCTGGCGAGATCACACATCTACAGGTACGGAGGTGTTGATGGTATTCGATGGATCAGCTATCTATGTGACCGGGAGAAGTGTACCGAACTCCTGCTGAAAAGTCGCTGATGCCGACCACGTAAGTTCGCTTACAGGTGCGAAAATCATCGGCTCGTCCGCAGGGCACCTTGCATGTGGAATGGTATCAGAGGAGTTGATATCATCCTTGATGCGTGGGACGCCCGGCTGCACATGCAGAAAGTCTTCGTATGTGGGTGCGTTGATGTGAGGAGTGTGATGTATGATGTATAGGCCCGGCCGGGTGTGTATTATCCTCCCTCCCTGGAGGTGGTGATCCATCTAGTCTTGACAGGATTCAAAACATTCCAATTGCTAAGTCCAGCTGCTTCTGCCTTCTGGACGCTTTCCCGACTCGGCTTAGGGAGTGGAGCGAGTGCCTTGGCTGTCCCGGCACAGCTCCAACATCGACTGTTTTCCGACGATAATATGTGCAAGGGGGGTTTGATGTGTAACAAGCAATGATATGAGGCCCGACATTTTGCTGTGGGATCCCGAGTGCCGACCGAGTCTTAGAAACGAAAGGGGCGTGTACTGTGTAGGAGACGAGGAGTGGAGATCAAAGGAGGAACATTGAAGTGACATCGATTGATCCGTGGAGGAATGCACGGAGCACGCTAAACTAAACCAAGGAAATTCTTCATTCCGACAGGCACCCTGGCCCAGGGTTGGACAGACAAACAGATCGATTGATGTCTTGCTGTCCTCACAAAACCAGCCACGACTCCCTTTCGCCGGGCTGCAACCTCATCGATATTTGTCAGTCGAGCAAACGCGGATGATAATTGGGATGACAACATCGAATATTGAAGCATACCCCTTTAATCCCTCCTCGATTGTCACAGCACGCTCCAGGTCTTCAACGTTAACACCAGAGCCTCCTCTCTCGAGAACTAGGAGGACCTCAAACCACGCTCATCTGTCAGCTCAACAGCTGTGTCAGGACTGAGCCTGGTGGTCTTATCGCCACTCTCCGCCCTCCGCCCTCTCTCAACAGTGCCATTTGATGAAATAAAGAAGCATTCGCCATACTCTAGCCGCGTGTCACAATCGGGTTCGGCCCGGATCTAAAGGAATTGGCTCGAGGATGAGAACGGCAGGCGAGGCCTCCCTTCGGGAGGAACTCCTTACGAGATACTTGTGTCAGCCCAGTCTCGGTCGGCAACCTCTGGCTTAATATGGCGTCTGATCATGATGAGCTGTACATCTTCAGATGAACTTTCCGTGTGTTACGATTATTGAGGCCACGGGGTTCGCCGGGCTTGCACACTGCTTGTCGAGGACGAGAAGCAAAGAGACATGCTTAAGGGACCTTCCCTTATTAGATGGGAGGAGGATCTACCCATGGATCCTTTGCTTCATGGTCTGCTTGTGGAACCCAAGGACAAACCAAACACACCCTTCCCGGTGCCTCCTGGCTCTATACAGCTTCGAATGGACTTTCATCTGATGTTTGAGAAAAGGATTGGGAAATAAAGAGCGGGTTGAGCGACTCGGGGGCGGCTAGCAATCCCGTGCCAGTCAATCGGAGGAACCGGTTCTGATCGGCTGCCACTGGCGGTTTCCATTGCCCTTCTAGATGTAGATCGGACACCCTCCAGATGTAAGCCGACATCAGATGAAAATCACCAGGAATGGCATAACTACGGCCTAAATTACCTGGGCCCTATCGATGGGAAACATGGCACGAAGTTGGATGGTAGATGACGGGCTCTTGTTCCTCCTGTTCCCTTTAGCCGCACCAGTGGTTCCTGTAAGCCGATCAGTGCATGAGGAGGCATCGGTTGAACGCCAGGTCGGAGCCTCCGCCAGTTATCTCTCCGCATCTCCTAAAAAGGAGGATATTCCTGTGACAGAACACACATCAAAGGAATCTAATAATAGTGGCAATAGGAGACAACTGTTAGAGATTTGGGTAATAACGACTACTCGACGAACCCACCATAACTGTTTCGGGACGAACATCGAGGCGTCATACATCGCCCAGAATGGCCAGATAGCCGTCGGACAGCCCTGTAATATTCTCAGAAGTGATTCGAAGGCGGGAGGTATGCCCGGGTTATACTCATCCGGCTTCGGGAGTTAATTGATTGTTCTGTCGAATAAGGTCGCTAGAGACATATTGTGAACCCTGGACGGGGACGATTTCTTCAATCTCGATTGCCTCTTTGCCCCTCTGATAACGTCGTAAGGATTGTGAAGTCATCCGCATACTCCGTACAATATAGTAAACTACAATCCGCCGGCCACACGTGCACCTACAATCTCATGATCTAGATGTACGGAAATGTGGAGGGAGGTCGTGTTTCGTTCGACCCTTTGGGATGATCCAGTTGCTTCGTGGGCTTGTTTTCCTTGAGTGATCCAAGTCGATGGAGGATGAATTTCTTTTCTGGGTTGGGTTAGCGTCCTTGATCTTGTTTGATTGCCCGAGATGCCGCACTAAACTTGGGCGTGGGGTTTGCTAATGGGCAATTGGCGACCTGGAGTTGTCAGTGGGGAAACCCGGGACCCTGCAATGTTAGTTTAGGTTAACTGAGGGAGCAATCAATGGATGCCCTTCTGAGATCGAATTCTAATCTGGTGAAAATGCTCTGCCGCGTCCTTCTGGTGATGCTGAGAAGCCACGGTATGGGCGGAGGTGGTGGTCCAATTTTTTTTTTCTTTTAAATATTGACTTAGATCATTGTTTGTGATGCGGAAGTTGTCCCGCCTGAGGATTAGAGATTGATGATAATAGATTGGTTGCCTTTGATGATTGAGCCAGGGCTTCCTGATTATCATAAGTGTCGAAACAGGACAGCGGGTATCTCTTTCTCCCTCGGCACTCTGACCGCAGGCCGCAGGAAATTGAACCATTCTTGGCATTTATAGCTCTCAAGAGATTAATTCGCCATGTGGTCGCGAGATCGGCTCCTTGGTCCGTCATTGTGACTGACACGGGGGGGTTAGAGTGCCTAGATCATCGAAATATCAAACACTATCAAACCACGCACAGGGCAGTCATAAGACACAAGGTGGTATTCAATAACAGACAGGACACGACGTTCGAGAAAACTTCTTCAAAAGAACACTGTCAGCCTCGGAACTTGAGATTCCCGAGCGGAACAAGTGGCTCACTGATCCCGCGATGAAAAAGATGCAGGCCAGTTCGTTACGCCAGTGTAAATGGCAACTCCTGACCTGGCAATCACGGGACACTAACAGTTGATGTTATCCAATGTCGTGAGATCGGCGTCCATCGGGTTTAGGAACTCTGCGATTTCCTCCGCGGTGATTCAGTTAATAGGGCTTGGCACCAATGATTGCTTGCCTTGCGCCGTGAGATTCAGCCCTAATTGGAGATATCCTCGGAAGACGGCGAGACATTGGGGATGCCAGATTCTTCATTTGTAAGTTCGAGAGCAAAACCTTCCTTGGCCATTATTCAAACCCTCGACTCATAACTGGCAGGAAGCTTCCTTCTGATGTTGACCCAAATTGCTCCTCCTCGGCTACACAGCTACTAATGGACTTCAATGCCGTCTGCATGCAAGTAGCGTAATTTCGTAGACCTGGAATAATTTCTTGTTGAAACCCCATTGACGTCTATCTCGGTGCACTGAGACTTGTGATACATCGAAGCAGTGGATTTCGTGGTCATGTGATTTGGCGTCCACACTTTTTGCGGCAGAAGATGAGGTAATGGAGCGCCCCACCAGCCTTCACTGAGAAGTCAATCGCGCCCATTCTTGTCCTGAACGCGTCTCTCCTAATTGAGGCTTGACGGAAAATACTCCTCGTGGACATCTTAAATCGTATCCAACTCATCAACAATGCCATTATAGCAGTATACTGTCCGCCATGGCGAGTTGGTTAACTAACGGTCGGCGAGCTATTTTTGAGAGTCTCGCTGAGGTTTGCGACAAAATTGAGGATGATTTAAAGGCTGGTAGGAACATCTCGCAGTACACATCGAACGGGTCAATGAGAGAGGCTAATCTCATATTAAGAGCTTGACAACAACCAAAAGGAGCTTGAGTTACTCAAATCTCGAGCTTCAGAGACGGAAAAACTCGCCCAAGAGAATCGGGAACTCAGAGCACGCCTCCAGCATCTTGAGCGCGACCGTACCACCCCCGAAACCCCTCAAAATATCAAAGCCTTGGCCGCTGGCCGCGCCTTAGAATCATCCGAGCGGCCTCACAATAATCCTAAGCTGAGATTACCGCCCACACCTCAGTCGGCTGGCCTTAATACTGCCAGCCCTAGTGTACTGATATCCGAAGGAAAGGTTGACTGGAAGTTGGAAGCTGCGAAAAATGCGGCAAAATATACCCGGTTACAGGCCGAGCTGAGGACAGCGATTGATACATTGGCCAAGAGGAAAGAGGAGCGAGACAAATGGAAGCAATTTGCCGAACGCTTACAAAAGAAGGTCGAGGCCTTGGAAGCGCGTCTCGGACAACAGGATCCGCAGAAGCTCGACAGCCCGGCCTCAACCACACCCCGACCTAGGTTGGTGAATGCACAGCTGCCCGCTGTCAAGCAGAATTTTCGCAATTCCGCTGAGCCTATGCTACCTCCACTACCTCCAACTGTTGACAAAGGAATCCCTCCTGCGACGTTTCCGCACGTCGGTGGTAATGATCATTCTCACGATGATTCTCCAACAGGGAGTGGCACGACAGACGGGACGAAGGAATTCCCCAATCCAAAGCTGCCCGATTTGCCACGGGAGAATGGCCCCGGAACTCACATTAAGATTAAAGAGGAACCCTCCTCAGATACGCCCGTGGTGGTATCGGAGCGAGCCGTGAAGAAAAGGAAAAGAGACGAGCCCGAGGTTGACCAACCCCGTGCCACCCGCGTGAAAGAGGAGGCGATCTCACAGTCCGAACCCGTGGTGACGGCAGATGTGTGCGATTTTAGCCCAGCAACAAGCGTGGATCTCGACGAGTCGGGGACCAGGTTCGATACTCCACGGAAAAATACGGAGTTGGACCGATTCTATACTGGGCACACTCCATGTCCCTGCCCACAGGTTCGCCCAGACAGTTCCATTGAGACACATGGAACACCTAGGGTGCCTGATCAGGTATCTCGAGCGGCATTACAGCCGTTGAACCCCAATGTGCAGACACCTCGGCTCCAACGTCCTCCTAGAAAGGGACTTGCGCATGCTGTAGGTGTTTTGGCGGAGGACGGGGCTAGCTATGAGCTGTCCGCTCGTGACCGAACACCTCTACAGAGAACAGAACCAAACACAGGGAGGCTAACGAGTCTCTTGAGCGGTGCGTCCAAGGCCTCAGAATCACCAATCATTAGAGCCTTCCGAAAACCCGAAACACCTCGATCCAATCTTGAGCCCCGACCGATCGCAGAATCTCGTGCAAGTGCCACCTCCGTTTGGCTTCAGACCCCTCAACCGAGAGAACTCCCCTTCGATAAAATCAACAGGGACCGGTCGAGGGCTACACCTAAGCAAACACCCCGTGGTACGAGCGGTGGGCCCACGCCTAGCACGGCAAGCAAAAAGGAGAGCGGTGGTGTTCTATCGTCGGAGCCAAAACTACGCACAAGGCCTGTGTCGGTGCTAAAAGTTGATGATTTCAAAATCAACCCCAACTTCAACGGCGGCTTTGATTATGCCTTCAGTGAGGTTGTCAGGAATAAGGACGACCGTGCGTGTCTCCCAGGCTGCACGGATATGGAATGCTGCGGTAAATCCTTCCGCGCTATGGCTCTTGCCGAACGTGGAAATGGTCGACGGACCGCAGAACAACTTGCCGAGGATAAGAAGCTCCTCGAAGACTACCTAGGCGAGGAAGCCCATCGCCTTTTTAGCATGACAAAAGAGGAGAGAGATGAGCTCTGGCTTGAGGCTAAGACGAAGGAGCTCGCAAATAGGATCGGGAAGCACCGCCATCGCTTCAGTCGAATGAAGACACCGCCTGGGTTTTGGAGGACAGACTTCCCAGATACCCAGGAGTTACACGAGGACCGTGTGCAAGCCCTCAGACGGGAGAAAGAAATGATTCAAGAAAGGCACCGCGAAGCCATGAGACCAGGGGGCAAGTGGGTATTCAGAGACGAATAGAGAGCAATTGCAACAGGAAGACGAGTTTCAGTTATGTTTGCGTGGAGCATTTCAAAAGCATAGAGATCCGATGATCAAATGGAGTCAAGGAAGCATTGTTATTTACGAGTATCGCGGCGAGTTCTGGTACGCCCCGCAGAGGCAAAAGGATTATGGGGAGGGACGGCTGTTTAGAAAGTAATAGACGTTCGCGCCTCGATTTTAGCTGGACGATTCGAGCTTACCAGAAGCAGCCGTCGTGAAGAAGGGTCAGATGGCAACGACGAGACCTGGAATCCACTTGGTCCGCTCGTTGGTGCCCACTAATTTTTGGGGAATGGAGAAATCCATGTCACGTGGCATACTAAATCCGGCTCTACCCTTCCGACTACAGGCTGCTTTGAGCCCTCGATGTAACCTGGACAGTGCGGCGACCTATTAACCAGTAAACGAAATATTATTTACACCAGCAAACATTCCAGATTAGTCATGCGAGGCTTCCAGGTGTCAAGCTCCCCCCCTGCTCCTACCGCGAACAAAGTCCGGCTTAAATTTTGCATTTCCTCGCAGACGCAGAAACGTCGTCGGAATTTCCAAGGCATTCCCATCCAGCTATCTCCCCAGCGCGCAATTTCATTCGTAACGCGACTTATCCTTTCTCATTCTCTCCCTTAGCGCTTCTTTCATTCCTTCATTACACCTTTTTGTTCCTCTTGGCTTCGTAATAATCCTTTCCTGCGCCTTCGTACACTACGCCTATTAATCTGGGCGACACAAACCCTCGAGTCGCCCATCACCCCAAACCACGCGATTCGCGACTGTAACCTTCGCTCTTCCACGTAGCCCGCGAAATCATCGGTTGTCGAAGTCCTACGACGTACCATCGATCAATCGAATTGCTTCTGACGACTTAACGGGATTACCTGGGGTTCGTGACCAGTTGAAAGTGTCCGTCCAACTGGTGGACCGGCACTCTCACAACAAAACTCCCAAGCCGGCAAGATGAACAACCGTCATCTGCCGGCTGGGCCAGCCATGCAAGGAGCAGGTGGGCCTTCGGGTTCTGTGGGCAGCGAGATGCCAACGGGCCCATCCCACGGCGGAGGTGGTGGTGGCGGCGGCGGGCGAGGCAGGCGTGGACCACAACACTTCGCCCATCAGTATCACCACCAGCCGATGCACCACTTCACTAACTACGTGCCCCCCTACCCAGCACAATACTATCCTGCCATGCATCCTCATCCCCAGTATCAAAATGGCGCCATGCAATCACCAGCGTACATGCCATACCAGACCCCGTATGGCCGCTCGCCTCCCCCGATGCATCAGTATGTCCCCATGGTGGGCGTAAGCGTCCAGCAAAATTACTCCTCAAGGCAGTCTCAGAACTCGCCCATCCTTTCGACACCATATCAGCCTCCTCCCGTACCCGCCCCGATTCCTCCTCACACTCCTTCCTCCACTCACTCTCCTCGCGTGCCTCCGGCGCGCACAACTCCCCCTAAGCCTCAGGCCGTCGAGGCCATCAAACCACAACCGGCAGCCTCTCAAGTCGAGTCTCCCCCTCCCATCGTGGAGGAAAGGCCACCTTTCCGCGCTCCAGTAAGTCTAAACCAAACAAAGTAATGTCAACGGATCTTGCATAGCATCTAGGAACTAACCACGAACTCCTTTCATCTGAATAGATACCTTGGCTCAGCCGGCCTGATGAGCCCTTCCCTAAGAGAACGTTGAAGAAATCCCGAAGAAAACAAATGCAGCCTCTTTCTGGTGGTAACAGCGTCGAGCTTCCCGTTGAACAACATGAAGGCGCCACAACCGAGGCTGCAAGGGTCGCTTCTGAGCACTCCGAGAAGCCCAACGAGGCACAGTCTAAGGAACCAGAAGTCACCTCAGCAGTTGAAACGGTTTCCAAACTCAGTGCAGCTGAAGAGGCAGCCGCGCTGAAAGCAGAACCGGCGCAGCCATCCGACATAGACACGGGTATCCCTTCCACACCCGCCTCAACTCACCAACCCTCTGTATCCATTTCCGCGGAGACATCGCCTTCCGCCAAGTCCACCTCCCGTCCAACCGTCCCCGCCGTTCCCGTGATCCCCGCAGTCCCTAAACCTGGCGCAAAAGAAGTCAAGGCTCCTGCAAGCGTGGGTGGAGATGAGAAGCAGGCGGAAAAGCCCAAGATTGAAGAAGTCAAGGTCAACGGCAGTTCTGTGCCTCAGACAGAGAGCGCAGCCGATACCACAGCCCAAGCTATCTCCGGCTTAGAGGGGAATGTCCCCATCCCTGCTCCTGCTTCGGCTCCCATCCCTCAGAAACCCAAGTCGTGGGCTAGTCTCCTTTCGACCCCTGCTTCCGCCGCAAGAGCTCCCAGCGCCACGGCCTCGGGTGTATCCTCCGCCTCCTCAGCAGTTGGCGCAACTGCTTCAGCATCCACGCTGCGCAATGGTAGCATTAGCGGGCTGCCAAGAGCCAACTCGGAGTCTTTGGCCGAAGCTCTGCGATCTTATCGTGTAGGAGCCACTTCCACCATCTCTCAGATCGAGCCTAGAGGCTTGATTAATGGAGGAAATATGTGTTATATGAATTCTGTAAGTAGCATACAACACAGCCTTGGGTTGGTGGGATGATTTACTAATTCTTGTCTAGGTTTTGCAAGTTTTGCTTTTCTGCACTCCCTTTTATGACTTCTTAGACCAAGTCAGCAAGAAGGCTGCCCACAGCTTCAAGAGTGAAACTCCTTTAATAGATGCGATGTAATTGCAAAGCTTCCATCCAACCTGCCTTGAAAATTTGTTGATTGCTAACAAGGGCTTAACCAGGATCGTGTTCATGCGAGAGTTCCGAGTTATTGCCTCATCTACGTCTATAGATCAGCTTCAAGAAGCCATAAAAGGCAAAGATAGGACATATGGCGATCCACTGACCCCGAACTTCTTGTATGACGAAATGAAGAGGTCCAAGTGGTTTGCTACACTGGAGGTGAGTTGTGAACAAACAGATACAGATTTTCGAGCTTCCGTTGACTAACCACAAACACCCATTTTATAGCAAGGACACCAGCAGGATGCTGAGGAATTCCTCGGCTGGCTCCTCCAGGCTCTCGATGATGAGTGCTCCAAGGTCATGGGGGTTGGAACCCCTGCCAAGGCTCCCAGCACAAGCGGCGACTCTGCCCATGACCAAGATGATCCTTCGTCCGGCTGGCTCGAGGTTGGCCCGCGCCAAAAGTCGGTAATCACTCGTACCTCGGGCTCGACGTCGTCGTCGCCGATCAGCAAGATTTTTGGGGGTCTTCTCCGTTCGGAACTTCGCGTGCCTGGCCTGAAACCCTCAATCACCACAGAACCGTACCAGCCCCTCCAGCTAGATATCGGATCGCCCAACGTCCGTAATATTATCGACGCTCTGAAGGGTCTCACATCCCAGGAGAAGTTGCACGGCGACTTCAACTCCCTCCGAGGCAAGAATGTTGAGGCGTCCAAGCAGGTGCTCATCGATGAGCTTCCTCCCGTGCTCATCCTCCACCTCAAGCGATTCCAGTTTGATGCTGCCGGTGGCACTCTCAAGATTGCTAAGAAGGTAGGCTATCCACTCGAACTGGATATCCCGCGCGAGGTCCTTTCTAGGCAAAAGGTGGCGAGCCTCGGCAATAAGATGCCTAAGTACAGGCTATTTGCCGTCGTGTACCATCACGGAAAGAACGCCAGCGTCGGTCACTACACGGTCGATGTACGTCGCCAGGATGGCGCTCAGTGGATCCGAATCGATGATACGAAGATTGAACCTGTGCGTGCTGAGGATGTGGCCAAAGGCGGAACGGAGGACGACATGGCAAAGGAGATGCGTAGGGAGGCCAATGCCAACGGTGGATCGAGCAACCGGTTCGGTGGCATGAATGACGAAGACACAGGAGATGAGGAGGGATGGAAGCAAGTTCCCTCCGCAGCTAGCGGCGGAAACCGGAGGTGGAGCAGCATCGTCAACGGCGGTGGCAAGCCAGGCTCCAAGAGCAAATCTCAGGACACTAACAACGACAAGTCCGTTGCCTATATCCTCTTTTACCAGCGCATTTGAGGATCGTAAGAGGAAACACACAGCCGTCTTCTAAACATCGACCCGCACAATTCTATACCGTCCTCCCTAATCACCTATACTCTCCCTACAATGTTAGCCATATATTGGCGATAATCTTTGTCTACGCCCTAATATCTCGACCTCTATTCTAGCATCAAAATGGTTTGTCACCACCATGATCATGCTCGCCGGAACCTTTTTTTTCCCCGTCACATCCCGCTCCAGACGATAAATCTCTTGTTCAAATTGGGCATAAATGAATAACATGTGCCATCTGGTCTTTGGACCTCAAAAAAAAAAAGTTATGTGTTTAGGCAAGCCGAAACCAAAAGAAAAACCTTTCAGGAGGGTCGGTTTTGAGAAGGGGAAAAGTCGCGAGCATCCGCATACTCGAACTTCATTCTGCGAAGCGGCGCCACTAGGGACTAGGGACTGTTGGGGGGTGCTTTAGGCGTCTGGAGGATTGGCATCCTTGAAGCAGAGCGCGACTGAAGCAGGTATAAAATGACCATCGACTATTTAATTATCCATTGACTCAGGGACATTAGGAGCCTCGTGGATGTTGCAGGACTTCGACGTTGTGTGATCATTTCTGGCCCAGCACCATTTTTTCTGCCTTGTTTTTCTCCTCTTTTTTTCCCCGCCTTCTGGTTTATTTCCACCAGTCCTTATGTTCTTGAGCCCATTTTCGAGACCCCCTTTTGTTCCTGTATAAATGTCATGATACCTCGGTCTTAGTTTTTTTGGGGAGGGAATTTTCTTTTCTTGTTGAGAAGAGGTGGACATGGCCTTCTCTTCTTCTAAACTAGGTGCTTTATTAGTCTGAAGGGAAGGGGAAAGGGGAGACGGAGGGAAAAGGAGGTAGGAAAGGAAGGGAAAGGAGCAGGATAGGTGGAACGGAAAGATCATTGTATAACAACGACGATTAAACCATATCTGTCCTTAACTGTGTTGCCGTGATGTTTTTGTTCGGAAGGCTGCATCGCAGGCTTCCAAAGATCCTCTTCCCATCGTCTCGTCGAAAAGCTGTGTGACCTTTGGATTTGGGAGCTTGATCACGGTTACGTCAGCCGAGGATGAAGTCATTGAACTAGTGTTAACTCAAACGCCAAGCAACTTCACCAACCCGGCCTCGAAGCCTGAACCGAAGAGTGAGATTGAGATCTTGTTCGCTTCACAGTTCGCTTTGCTCTCTAGCTCAGGGCTTTTCCCACATCCTCGGGAACATGTCGGCACCCAACACGCCCCCGAAATACCTCTACAAGATCCTCGACGTAGAGCCGCCGGTCCCGCTACCAGACGAATTACCTCTCTCCGAGCTCGATGCGAACGATGGGTTCATTCATCTGAGCGTTGCGGAACAGGTTTGTCTCAGAGTAAAATAAAAATAAGATTACGGAGAAAGGGATAAGTTGACAGCCTCTACGAGTAGATACCCAGCACGGGCGGCCTCTTCTTCGATGCCCACAAGACCCTCTGGGTACTTAAACTCAACTTCGAGAGCCTGGGGACCGTGAAATGGGAAGGGAGCGATGACGACGGGAGGGCGTTCCCGCATCTGTACGGGGGCTTCGGGGCGAAGGAGGTCGTGGGTGTTAAGATTGTGGAAAGGGCTGGCGGGGAGGGATGGAGAGGGATCTTTGAGAGGGATGAGTGGTTAGAGTAAGCTCAGTAGTACTTGATATTTTGCTACTAGTTCGGAACGACATCTCCACGCTGTCTGAAATCATCGCAAGTCTTGGGCTGTTTTGGTGTCCTTTTCTTCCTATTAAGTACAACGCATTGATACATACAATGCAATCAACAATCGGCAATCCATCACAATCCCGCAATCTATGCTAGTAGTATTCCCACTCCATCCACCGAGCTCTCTTTTTCTTTACTTCTTTTCAAAACAGCGCAACATTATCCGCATCCTGCAACCACAACCTCGCCAATTCCTTCGACAACCCCAACCTCAGGATCCTCAACACCTCCTCCGCAGTCGAATTCGCCCTCAACCCAGCCCGCCAATCCCATCCCCTCTTGGGCACGCGAGCGAGACCGCCCGAGCTGCTGCTACCGCTGATGCTACGGTGCAACTGGCTCGCGAGCATGCTGCTCCCGCTGAGCACGTAGCTTCCGCCGAGGCCGCCGCTGCTGGAGATGGACTTCATGAGGTCCGCTGGCGTCGAGCCCTTGAGGCCCTGCGCCGACGCGAGCACGAGCTTGAAGAACTCGTCGCAGGCGTCGTAGACGCGCGTGCCCACCGTCTCGAGATCTTCGATGGCCTTGAGGAGGATGTCCATTTGCTCGAGTGTGAGCACGGGAGGCTCGTGGCCGACGAGGACCATGGCTTCGCCGAGCAGAGCTAGGAGGAAATCTTCGCTGACTACCGCGTCACGCGTCTCATCGTAGACGCCACCGCGGATATTGTCGTCGGAGCTAGCAATGACTGCGACGAGCGCCGTCGCAGCTCGCTTCTTGTTGGCGACGCCTCGCAGACCAGTGTTGATGGCGGAGGTTGAGGTAGCCGTGGTCGTCGTCGTGGCTTCCGTGTCCCTGATTTCGTAGAACTTGCGTAACGTGGCGTACCCGCTGAGCATCCTACCCACAAGCTCGGCCGCCTCGATATCTTTGCTGGCAAGGTCCTCTAGAGCAGAGCCCCTATCGGTGAGGAGCCGGTGAAGGTGGTCGTCGAGGTCGCTGGGGGTAGGATACGCGGTAGACTGCAACAGAGAATAGGAAATGAGAAGGTTCAGGACCTCGCGCACCTTGGCGGGCTTATGCGCGAGGGAGTAGTACCAGATGGCCTCTCCATACCGGTGAGAGTCCTTGCCGAGGATATCGGCAAACGCCTAATAGTCAACATTAGTAAATGGTCTCAAAATCAAAGGAAACAGTACCCATACCTCCGCGGTTTCCTCGGCAAAGCTGACCATGCCAAGGTCGCCAAGTATCCTCCACATCTTATCGACGGTGATGCTAGAGTCAGGCTGGAGTGTCTCCAGCAAATCATGTAGCAGTTCGCCAACTGTCTCCTCCGACTTCTCAACAGAGTCCATTCGGCCCAGGACTTGAATGGCCACCTCCCAGCCCTCCCGGTCCGCAGAAATCTGGTCGACGCCAGCAAGCTCTCGCGCATACTGTACCAAAGTTGTATCCTTGATGCCTTCGACTTCATCAGGGCCCTGCTGAGGCACGCCGAGAACTGCGAGGTCATCGTCGTCGAGAGTGTCCATCGGCAATAGCGCCTTAGCCTGAGGCTTTGGTAGCCACTGGCCAAGGGATGCCACCTCAGCCGTCGCGGAGGCAACCGGAAGAGACCACGCGCGGAGGATGCCAATGACGGCAGAAAAGTTGCATTCGAACGCAGATGCCACTGCAACCGCTACGCTGTTCCGAGGGTCAAAGTAGAAATCGGACTCTACCGCCGCGTGGACCGCCCGCGCCATACGCTCAAAGTAGTCCTCGAGTGGCACGAGATGCGTCGGGCCAAGCAGATTAAGCGATTGACCTAGACGCCGCTTCTTTGGGCGGTCCTTCTCCTCATCCCACCATCCACAGAGACCAACCGTCGCTTCGCACCAGTCCTGGGCCGTCTCCAGGATCGCATTCTGGTCACCAATAACAATATCATAGATGGAAGTCAGCTGCTCGTAGACTTCCCAGGGGATCTGGCTCTCCGCCTTCCGCGCGAGATCGACCACGGAATTTCCGTAACCAAAACTGGCATCGCTCGATCCAAATTGCTGATGATCCTTACCCTCCGCAAATCGTTGCAGCTGGTCAAGAGACGCCTTCGCCTTTACGCGGAAAAGAGTCCAATCGCTCCCGAAGATGTCCCAGTCGCCGTTCGCGCCCGGGCAGTTTTCGAGCATATCACACGTCTGCTTGACGGCGTATTCGATGTTCTGCAGAGCCTTACCCGAGTAAGAGGCAGGGCCGCGGTTTTTCCTAACGTGCTTAAAATCGGCACTCTTCAGCAGCCGCGCCGTCTCCCCGACTTCTCCCCTTAGAAGAGTCGTCCGAACTGTGGGCCAGTAAAGGCTGTGGCAGACAGGGTTTGGCCTCTGTTCAACTACTTCGCGGAACTGGTCAGGATACACGTTGTGGTTCTTAGCCATCCACTCGAATAGAACTTGTGGAAGGGGAACCCTTTTCCCTTCATCGAAGTGGGATTCTGATCGTGTGTGATGCATTCGAATAACCAGATTGGCGATGAAGGCGGCCTTTTTAAAAGGCTCGGCCGTGGGAGGGGGCCCAATCTCGGTGGCATGCTCCTCTTCGGGATCGGGAAGTTCCTGTGCGTAGTCATTCCAAATCTGGGTGAGACCGATGGCAGCAATAGCCAAAGAACTATCAAGCTTCTCGGCATCATCCTTGGCACCTATACCCTCGTCATACAGGTGGCTCACCAGGTCCTCCGTATCTAGTATAAGGTCTGGAGTCTCGTTTATGATAGCAGGGCCAGCAGCCTTGTAATGCTCGCGAGAGATGGCATCAAATTGGAAATCCACTCTAGGCCCGGGTGCAGCCTTCCTTATCGAGGATGCTCGGAAAATGTTCTCAGCCTCTCGTCTCGCCCGTTCGTCGGCGGCTGGGGTAGTGAGGACCATCAGGTCTTCATCCATATCCGATCCTTCGATGGAATCGCGCGGTTCATCGTGCATAGTAAGAAAGGGGTCGTAATCCTCACCATCGGCTTCACCGACGGCCTCTTCCTCTTCTTCCTCGCTTTCTTCTTCGGCGTCGATGTCACGATTAATGTATCGTTCGACTTCGGCATCGAGAGCTGCATGGCCTGAGCGTCCGAATGGCAGGCGCTGTTCGTACTCTTCTTCTTCTTCCTCCTCCTCTTCCTCCTCTTCTCCATCGGCGTCTTCCTCTTCGCTTTGGTCTTGCTCGGCCTCACGTTCGTCTTCATCACCCTCCTCATCATCGTCATCGTCGTCGTCGTCGTCGTCGAAATCGTCAAAGGCCAGTCGGAATGTTCCTGCAGTTTTCTTAGGGGGCGTCTCACGTTCGATACTCTCCGCTCGTATAGATTGGCTTAGTCCCGAAGGCCCTCGCTCCTTCGCATTGCGTCCGCCACGCGTAAGTGGGGAGCTTCCCTTTCGCGCAAACAGATTCCTACTCGTCGAACCCGACCCTCCAGAGGAAAAGCTCGGCGCAGCAGGTTTCGATCCCGTTAGGCCGCGCATCATAGAGCTTCCGAGATAAGAGGCGGACGGTGCACCAGCCGGAGTGAAGGAATTTGACGATGAGGGAGGAGGGCCAGCTGGGGTGGTTGAGGGTTCGGTACCAAAGGAAAACTTCCCACCGCGACGCGCGCTCCTATCTGGAGTCGAAGGGTCGGGGGAGGCTCCAAAAGCAGTGAATCTGTTCGCCATGACGAGTAGCCTCCGTCGGCGATGGCGTTAAGGGGATCTGGTTGGGCAATGGAGGAATTCAAGATGGTGGACACGCTTTAAGGATAGTCATGGATGGAGTCGATCTTGAGGTGGAAGTGGGCGTCGGGAGTTAGAAGAGTCCTTGGAAAATGTCCCAAGAAGGGAAGGAAATTATCGAGATTGTGATGGGTTTGGATGAGATGGCGGCATGGAGTTCAGGGTATGGAATTTAGGGTCGAAGGCTTCCTCTCGTGGATAGCTTGCTCTCTTCTCTCTACAGTCCAGTCGCGACCTCGCACCGACGACCTTGAACAAAATTTGGAAGCTGTTTGGCAAGGCCCGAATTTACGGATGATGCAGAAGCTTCCAGCCAATCATTTCATAGCGACGGCTTCTGTTGCCAGGTGAGTTGCAGGGACCAAGGCGACAGCAACAATTCGATGCGAGGTGCGCTGAGTCATCAATCGATCATTCACCCCACACAGCAGACGAGAAACCAGCAGTTGAGAGGCTCCACCAAACATGACGACATCAATAGTTTTAAAGGGGAGCCCTTTTGAAGCTGTGAATCGCGTGTCTCGAAAGTCATAACGATTCCAAGGTCCCAGCAAGCCGTTAAAAGAAGGCATTCTCCACAGAAGAAAAGCATACTGGGACCTAACGCTCGTGTCGGTGCTGTTTCAACTATTCTCTCCTAAAGCTCCCCGAGAAGCAGCAACACCACAAGCGAAAGGAGAGAGGGCCTGTTTGATGAAGCCGAGCGCCACTCTTCACAGATGTAACTCACTTTACTCTCGGACCGGGCAGGAGGTTTGGGAGACCAAAGCTGGCCGGTGCTAGTCGCTTCTTCATTCTAGACAATATCCTTCGACTACGAAAATAAAGATAGAAGCCAAGTCGGGAGCTCCTCGACGGAACTCAAACGACATACCCTAGATCAATCAAGCTTATTTGCGACGGTCTCCAGGAACACCATCACCAGGACCCCCGGACCCCGGGACCCCGCACCGGGCAGACCTCGTGGTTCATGGGTCCAAGTTCGCAGTTCGGAGTTCGTAGTTCGCAGTTCGAGAAGCTAGATATGGTCACCCGGATATCATAGGGTGATGCGAAGGATCAGGGATGATGTTCCTGAAGCTAGCCAGCAAGGACGTTGCGGGCATTGGTGGTTGAAATCTCACGCTGCATGGTGCTATGGTTCTAGTTGCGCCTTATTCTGGAAATGTATTAGCAATCATGTTGCATCGATACAGAGTGGTTTAGATCTCCGCTGCAAAGTGCCGAGAGCAACACGAGTGTGGCGGGGACAGAGGTCGTGCTTATCGACCCTGCTCCTGGGTCCTGACCCACGACCAAGGCCGACGTGAGGTGCGGGGTGAGGGGTAAATCCATGCGCGAAGTGGGTTTAGCAACAGTGAAGCAACAGCATCGAACTAACGTAAAGCAGGCACTTCGTCGCAAAAGCACCCAAGACGGCTTCGTAATAGTGTGCGACTGTGTGTCATCCGGCGAGCGAGCAACCACAACCCGTCCCAAGCAAATGCCGAATATCGAGATTCCCCCAACCCCCGACGCGAGCGACGAGCCGGGCGACGCTTGCTTCCATGATTGGCCAAACACCTGCGATGCCGCGAGCTCCCGTCGAGATTTCCTCCTACCTCCCCGACAAGGACTGCGACATTGTGTCTGCCGAGAAGAGCAAAGTGGGCCCGAAGAAATAGGCTTCGATTTTTCCTAATCACCCCGCCTGCAAAAATTGTTACGAAGCGCAATGGATTGATCCAATTGCTTCCTGACGCCAGCTCGGCCCCGCATGCGAAAAGCAGCACCTTCCTTCCCCACTACTTAGCACCTCATATTGATCTAATCTCCAGCTCGCAAAGCTTCTAAATATTGCTCTGTGCTTCTCTCTTCTTGTTACCTCCATCTTGAACTTCGTCAGTCGATTCGTTTAATATTGTCCTCTTCTTCTCGTTTGATACCATTTTCTTGTAAAACTTCCTCTCTGTCGAAACCTCTGCATTTCCGTATCTTCAACTCTCACCCCACCTCTACCAGATCCACAGTAGCAATGGCCGATACCGTTGGAAAGGTATGTCATGATCCAATTACCCCTCACAGCCAACCCCCGAAGACAGCATCACAAACGGCAAACGAGCAAACGAGCAAGCGACCTGGAGAAGAAATAGAAAACACCTCAAGTCGAACGACAAGGACTTCCAGACGTTTGCGTTCTAAGGGGACTTTAAATATAATATCACTGGCTTCTAGTAGAATCACGCAAGTTACATGGCCGTTCCGGACTAACCATGGGAAACTTTTGTTGGACCTGCATAGACCATCACCTGCAAGGCTGCCGTCGCCTGGGAGGCCGGCAAGGAACTCAGCCTCGAGGACGTCGAAGTCGCTCCCCCCAGGGCCCACGAGGTCCGCATCCAGATCTACTACACCGGTGTCTGTCACACAGGTTAGTTTCCTTTCCTGGCACAGAGGGTCCAATCAAGAAACACGGCGGCCGGGACGGATGCCGGATGACGGGGATGACGGGTGGTCGTTTGGCTAAATGCTAAAATATGCGCACGCAGATGCTTATACCCTGTCCGGAAAGGACCCTGAGGGTGCTTTCCCCGTTATCCTCGGACATGAAGGTGCCGGCATTGTGGAGTCCGTAGGCGAGGGTGTTACCAACGTAAAGCCCGGCGACCACGTCGTCGCTCTCTAGTATGTACCTACCCAACAGGGTACTTTTTCTCGGCGCTGTGGACCCGGGAGCTAATCAGAGGCGTCTCCGTCTTCCCTCCACCGCAGCACCCCCGAATGCAAGGAGTGCAAGTTCTGCAAGTCCGGAAAGACCAATCTCTGCGGCAAGATCCGAGCCACCCAAGGCAAGGGCGTGATGCCCGACGGCACGACCCGCTTCAAGTGCAAGGGCAAGGACATTCTCCACTTCATGGGCACCTCCACCTTCTCCCAGTACACCGTCGTCGCCGACATCTCCGTCGTTGCCGTGCAACAGGACGCACCGATGGACCGCACCTGTCTGCTCGGCTGCGGTATCACCACCGGATACGGTGCGGCGAGGGTAACCGCCAAGGTCGAGGAGGGATCCAGCGTTGCGGTCTTCGGTGCCGGCTGTGTCGGTCTGTCCGTCGTCCAGGGCGCCGTCATGAACAAGGCGGGCAAGGTCATCGTCGTCGACGTGAACCCCGCCAAGGAGGAGTGGGCTCGCAAGTTTGGCGCGACCGACTTCGTTAACCCCACTCAGCTCGGCAACCAGACTGTCGTTGACAAGCTTATCGAGTTGACCGACGGCGGTTGTGACTACACTTTCGACTGCACTGGCAACGTCAACGTCATGCGCGCTGCTCTCGAGGCCTGCCACAAGGGTTGGGGCCAGAGTATCATCATTGGTGTCGCCGCTGCCGGCCAAGAGATCTCCACCCGACGTAAGCCCTCTCCCGCTATCCCATGTCGTCTCTGCCCCATTGTGTGTCAGTATGATCGTCTGCTAACAGGTGATGCTTGAATAGCTTTCCAACTCGTCACCGGTCGTGTCTGGAAGGGATCCGCTTTCGGCGGCATCAAGGGCCGCACCCAGCTCCCCGGCCTCGTCGACGACTACCTCCAGGGCAAGCTCAAGGTTGACGAGTTCATTACGCATCGCAAGACCCTCGCCGAGATCAACAACGCCTTTGAGACGATGAAGCAAGGCGACTGCATCAGGGCTGTCGTCAACATGAGGGAGTAAAGTACGGAGTAAAGAAAAAAGAAAATGTCAAAATGAGAAAAAAATAAATAAAATGTGTATTAGTGGATTTTTTTTTTTTTTTTTTTTTTGGCAGAAGGATGTCTGTTAATTCGGTGTTGGCGACTGCACGTTGCTCGCATGTGAGTTGGTAGTTCCATGGCAGTGAAAAATGAAAATGAAAATGACATGGGATGCAATGTGTACGCGTATATTTAACAACAATATCCAGTCTATCCACGTCGTGATTGCTGAGCTCGCGAGATGTCGTCATCCCCAGCTGAACGGGAGCACCAGTTGGGATCTGAGACCCCCCATGTTGGAGAGGAATTGAGAATTTTCAGTCTTGAAAACCAATATCCTGGCAATTACATGTATAATTAGGACGGATCTAGTTTCTGTTCCGTGGTCGCGTCTCTGGAAATTGGTCGCCTTCGTCCCACTATGTCGACTAAATGTTGAACGTGTGGACAATGATGATCGTTCGTCTAATTGGCCCAGCTGGATCGAGGAACGGCTCAACCTTGAACCCCAAGGCTACTGCGAAGCCAGCTGACGGGCAGACTCTCTTTCCACGATTCGGGGCTCCACAGCTCGTGTGGTACAGACTTGCGCCTCTACACGAAACCTTGGGTCTCGACTCTGGTCTCTGGAGAAGTCAGAAGGGCAGAGATTGTAAGGTCGCAATGAAAAAGATGAAAGCCTACTACTTCGTGCAGCATCAGGCATGTCTCAACTGGGCCCAATCCATAAACAACGCCCTTCCCGCTTCACGAAAAGCTCACAACGAATAGGCATAATTTATAAAAAGAAAGGGGGGGTCTCTGGATCTCGTGCATGTGAACCCCTGCTTGCGTTAGTGCCCACCGACACTGAGGTGTCGATCGCCGGGCACCAAAAGAACCACTGGCGGTAAGAGGACATCCCCATCGTGACTGGTGACCTCTCCATGTCGTGGCGTGCGTTGGGCGCTTCTGCGGGGGGATGTGGAGAGCGGTCTGGACACGTCAATTCTTGCCCAAGGGAAGGGAAAATGAGCGAGATTGGCTCGAATGCTGGACAGCCTATCCATGCCGGCTTCACGTTGTTGAAAGGGTGCGTCTTGGGCGGGAATGGAAGATTTCGTTTTGCATCGTGATGACTCTTCTGTTTTCACTAATACCTTCTTGATGGGGCCGCCATTTCAGCGCTTTCAAGAGGTGTCCAGGGATCGGTATGTTTAATCGAGATGATTGGAGGCACAACAGTAGCACGGCAGGAGAGCCAGGCCCGGCCCGAGAAAAGAAAAAAAAAAGAAGAAGAAGAAGAAGAAAAACCTTGATACTGATGGTTGATGTTGCGCTTTTGCCACATTTCTGCTGGCATGGGTCTTCACTCGTCCGGAGTAGGGAGTAGCTATTTTGATGTTCCTTTTAGAGTTAAGCTGAGCAGGCTAGAAGGAAATTAGAACTCTGCACAGGCCATCCTGCCCAGCCTTGGGTGTCCCCAGTGGCAAACGAGAGGGATACAAACCCACGGCGAAGGCGGGAGAGGGATCAAAATGGCCTAATATCCGCACGAAATAGATCCGCAAATACCGATTCGATACCTCCCATGTACGAAGGAATGTCCACAAGGTTACTTCACATCGAAGGGGTGCCAATCCGAACTAATCCGAACCCTGGACAGGCTGTATCGGACAAAAGTTTAAAGCCACAGCCACGATACAAATCAGGGGTTGAGTTTTGGAGGTCTGATTTACCGAGAGTGTATACGTACTTTAGGTATGTATATCCATCTGGCCGGGCTGCTTTAATCTCTTTTTGCTGATAGGAAGGTCGGCCGGAGTTGCCGCGGCTGGAAGAAATTTGTGAGAGCGCAGCTCAAACTCTCCGGAGTGAGACAGGACATTGCCGGCGCCAAAAAAAAAAGTATGCATACTCTACCTTGAGGCTCTTTGGCTTTTTTGGATCGGGGGATCCGTAGGAATGGGGAATTGGTTCGGAGTGGACGGGATCCAAGTAATTCCGGGACCCATCTCCTCGTTGATAGAGAAACGTCGAACACTTCGGTCTCAAGACCAGCGCTCCATTGACCCATTGGTGGCATAGGTACTTGGCGGTACTCCTCCTGCTCTTGTAAGACAACTTCGTAAAGAAGGAAGTATCATTATCGAGCGAGATTAGTCTCGTCAAAGGATGCTGCAGGCTACCCGGGTTGGTAATTTGCACTTGTCTGCATTTCCAAACCATTTTCGAGAGTACCCTTTGACGTCAACAAGCGAGACCGGTCTGTTGTTCAAGAGACTGACGAGGACGTCGGAGAAGATCATCGGGTTCCTATGTATTAGTATTATTCTCTTTGTCCACGAACCCGATCCCTGGAGTTTTGGGAGCCCCCAATTGGTTTCAGGTGATTGGATCTAGATTCCCCGTCCTCTCCCGGATCACAAAGTCTGGAGGCGGCCCCTGGCGTCATTAGGGAAAGATTGAGATTGGGAAGGGGGGGGATAAGGTTCCCGAATCTGGTCCAGTTGGCACTTACAAGGATGAGCAGCCGAGGCGAGGGACCGGCGCTTGAACAGGCAATAAATGGCGGGGGGCCTAGGCCCGGTACGAGATGCAAAATTCAATGCAAGCTCCCAATTTGCACATCACGTCGATCAATTGATCTTTGGATGGCACACATGGTTTGTCCGATCCGTATTCGGTTCACGTTTCTGTTGAGTACAAAAGCATTGGTATCAATTATTTACGAGCTGTCGATTCTGGCCCGAGCACTCTCGGGTTGCAATCAAAAGTGAAGACTCTGAAGTGATGAAGAATAATAAGGAGGAACAGGAAGAAGCTGAGAATATCAAACGTGGTGAGCGGCTGACCTGACTCATCGATTGATCATTTATTCAAGTTTTTCTATCATTGATCTTCAATCCTCGACTGACTTGTCGATTGTAGATACATTTGATACAATGAAGTAAACTCGCTCGCAAATTGCAACGATCTCTCAGTACTTTGTAGTTCAGTGTTGCTGACAGACCAATTATTTCTGACTGGATGCTTGAGCCGATACTTCATCGTACCCAAGAACAAGTACTTTCAATTTGACAAGCCAAGCACATCAATCTGCACTTGACTTTTTACAACTTGATACCGCAAATTTTTGTCAATCGCGTGGACGGCATTTTCTGCAAACTTGGAAGAGAGTCGACTTATGGTCACGCGGTCACTAGCGGCAAGCTCGCTTCACATTTGTTTATCAAGGCCAGGGGGAAATCTGGGGACCAGTGCGTGTTAGAAACCGGTGCAGAAATCATCGACCGCAGTAATATTCTCTTCTTGGGCTGGTTTCCCCATGGGATTGTCGCGGAACCTTGGGCAGCACTCTTGGGTTCAATGAAGTTGCTTTTAGGACCCGTCCCCGATTTGCAATGGGGCAGATTCAGAGATTGATGCGCCGACCGCGGACAATACACTGGCAGGTCCGGCCCTTATTATCCTTCCAACACGGACTCTATTCAAGATCCTAGTTGGACCGACGTCTGCCATCTTTCGAGGTTGTCGGCGCCACCCGGCAATCGCTTACCCACTTTCATCTTGGCCGTGGCCGACTCCGCAATTCTCTCGTATGTTTGCACAATAAGTTCGATTGCGTTCGTGTCATCCTTCAGCCTAGTCCGCTTGCGGGCGGTGAGGACCGGCACGGGCGCACGACATCAAGCAGACCTGCCGTCCGTATTTCGTAGTCAAAAAGCACTCGATTTGGGACGTCGTCAAGTCCATCCAGAAACGATACCTGAGGCTACCTGGCGGCTTGTTAGTTACCGTTCCGTCCGATTACGACTGTACAGGGGACTGTCCACAAGCTTTCCTGGCCATGAGATAAAACTGGGAGATGCAGTCGACTGCTCACATTTATGATTTACGGAGGACTACATAGTAAACGGAGCTCCCGACTAAACTACTTATTTCAGCTATTTTACGCGAAGTATGTTCTTTGTCAATCGAGAAGAGTCTAGAAAATCAGCACTGAATAAAACTCCCTAAGCCACCTAATTTACGCCTGGGTCTAAATCGGTATTCGGTAACGGATTAAATGTTGCCTTTCCAGTTTTCATTCAGTCATCTATAGACCCGCTCTTTTACGGACCGTCTCAAAGTTTGGTTTTAAGACAATTCAAATTGCAGGCCGGAACCGGTGCTGGGACCCACCTATTGTCGTTTTTTTTGTTCCGTTTCCTTTCAAGCGGATGGCATGTCAAGGTCCTGGCCATGTCTATCCCCGTACCCACGTCACAGTTCCAGTTTACCACGCTAGCCCACCCTTCAGGCAGGCTCACGTGTTAATTGGTATCCGTCCTCCTGCCGAGAGCCCATCTCATTCCCCATTCATCCCCATCCATACAAGAGGCGTAGACCTAGCCACTTCCACTGAGAACTGCAAAGTGACTTGTCCAGTACAAGGTACCCGTAACTACGACCCCAAAAGAAGGTGCATTGTTGTATTGGCCACTGTCGTCTGAAAGTGTCCGGTTGCGTCAGCCTTCCCTGGATTCCTGCCACCGCACCGCAACTTGTAAGTCACTTCGTACCAGTCACTGCCTCCTTTGGGGATCAACCACGTCGGCCTGGTCTGGCCTAGTCATTAGTATTTAGTGTTGGGTCTCCGCTCGCCGCCCTCCTCGTCTCTTCCCTTCCCATTCTTCCCTCTTCTTCGCCTTCCTTCCACATCGCACTACTTCGTCTCTGACTCATTACAAATCTTGACCTCTCCGCGGGTTCATAAAACCTCCACGCTTCCTTTCATCTCGCGTGCCTCCAACTCTCTCCTGGATTCTTCCTCTCTATTCCACCCAAACTACCCATCTCGGCGACTTAGGCACACCCGCCACACACACACCGAGCGTTCTTCGCGAGACGTCCTACTCTCTCACCTACTCGACTACTTCTCACGTTCGAATACAACAACCGCCTGCTCTTGGCAGCATCCACAACCCACTCGCGATCCCCTCGCCTACCACCTCGACCACACCTTCCTCCCCACACTCTACACACATAACCACAATGGCTCCCAAGAAGAACCGTTGCAACTTCAAGGAGTGCCAATCGGCGGCCCAGCGCATCGTCGGCGACTGCGGCTTCTGCCAGGGTCATTTCTGCAGCAAGCACCGCCTGCTAGAAGACCACAAGTGCGAGGGTCTTGAAGACGTAGGTATCCCTGATTTTGATTTTGCTCAACTCAGCACCTCGTCATCTTCTGCGACTTCGTCGTCTTCCTCTCAAACAACCTTTTCCTCCATGGCGTCTTCCCCCAAGGATCCGCAGTGGTGGCTGGTTGGGCTGTGTGACTCCCTTGCAAGTGACGACATGGCTGACCTGTTCTGCTCCAGTGCAAGAAGCAATCTCATGAGCGAAACGCCGCGCAGCTCGAGAGTGAGCGCACCCAGATCATTAAGGGTATTTAACGAAAACTACGACGACGAAGACGAAGACGACGTTTCTAGGACGTCCTCCAACGATACAGCCATGGGCGGAACCTGAAATAGAGGCTCCGACCTCCAGGGGGCGACTTCCACACACCCGAGGCTTTGTATCGACTCGTCATCACTCCCGTCTTTTCTAGACGGATTCCTCCATCCTACACACTACCTGCACACACCCACGAAATCCAACGAGACGACGGTCTCGCGAACCACAAACTTCTATACTCTCACGACATCATGTATCCGACGATCGACCAGGATGGGCGCACGCGACGTCCCTTTCCGACGATCAGTCTCTCAAACTCGGCCACGTGGAGCGAGCGGCAAGGCGACCGAACCAGCCACTCCTGCACAAAAGCCCACGATTTGTATTCATAGTTTTACGAAAGAGGCAGACGGTCTGCCTCGATATGTGGCAGCATGGCGTCCAGGGCATTGCTTCTTTAATTATTACACTTTTTTTTTCGGTTCTTTCCCTCGATTTTACTTCGCGGTTCTCCGTAGCCCGTGATCATTGTCATGGTCTGGTTTACCTCGTCGAGCATAGCGTTGCCCATGGGGATATTTATCTCTGGCCGTCTTTGTTCTACATAGTTGCCTCGTGTGTTTTCTTCGATATGGAAATTTGAGACCTGGAACGGTCCTCCATGTAAACAAAACTTGTGTCCTTTTTAACTGCACCCGTGTTACGAATTCCTACCTTTGGTGATGTTCCCTGTTCGTGAATGATTTTGACACCTCTCTGTTGAGTTCGGCGCAATTCCCTTGGGCGGAGGCGCTAATCTTGGCAACATGGGGAAGCGCCTGCTTATCGCCGATATCGTATCTCCCTTCCCCCCTCTCCCTCCCACCTCACCTCTCACCTCTCACCTCTCACCTCTACAATTGTAAGATTACCTTGCTGACAACACATCAATCATCAATTGTTGCCAAAGAAACTCTCACACCAAAAATATTCATACACGTATTAGTGCATCCCAATAGCCCATCGATGAGTGGATATCGAATCTGAAGTTGATAGGGCTGTAATACTGGGAGAAAGATGCGCGATCTCCCATATTGGTATATCCGCCCAGCAAGAGACTGTTTTCAGCTACTGCTGCTGATCTCTTGTCAGACAAGATCCTGGCCAACTCTGTGAGAGATTGGGGGGGATTTTATAGCCCAGCTACAGATACTACAGGTGCAAAACCGAAGCAACAAATAATACTTCGTACTCTGCATTTCCTTCTAGCTTCCCCCCCCCCCCCCCCCCCCCCCCCCCCCCCCCCCCGGGGGCCTTGGTTGCTGCTTTTCACCTGTCGCGTTCCAGCGTTCTCCATTCTCAACTTACTAGGCCTTCTTTAAACGCATTCCTTCGTGATGCCTCCGCGGTCGTGTGAATGGGAGGCTTGCAGGAACCCTGCCGTGCAAAGAGCAGGAGACTGCTTGCTGTGTGACAGACACCTCTGTCGCATTCATCTTCGAAAGCCGAGGCACAAATGCCCGAAGCCAGAGGTTCCGTCGTAATATACCCGCTCAAGAAATAACCATGGCCACCGTTGCTCATGTTCATGAATCCAGGAAAACTGGGAAGCCTACTCCGCTCAATCTGCGGTCACAGAAGCCCGTCACATCGACGAGTTATGCCGTCGAATAGACGGTTCTAAATTATGTTCTCGCGCATCGACGCTTAGGGGAGGCATCCCTTGCACCGTTGATTTGTCCCACAAGAACCTGGCAACTATGATGGGAAACCAGAACTGTCACGCCGAGATCACCTTCGAGGACGACGTCAAATGGCTCGCACGTTTCCGGCTTGCGAAGACCATTTCACCCCCGCGGGAAGTCCGTGACTGCATACTTCGAAGCGAAGCTGCCACCATGGCCTACCTCCAAGAGTATACTCACATCCCCATCCCCAAGATATTCGACTGGGCATGCGAATCCGATCCCGGGAACCAAATTGGAGTGGGTTACATCCTGATGGAAAAGCTGAACGGAACCCCCTGGATTGGCAGATGGCTACTCCAGCGCAGAGGGAGAAGATCATGCAACAGCTGGTTGACCTGTTCCTCGAGATTGAGAAGCACCCCTTTGAAGTTATGGGATCACTCATCTCCTCGGCCGGAGATACCACCGAGTTCGACGTGCAAGGTCTCGCATATCCGACAACCTTTCGGATGGGGGGCGGAGGTCCCGTCGGTCCGTTCTCTTCCTCGCTGGAGGGGTGGCGCGTCATACTTGAGTTATACCTCGCGATGATAGCCGGTGGCGAGATTGGCGTGGACAATCCGGTGGACGTCTACCTCGCACACCGTTTCCGCCTAGATATCCTTGACAGCCTCTGGGGACACGTCCCATCCGAGGGCCAATTCTTCCTCAAGCACCCGGACGACAAGGGCGATCATATACTCGTCAATGGCTCTTTCGACATCATTGGAATCATAGACTGGGAATGGACCCATACGGTTTCCAAGGCGGAGGCCTTTTGTTCTCCGTGCATGATGTGGCCGGTGGGCGAGTTTTACGACGGCTCCAATGAGCTGGCCAAGGATGAATTGCGACTCGCCGACATATACCGGGAAAGGGGCCGCGAAGACCTTGCTAAATGTGTCATCGAGGGCGGAAAATTTCAGAGGCTCTTCTTTGCTCTCGGCCCCGATGGAGCCTTTTTGGATCGAAAGGCGTTCGTAGATCTCTTCATGGGGCTTAAGAGGACCTTCGGCTTCGGAGACGTGGGGTGGGAAGAATGGAAGGGGAAGGCCCTCGAGAAATGGGAGAGCGATGATGTCCTCCGGGGCTTACTAGAGCTGGAACTGAATGGGGAGTGAAAGATGTAACTTGGCCCCTGTTTGTCGTCCTTCTGCATATGCTGAGCAAAGACCCAAGAATCCCAAATCTCCAAAAGTCGGCGCAAGGCAGTTCTCTGTTCTTATCGATCAAATGACACATGTCAGTGGAGATGCTCACTATATATTGTCCCTCCAAGGGATGATGCCCCGTGAAAAATGAACTACCAGTTGATCGGGTTCAACAGAAGGTTATCAACTATTTAGTCTAACAATTATCACAATATTGGACACTGGCGTCCTATTACGATTTTCCACCTCCCATCGTGTTCCACGTCTCCAGGATCCCCGTCGGGGGCCAGCCCGCCAGCAATTATCCAAGGAGAGTGTATGCAGATATATCCCTTTGAAATATTAGTCCTCGGACTCGTTTCCGGCATCACCTCTTTCTTCTCCGTGTAGCTCTCCTTCCTTCAGTGATCTGGTCTTCCGCGACGCCCGCGGGTTTGACATCTTGTAAACTCGAAAGGTTCTCCTTGGCATCGTCGTCGGAAGCCTCCACCTTGACACGATGCACCATGGCCCCATTGATCTTTCCATCCTTGATCTCCTCCTCCTCCTCCTCCTCCTCCTCCTTCACCCCTTCCAGCTCTCCCTTCACAGCATCCTTAGCCTCCTCATCTCCCTCATCAATCTTAATCTTCGCCTCAACCTTCTCAACCTTCACATCCAATCTCGCCCTCGCCTTCCTCCCCTCCGCAACCTTCGCCCTATCCGCCGCCTTACAAAGCCCACCCAGCCCCAACTCACACTCGCCACACCTCCTCCCCACGGGCAAACACACCGTCTGCCCGAACCCGACGAGCAGCCAGTTGATGGGCCGCCAGCGATTGCGGGGCAACCATGACTGAAGCGCCAGACGCGTCTCTTCCGGGTTGCGCGTCTTGTGCCACCCCCAGAGGTTGGTGATGCGGTGCACGTGCACGTCGACGCCGATGCCCTCGGTGCGGTTCCAGGCTACGGACATGCAGAGGTGGGCCATTTTGGGGCCGACGCCGGGGAGGGAGGTCAGGCCTTGGATGGTGTCGGGGATGTCGCCGTTCCATTTGTCGCGGAGGATTTCGGCGGTTTGTTTGAGATATCTGCGTGGGAGGCACTCTTGTTAGTCGTCTTGCAAAAAAGAAGGCCTGATCCAGGAACAGCGTCCAGTCGGAAAAGTAAAAGAGAGAGAGAGACGCACTTGGTCTTGTTATTATGAAACCCAACCGCCCAAATAAACTCATTAAGCAAAGCCGGCTCAACAGCAAGCATATTCTCCAGATTCAACCCCGGCGGCGCACCCTCCTCATACGGCGGCAGCTCCTTCTTCAACTTCGCCATCACCACGGCATTCACCGTATCCTTCGTCTGGCTCGAGAGCATCAGCGACACGAGCGTATGGAACCGCCGATCGCGGGGGCTCGCGTTCTGATCGGCGAGGCGCTCGCACCCCATCGTGTCGACGGCGGCGTTGGAGGCCACACCTCCCGGCTGGCGCATCTTGACGACGGCGTCGTACATTTGTTCCCAGTCGGAGGGTGGGGAGACGGTTGTTTCCCCCGTTTCGGGGTCTCGGGTTTTGCGCGCGGGTTTTCGGGCTCGGCGGCGGGCTTTTGGCGCGGAAGATTCGGGGGATTGCGAAGAAGCGAGGGTCGTAGTTGTGGTGGTCTCGAGCTTGACGGAGGTGGTGTCCCCGTTGCGGGTGGTGACCCGTCTTCGCTTCCGAGAGGTTCGCGTGATGGCATCTTCGATGTCGGAGCCCAGCCGGAGGTCTCCCGAGTCCCCTTCTTCTTCTTCCTCTAAGGTGGACTTGATCGCGGCTTTGGTCTCGGCGTCGGCGCCATAGGCGAATTTGGCGAGCGACGCACGCGTGATGCGGCGCGTTGGAGGCGGCGTGGCGCTGTCGCTCGCGAAGAAGCGGGAGGACTCCTTCAATTTATTTCGGGTAGACATCCTCTTAAGAGCGAATCTGTAGAGCATCAAATGGCTTCTACGGTTACGTCCTGGGAGAATTCGCGACGGGGAGTCGGTTTCGTTAGCGGGTTCGATTGATCTATGGATTGATTCATTTTAGGGGATGGGTTGAGATTATATTCCGAACACTGTCATAGGCTGGAAGAAACCGTCACCTGCAACCCCGGTTCCAGGGGATTGGAACTCAATCTACGAAGTAACTTGGGCTATTCCTCGACATCCAAGGTCCCAAAATATCTCAGTCCACCCACGTCCTTTACCAGAGTCCCATCAACATTAACACAATAAAATATAAGATGCCCAAGCAGCTCAGCTTGTAGGGGCCTTAGCTTCGTCTTGGAACACAAGTAGAGTAATTTAATAAGTTAAATATTAAACCGGAAAAATTACTTACAAAAAGTACTTCCTCCTCCTCCTCCTCCTCTCTCTACCTCAAGGCCCTCCCCTGTCCTACTGTAGGGTCGCGCCTCCCACTGGACCACTAGCTCTGCTAGATGGGGATCTCCATTACTGCGGGATATTAGTTCGCTTGCTTTACTCGATCCCTAGGCACCAGTTTGCAACCGCTGTCTAGAAGAACTTGGACGCAGTAGGATTCAAACCCAAGCCACCCCCGGCGGGGAGCAGCGGCGCCTTGGCCAGCTAGGCTTAGCTAGACTGGTCGCCTGGTGAAAGTGCGGGGAACTATTATTTCTTATGTGGCTATCACGGGGCTGTTGTGGGAAGGGTTTGTTTGGGGAGAAGCTATTTACTGAGTGGAGAGATATTGAGAGGGAAGGAGCTGGTCGGAGGGGGAAATGGTGGAGGGAGAGAAAAAGCTATACAAGAGCTGGCGGAGGGATCCCAAATCACAGCCTCGCAAGCGGAGAGGCTGCGGGCTCACCATATACGATAGCTTGATCCTTCGCAAGCCTATCACCTTCGCTCTTCACGCCAGCCTGGACACCACCAAGTCCCTTGAACACAATGAACCTGTGAAGCACATCGTAAGCCACAGGGCTCCTGTCGCTCTCGGCATCGACAAACAACAACACCGTAATCAACACCTCGGCAACGACCCAGATAATTTGCCTCGCGTCACCCATAAGCTGCTGTTGGCTCTCCGCCGCAAACCTTCCCTTGACAGCCTCCCACGCCTGCAGCGGGCGCCATCCGCCGAGCCTCGTGTCACCCTCCATCGCCGCAGCGCCGGCGTTCTTGATGAAACTGTCAAGCGCGTTGATACACTCCTGGCCTCCCTTGGGGTGCTTCACGGCGCGGATAAAGTCTGTCGACAAGACGTCCGTAGTGCCCTCCCAGATGGCTAACACGCAGCAGTCGCGGTACAGCTTCGCGATGTTGAGGTACTCCTGCTCCTCGTTGTTGAGGTAGCCCACGCCGCCGAGGGATTCCATGCAGGCGTAGAGCTGGATGATGGAGTTCTTGGCGACGTAGGCCTTGGCGATCTGCGATATCACGCGAAGGAACGGCGCGACGTGCTTAGGTTCGGGCGTGATCTTTGCGAGGGCAGCGTGGAGAGGGACCCTGGGCTGGGACTGCTCCTCAAGACCGAGGGTATACGCTGCCAACATGGAGAGGTGCATGAGGCCGTGGTATTCAGCAGTGACGTTGGCGAGGGTGCGCATGTGGAGCGGGCTCTCGGCGAGGACCATTCGCTTGCCACGGCCTGCGCCCACGGAGCGGACTTTGGCGAAGCCCTTGGCGAGACTGACTCCTCGCCCGAGGAAGCCGACACCGCTGACGGCGGAGTAGATGCGCGTAATGTTGAGAATGGTGCTGATCTGGTGAATGCCCTTACCCTCATCGCCAAGAAGCCACCCTCGCATATCGGTTAGCTCGAGCTCCGCCGTCGGCAACGACTGCGTGCCGAACTTGTTCTTGAGGCGTGAGATGCGGATGCCGTTGAGCTCGGTGCCCTCGTCGCCCAGACTCTGACCCACGATGCTCTTCGCCGAGGGGCTGAACCTCCGCATCGGAGCGTAGAACGCACTTAGACCCTTGGGCGTTTGAGCGAGGAGGACAGTCATATTGGAGTCAGTAGCGCTGGAGAACCACTTGAAGCCCGAGAGGGACCAGGGCCCCAGAGGCACGCGCTCCTTGACGTTGGCGAATCCCGTTCGCGACGGGTCGAGAGTCGCTACTGTCTCCGTGAGGGAGACATCGCTGCCGCCGGTTCGCTCGGTCATCCATTGGCCGCTGGTCCATCCAGTCTTGGGGTCGCGGGAGAGGAGGTGGTCGACGGCGTTTTGGAAAATTCGTCGGCGTTCGCCGTCGAGCTTGGGGTTCGAGAGGTGGATTAGAAGGAGGCGGAGGGCACCGTCGTGCATGGCTGAGGGGCAAGTTACTAGACTGGCTGAGGGAGTCCAGAGGTGGAGTCTGCGGGTGGGCTTTTGTGAGCTCTCCTCCTTGGAGACAATTGCATTTATTCTGCTGTATGCTACATACCTGAGGAACTGTACCACTCGAGAGTAAGGGCCATTTTCCTTGTCGTAGCCCACTGCAACGATTCTATAAAACAGTGATCAGTGGGTGTGAGGATGGGTTGGACAGAGCGAGCTTACCCCTTTTCAATGCCAAACTCCTGCAGCTTCCTCCATCCCTCGCCAACGATGAGGTCGCCCTTCCACTTGCCAAAGGCATCTCGGCCGCCCCCCCTCAGATAGGGCTTATTCGTCTCGGAATCCGTAACCCAGTTGAAGATTTGGTCGGAGATGACCTCTTCTCCGAAGTTTTCTATTTCAGGGCCATTTCTCGCCGCTACTTGCTTTGGGAGGAATACTGCGGAAAGACACAGGTACGAGTTAATAGAGGGTTCGGTCAGCGTGTGTGCGAGGGCTGTTATGAAGCAGCGGCGGCCAGAACAATTTTGGGGGGATGAAACCTACGCTTGAACGCTCGCTGGAAGGCAACGTCGTCGTGAAACTGATTCAGTAGCACTGGGGCCTCTTGGAAGAAACCTTGATCACTCGACGCCGTATTCATGATGCAAAAAGGCCACTTCAAGGGCAAAAAGAAAAATGTACACTCGATAAATGATACAGATATAAAATACAGATATGCAGAACTATGAATACAGTCGCGGTTCACGATGAGAGAATCTGGGGTGATAGTTTCATTAATTGCTTGATCTTGCGGGGGAAATGGAGACACCCTGGGAAAGATGCCTCGGGACGGAATTAAGCTGATGTGGGGTAGCATTTGGACCTGGTGGAAATCGCAGCGTGGCGCCATGTGACGATGACGATCCAAATGAGAGTGTGTGTCCAATTTAGGAAAGTCCTGACCGTTGTTCGGGGTCCTGCCGGTTTAGAATTCCGGATCTACGTCGGGGGACAATTGAATGCCATCCGGGTTCTTTTCAGCTTTTCTGTGCGATGATGCCGAGATTCCTTGCGCGACTGCAGCCGGCTTTAGTTGCAGGAGCGGAAGGTCGGGACGCCGGCTCCTCTACCTTAGCAGCGAGGTAGCTATTAGAACGAGGAGGAGGCTTGAACAAATGTCTGCGGCAGACTAAACCGCAGGAAGGAAAGCATTTGACCATAAACAAAATATCTAAACATCCAGATACATGTGGTATCTTCTGAGTATCAAGTATACAGATGATTATTATTAGGGGATGAAATGGCCCGATTGCCCTCCAAACATCTTGCTCCGCTTCACCAAGCCATCGACCCTCATGGGCTGGCCAACTCCTGCAACGTACAACAATTATAAGCAAACGACAGACAAATATGCTACTCTTGTGACTATTCGTAGAATTCATAAACTACTCCCTCATCCTCATGCCGAACAAAAGAAATAAAATTTTTCGCTGCGGGGACGCCTTTCATTTTCGTCATCATTGATGAGCCACAACAGAGCCACAGCGATGGTCATGGTGGTCCGCTCCGCTTTTCTTCACTGGCGTCTCCACTAGACTCGGTAGTTGCGGCGGTACCAACCACGGCGTGGAGGGGCGGCGGCGGCGCGGCGCTCGTGGCGGTGGATCCAGAAAATGCCAATAAGGCCTGAGACGAGGAAGCAGATGGCAGCTAGGAACGAGAAGGCCATGTCGGCCTTGAACTTGCCGCATTGATCTCCCCTGACCGAAACGTTGTTCCAGTCGAAGATGTAACCGCAGCTGTCGCCAATAAGCTATTGAGTGGCGTTAGTGAGTGAGAACGAGAACGCAAGAAAAAGGGTTGGCCCTGTTTCCGAATGCTGGATCACTTACGTTGACGAGGAGACCGAAGGCGACAAACCAACCGATGGACAGGAAGAAGTCCCATGGCCAGTGGGTGAAGCTGCTTGAGCAGGGAATCAAGAGAATAAGGGAGGTAAGGATTGCGAGGGCGGCGATGACTTCGGTGTAGATGAAGCGACCGAGACCGGGGGTATGGCTGTTGGACTTGTGGAGGATCCAGGCGGTGATACCAGCAACGATGCTGGAGAAGCCGAGCTCAGCGGCCCGGAGGATGATGTTAAAGATGCGAGCAAACATTTTGGCGGATGGGTTTTTGGCAGTGTTCTCTCCGATGTCTAGTTTTTCCTTCAGTAGTAACAGTAGGCCACAACAGAGCTAGATTTGGTTTTGGTCTTGGTCTTCTTAGGAATCGCAAATAATACGAGTTATGCACAGAAGCTCACACGGGTACTGTAGGGTCAAGGTGAGGAAGATGGCACTATTTATCAAAATGGATGGGCAAAAAATTGAACACACCACACAAACCCGAAACCAGATCTCTTGACTTGGCAAGATGGTTGGAAATCAAGGAACGGCAATGTCACGATCTGAATTGCTGCTGGATCTGTCAGTGTGTGGGCATCGCCAGATCGGGTACATTGCCCTCCTCTTCGCCAGCACCTGGATCCATTCGCAGACTCCACATATTGAGGCGGAACTTGGAACCGTCGTAATGGCCAAACACGTAATGCTTCCATCGACCAATATGAGTTGGCCGCAGAAAATCTGGAGAGCGAGGCAGCCCATTCTCCAATGGTCCCACGACCGTTGAAGGTGGGCCGGTGGGCATGGGCGGTGCTGCAGATTCATCTGCCGGCTGGTCGTTGACGCGTCTGCAAAAGAATCATGATGTGTGACTGGGCGTTGTGATTGGAACAGCCTCGAGGTCACGGATTGCCACACCGGGCGTAGAGGGTCGCGGGTTTGTCTGTGATGTCATGAGACACAGTGTTAGGGCGAAGAATTGCAGGGATGTCTATATTAAGAAAGCCCAGTGAAGGTGGGTTGAAGGCAGAGCCCAAGAATAATGGAACCCAACTAAACTCATGCTCAAGCTGCTTTCGTCGACTGTGTTTGGCGACTTGTGTGGCTTGGGCTTGCGAGCCCATGTCTGCGTAGACGCGCTTGAGTGCTCGAGTTCTCCCTCTTACTTGTGGCCCAGGAAATCTCCAACGATCTGGCCTAGCTGATCAAAGTGCCTTTCTTTTGAGCCACGGCCCACAGGCTCCCGTCAACCGGGAACTGAAGAGGCGCACTTCACCCTAATGATCCCTGCCAGGATGCCAAGAAATAAAGACGATAATCGAATCAACAAGACTGTCGGCAGCAAACGGGTCCTCAACAACAAACGACTCTTCGAAGCCATCGTTGACTCTGGCAAACAAATTCCTTTGACGATGCATTTTTTCGTCACACGATACCCCGGTACAGGGGTGTTTCTGCCATCTTGACATCAATGTCTCACCCAACTTCCAACTTCCATTTGGGAATTGAGAAATGACGTAGTGTGACGTGAGCAAAATTACTGAGGAGACCAAGTACAATTGTGTTTAACTTACTCCGTACATAGCAATCCAACCCTGATGGGTGCAATTGTGAGAGTGTTCAAAGAGCAGGCATTGCCTCTACCATGCGTTGCAGTTCAGGTAGAGTCGGTCGATCCTCAAGCATCGACGATGGTCTGGAGTGGTTGAGGGACAGGCCACTCGACTGCAGTCGTGATCGGCGCATTAGCATAGACCACACTTGATGTAATCACCGAGGTCGTAAATGTCAGAACGCGTCGTCCATCCAGAATCCAGACCACCATATTTTGCAATATCCGGGGCAGACGGTTGAACCCAGCGATTCCCAAGGCCGCAGACTACCAGGCGGCTGACATCTAGAGTAAAGAGACAATTGTCAATGCGAAGATCCCTGTGGATGGATGATACCCAGGGAATGGAGAAAGGCCAGGGCATCGATGATGTTGAGAATAAAGTGCTTGAAATCCTCGAGGGACGTGAAGCGCCCGAGAGCACTATGCGGCATGAGTCTTTCAAAGACCCGCTGTCCGTCCGGAGATCTACCTAGGAGGCGAACGAGGTAGGGAGAAAGAACAACTCCGGGTGTATCGGGTTGTCCAAGGTGGCGAACATAAAATGTCCCGGTGTCGCAGAAGCTAGGTGAAATATCTGATGGATATTAACGCTCAGCCATCCCCTCGTTGAGGCTTCTTTGAGTCCCTGGACTTAAGACCAGTTTCCGAGTCATTAGTGTGTGCCGGGCCGCGCCCGGAGCAGTCGAGGCACAACATTGTTACCGCTGGATCTGTCCCCTTGGCGAACGCAATCTCAGTGTCTATCTTTGTACCCTGGCTGAGCAAGGCACGGCATAACCCGAGCTTCTCCGCTTACCCGCTCCTCGCTCAATGATGATGGCAGTTTGACGTTTTGTGCAGGTTGAGGTGCTTCTCCCCTTTCTCGCGTCATCATGTGTGGAGGGTGAGGCGCAAGTTAAAGCATTAGGAAAGTCCAGCTATAGTAGCAACCTCCCAACAGGTTTATAAGTAGATCTTAACCCGAAGAAGTGGCGATGACGATGAAACAATGGGGCTAGGCCCTATCGTGGTTTCGATCTTAACAAACTTTGATCCGGCAAGATTTGTGCAACTGCAAACTTGTTAATATTCTCCACTGGATTTCATGACAGAAGGAACGGGATCAGCGCCTCTACGTGCCTCTTATCTCATTTATATATATAGCAACAAAAAATCATGACGGCACCGCGTCGTCATTCAGCTTGCGGGGGAAAGGTTTCTTTTGTGAAAGCCGAAAACACGTCATGGTTGAAAGGGCATCCGTTGCCTCGACATTCTTTATATAAAGAGATTCTCTTCTCTCATCTAGACGGGCCCTTTTTCTTGCATTAGGATCGCAACGAGATCAAACTCTACACCCCAAAAAGCTACACCCCAAAAAGCATCAAGTCTTATCACACACATCCCACAGTTTTATATATCCCAGTACTTTTAATAGTTATTCAATATGTCTTCCTTCGTCAACAAGATCAAGGAGACCGTCGGCGGCCACGAGTCCGGGTAAGCTTTTTCGCTTTAACTAACACGGAACAAACCCTTACACTGCATTCGCTGTAGAAGCTAACTGAGAAGGTATAGTACTCAAAAAGGTCAAAAGGGCCAAGGTCGTGAAGGTCGATATGAAGGGGGCACCGAGACCGGCGCCGGTAGCGAGTTCGGCCGAACCGGCGGCAGTGGAGTCGGTGGCACCCGGTCCTCCGAGTATGAAACCGGGCGTACCACCGGCAGCTCGGGCGGCGGATACGGCAGCAGCGAGACCTCGCGCCGCACCACCGGCCGCGAACAGGGCTTCGAGCAGTCTCGTTCTGGAGCCTACGGGTCGGGCGGTACCTACGGATCCGGCGAATCTGGCGCCTATCGATCTGGTGAATCTGGTGGTACCTACGGTGCCTACGGGTCGGGCGAATCCGGCGGCATGGGTGGAACCTATGGGTCTCAGACCGCTCCGGGCCACCAGAGGAGGGAACAGTATGGCGAGCAGGACCCTGAACGTGAACGCGAAATGCGTGGTGGCTACGGCGGCACTGGTGGCCAAGCCGGTTCCGGAGAGTACAGGACGCAGGGTTCCGGCCGCGAGCACGGTGAGCGAGGCTGGTGATCACGGTCACTACTATGAAAAAAAATAGTTGGTGGCCACTGCATGTAGCCACTACGTTGTGATTTATGTCTTCGGTATGTGATGGATGAGCCTAGTAGATAGTTATATGCCAACCTCTCTCAGAGGTTGGAACTCGAAAACAGAACTAGTTGAATACATGGATGGCTTGGTTTTATCTTCCTTCTTCGTACATAAAAGAGTAAAAAACCACATTGTTCAAGTTGACTCACGTTCAAACCTTATCCTCACTGAGAATTATTTTTCCGATGTCTCATCAACTGTTCTCACATGCAACGGGCAAGCGTATGTATAAGAAGTAAACAGGCCCTCACCCCAGGGCCTCGTTTCTTGAGCGTCACCCGCACCGTTTCCAATTCCCTGCCTCCTCGCCAGAATATTCTCTCAGCGACCCACGATGAAGTTTCCAATCCTCCTTACCTTAGCCGTCTTTGGCCCTCTCGCCATGGCTCTCTCCACCACCAGCGGGGGAGCTGACCAGGTATACACACACCATCTATTGACCCTCTGTGAACGGAAAATGAATGAAGAGCAAAAGAACACATTGCTGATGCTTTCCTGTGTCCAAGGCCAAATGCAATGATAGGTGTAGACCATGTATTGCCGAGTGCTTTGATAGTCAGTCTCCTTTACCCTAACCAACCGCCGCCCAGGCATTATTCCTCAAGAGCTAACATCTGTGTTGTATCTGTGTAGCAAGAGAGGCTCTTCGAGGGTCACTTCAGGGGTCTCCCCACGGAGAGACTCCCGGCATTTCCCACTGCATTTCGGGTTGCAGAAAGTTGTGCAACGACTGCGGAGTGGATTTGGACAAGGCTCTCGCTGAGCACGAGCGGCATCAGAAGAAACGGCCACGTCCACGCCCGCGTCCGTCGAAAGATTCTCCTAAGAAGGACAGGAAGAAGTTTAGGACGCAGAATTAAAAGAAGGATTAAGTGTGGTCGATGTCGCGTCAGAGGATCTTGTTGGAAATCTGCTCGACTTTCTGCTTCAGCACTCTCGATGGGATAATAGTGGCGCATCGAATCTATCTTAGATTTGAAGAGTTGTTTCTTTCGTCCAAAGGGGTTGGCTAGTACGAGAATCATAATTTAAGAAAACCTAACGATGACCTTCGGTAATGGGCTGCCGGGTGAAATGCATCACTCCTATTTAAGGAACTCCTATTTGAGGAACTGCTTGCTGGGTTGTGATATAGATATAGCAAGGATATCATCCAAGCTTAACCACCAACATAGCCAGGCGACTTGTGACCAGATTGTCGTCGCTATGCGGAGGTATCCTCGATGAGAACTCTCTAGAGCGAGATTTTTATTAATTATTTAATTCAGTATTTTCCCTCCATCTTGATAAAAATGCTGATATCGAGAGATTTAAAATGGAAATATCGCTGGGAAGGTGAAGCTGGTGAAGCTGGTGAGACAATTAACATGTGGACAGGATGTGGGGTAATCAAGCTTAGTGGGCAGAAAGATGAGAAAGCACAACACAGCACAGGCGTTTTAATCGTTTAATCCCCGCAGCCTTGAGCTTCCATCATTCCCATCAAATTCATTGCTGTCTCGCAAACGGGCCGCAGCACTGCATTTTCGCTGCCTTGACCTATCCTTGCATTGCATGAAAGAGCCTCAAAAATGCTGCTGCCTTCCTAGAGCCTGGCCGCAATAAGTTCCCAGCTTACTCAGGGTCCTCGTGGATCTTGTCTGGTGCATCAATCTTTGACTCTTCTATTCCCTCCACCCCGCGCCTCCGCCATGCATCGAAGCTCCGTACCAAACCGCGAGCTCACCCCACAACATCCTTCCATCAAATGAGCGCCGCACCCTCGATCCCGCAAGCCCTCTGGGCGCAGCGCATACCGCTCATCATAACGCACTCGTCGGCGCCCACGACGCAGTTCATCACCTCCATTCCGAGGTTTAGTTACCTTGCGCTCCTCCTGCCCCGCCTCGGCGTCTACTTTCGCCTGCCATGCTCGAGCTTCCATCACGAAGAGGTCTTGCTACGGAACCTGGCTGTTGGATTGCTAGTGGATCTCTACCAGCCTACGCTTCCGTGGAAGCTGACTGTTAGCGATGGGTTGGGCTGGGACATTGCTGATACATTCCTCAATAGTGTCAAAGAGGTAGGCTCCACTAGCTTCCTCGTTGCGATGGCTACGTTGTCTTGGCTCTCTATCGTAGTTTTTTGGGCCCTTTTTGCCTTCCTTTCTTCTCCTTTGCATTGCCGATATAGTTACTGACCTCAATATTCGTTGGTTACGAACTAGGCCGACTTCGTACGGAACGGTAATGCCAACCAGATTATGAAGATGTCGCGAACCGACACGACCGCCTTGTGGAATGCAGTGCAGGACAACGACTTCGCTACCTTTTCACGCATTAATAACCGTCTCTTGAACCCGCCGACGCCCTTAAAACACGTTCCCATACGCGTCTACATACCATCTTCCCCGCCAGGGGATGGCTCTGCATCGAGCATGAGCGCAGCCTCTCCTGCGTCTTTCAAGATCGTGCAGACCCTAGTGCCCACCACGACGCCGGCCAACGCTGGTAGAATGTCGATGAGTATATTGCATAGCGCGCGACAGCCTCACGCACCCCAGACGTTAGGTATGGCGCTCAAGGATATGATGCCTGAGCTCTTCCCCAGCAGCCGCGATCCCGTCCTCGCGAACGTAATTCTTAACGGCGTCTCGGTGCCATTTGATGCGCCGTTGGTTGAGCTGATGAAGGAAGCAGCCTACCCTGATGGGTGGCTTTGTCTTGTCGTTGTGCTTTTATGACATGCCTAGAAACGGAGGACAGACTTCTTTCTTTTCTTTTTTCTCTTTCACTGCCCTGGGGCTGGATAGCTGGGCAGTGTTTTTCGTATTTGACGACATGCATGTTGAAAGGAAGGCGTTTTGCCGCCGTATTTGCCTGTGGCGCTTACGAGTTGCACAATTCTCCAGACTTCTGAAATCAGGGCTGGATCAGACCCAGGAGCTGCCTATTTAAATGTCCCCAATCACTTTTTTCCCTTTTCTTTTCTTTTTCTTTCCATAATACCCCTGCTGCGGGCTTGAGTTTCATGAACGTTCCCTGCATTTTCTGTATATTACTATCCTTGACCTCGTCAGATGCTAGATACCAAATCAATCGAGTAAACGAATAAACCGTCCGGCCCCGAGAGCTCATGCCATCACCGAGAATACATGAAATAGATCTTCGAGGACGAGGGGATGTGTAGCTTAAAGATCAACTTGTCGGGGGCGGCCGCCAGACCACACATGATCGCTCAACCGAGCCCCCCAGGATAAGAAATCGATGAATCGATTGGTCCAGGCTCCGGTAAGGGATCAGTTCGAGAGACTCTTGACGTAAAGACCTCACCCATCCAGAGCTGATGGTTTTGCCCTCCACCTCCTCGTTCATGCCCTTTAGCTGAGGTGAAGGGGCACTTTCAAGATCGAGGTGTTACAGTTCGAATCCTTCACCCGTCATGACAGTTTCATTGGAGCTTCCCATTGGCCCCTGAACATTCGTCCACAGACCGTAAACTGGTGGTTCAACCGCATCTTGGATGTCCGCCAACATGAAATGATGGAATCCTCAATTTGAATTCTTCTCCCATCCAACGATTCCCGCCTAGTCTTGGGGGCCGTCTTGTTAGTCGCTGAGCCCTACAGGGCGCAGATCCTAACGAACAATACGAAATTGGAAGAATTCCCTGCCTGGCCTCCCAAGTGGTCGAACACATGCGGGCTGCCACATGAGGCGAAGGGCAGTGCCCGGAATACCTCGACCAGCAGGCAATCTTCCCCGAAACAGTCGTTACGACATTGTGCATCTCGGGTTGTTTCAATCTTACGTGCGTAAGGCATATTCTTCGCGGCTCATCCTGCTTCATGTCAAGTTTTTGGACCCCTACATTTGCGGACTGGCCCCGCCCCCGATCCTTGCGCTTTGGTTTGTTGGCGTTTAGGATTCGATGAATCAACCCCGTGAAGTATGTCCTTCGCAGTTCGTCGGGTCTCCTCAAAGGAAAAGAGCGGTACCAAGGCCGTGGATCTTCGGTGTGTTCCTAGAGAATGTCCAGATCATCCCTGGGCTTCCGGGGCATGGAAGCTCCCTTTCACACCAAGCCCATTAGCAGTATCTGCTGTCCGTACTCCCCGGAGTATTTCTACGTCGCTGTGCTCCGGTACACCAATGGCAAAGGCAATGCCGTGTGCTCCGGGCCTGACGGCGATCGCCTTGTCTTCACCCCTCCTCCCCCTTTTTCAACCAAGCAGGCTTGATAATCATACTTCATAACCGATATTCTCGTGCTTACTTCCCGGTTTGCTTCCTCTCACGTTAACTTTTCTTTCCTTCCTCCCACTCGAACTCCACCATAGTCTTACAGTTTTACAACCTTCGAGATGAATAACTCAGAGAACCAGTACGACGGCCTTCAAGTGGTCCCCAACAACAACATGCCAGACAAGCAGGCCTACGGTGTATATCCCCAATCATCCTACCAGGGAACGACTGTGACGTCCAGTTACATTGGAGAGGATGCGGCGCCAAACCCCGAGAAACGCATAGCGGGCATGCGGAGGTCGACACTCGTCCTCACATCCACAGTCGTGCTCCTTCTTATCGCCATTGCGTTAATCGGAGGACTGTTCGGGTCGAAGATTGGCTCTCTGGAGGACAAGTTTAAGCAGGTTCAAACTCCCACGCCGTGAGTTTTTATAACCCTCGTCTCTTTTCTTCGCCTCGCCTAGCTAGCATCTGAGTTCCGGCCTTGCTTGGCGTCTCATGAGAGATGTACAGCCCCATCTATGATCGCCTAACTAACTCACCCCACCCTATGTCAGAACCACTGGTGGAGGCACAGGCACAGGAACCATCCCAAATCTCGAGGCCACAGTCACGGACATCGCCGTCGACGGCTACCAATACCTCGGCTGCTTCGAGGACGCCTCCGACCGTACCCTCTCCAACACCAGCTTCGACCGCGACACCATGACCAACTCCCAATGTGCCATCTCCTGCTCGCGCTTCAGGTACTTCGGCACCGAGTTCGGCTCCCAATGCTACTGCGGCGACCAGCTCACCCGTACAAAGGCCGTGGCGCCGTGGCATTGCGCCGATCACTGCTCGGGTGCGGAGGCAGGCGCGGAGAATTGTGGTGGTTTCTTCTATCTTAGCTTGTGGCAGAAAAGTTCATAGGCGTCGAAGAGGCGGTAGGGCGTTTTGATATTTGTTGTATTGATGTAACTGTGATATGACTTGAGGATGCATCTGGAAGGAGGATTACGTGCGGATGATAGTCATGACCTTGTTTTGCCGGGGTTCTGGATGATTTGAAAATGTTGTATGGGATATATACCGCGGGTTTGCAATTTTGTTCTTCGTTTCTTGTTTTTCTCACTCATTTACACCATCTGCCGCTTATGAGTCCGCTTGGGACAGACCGCGGTGATTCACATTCTCCAGCCAAGAAGGAAGGATTCTTCACAATTCTGCTACCCCTGACCCTTCACACGGGATTCCCCTGCCAAAACAAGCTCAATATGATAGATGTGAAGGGTCAGCATAGAAAACACCAATTTAGACATGACGGATTCTCGCACAGGTCCCAAACCTGTACATGCGAGATCTCCAAGTGGAATTGAACTCCTCAGGTAAATGTAATCTGCTTCCCCATCAGGCTCCTGTATGCATCATCGAGGACCTGACGCTTCCTCTTCTTCGTCTCCTCATCGTCCCCTTCAAGCCCATCCCCCTCATCAAGCTCATCGGGGTTGTGAATTCGAGGCATCCACACTCTTATATGACCGTCAGCGTGTGACGTATATATCCCTCCGGAAGCCGTTCCGCCACCCATCTCAGGCCCTAGCATTCGGCGGCGGCCTCCGGATCCTCGCCATGCCATGCACGTAATTCTATTCTTCGGCGAAGCTTCGAACGTAGTATACGCCCCCGGCACCCTCATCTTTGAGACGACATAACCTTCGTGTAAATCAAAGACCAGAATCTCCTGTTCGTTGGGCCAGAATAAGAGCTCACGACAGCCGGCAGTGAGGTTACTAGGCGGAACAATCATGTGCAGGGGAGCAAACTGGGAGTTTCGGACAGTAGATCCGAATCCAGAGAGGGTGTTGGCACCCGTCGCGGCATTCCAAACTCGGATACGCCGGTCGAGCCCGGCCGAGATGATGTAGTTTCCATCGTCCGTCCAAGTTAGACCGTTCACCGCGTCGGCATGAGCTACGGCCGCTTCACGTACTTTAGGCATGTAGCTCCAGCCCAAGCCAGACGCCATGGCGTGATTGAAACGGTGGACTATACCGAGTGAATCCTCCATGTCTAGCATACCCAATGGGTTGAGAGCCCGGCGGATATCCCAGACGCGAACTTTTCCGTCGGAGTGGCCACTCGCCAGAACGCGCTCATGGCGCGGGCTCCAGCAGACGGAAAATACGGCTCCACCGCTTGCTAGGAGACTCCTAGCAGCAGAGTTGGTCCTAAGATCCACGAGGCGAACGTTCGATTCCTGTGTCGCGCAGGCGACGATGGGTGATATGGGGCTCGGTGCATGAGCAAAGACCTTCGCCTTGATGTCGTAGTGTGCTGTGACGGACGAGGTAGTGCATGACCAAAGCTTCAAGGACTTGTCGAAAGAACTTGAGATGAAGTGATCTTTTTTCAGAGGGTGGAAGTCCAGATGGGTCACTCCGCTGATGTGGCCTTCCATGAACAGCTGAGGACGCTGGCGACTAATAGTGCCTACAGGCCTGTGAAGACACGGCTGGTGAGGATTGGGATTGGCCTCCAGATCCCATATTTTGATCGATCCATCTGATCCTCCAGAAACCATTCTAAATTAGACTGTTAGTGACGCGTCTCTTTGAAACCAGCACAAAGCTCCTATCAGACTCACACCTTGCCATCGAACTTCTCGATTGCTAGACTATTCGCACCCCCATTATGCGCTCGTATAGAGGTGTCATGAATCTTTTCACCCTGGGCCTCTTCGTCCCCAGCGCGACGTCCACTAGTTCCATCAAATCGATGGTTTTGAGCGAGCGCAAAGGAACGCAGAAGATCGGTGGTGACGGTTTTGGCAAAGTCACGAGGGTTCAGCGAGCCGACCTCGCGGGAAAACAAACGGTCCTGCATTCATTCTAAGAGTATTCAGACTCGGGGGACATTGGCTCTGGATAATTGCCTATGTTAAATTTGCCCATTTATGTTTTGCAGGCTGCCGACGTGAGATGAAGATGCTGGATCGTGACGCGGGAGCCTGCGGAGGCTGTTTCGGAGCATGCGTGTTATGTGATGACAGATGACATCATCTGCCAAGCATCACTCGCCGAAATTTGGGTTCCACGAGGAACTTCACTTCTACATCCAAGCATCTAGGCTCTCCCGGATACCTGCAATTACGGTGTTTTTCTTCAATAGCAATGAAGAGGGCGTCCCAGCCATATCAGGATGGTTTTCTCGGATTTATTTGTCAATTACACGTAGCCACCAATCCCAGAGACCCCGCCTGAGGGCAAGCGTTCACCATATCTCTGAGCCCAGCCAACTCATCGCGATGGCATCCACCAGTTCTCGCGGGAACACGCCCGCTGCTGGGCATCCGACGCTGCCGACCGGAGACGAGCGAAAAGCGTCCGGACCCGAACTTCGGGACATGACAGGGCTCCGCAGGCGCCAAGCTACTGTTTACGATGCCGTTGCCGGTCAGTTCAACATTGCCAGTCGCTCCTCTCCAACTCGGGCACGTTAAACCTTACGCACCTACATGTTTCTAACTTTCCTAATTGCTAGGCCGAGTATCGACCCTTCGGGACGTCGCCTGGAATACGCGGACGGACGAAATGCCGGTACGTGAACTGAGCGCAGCGAGGCACTCGACGAAAAACACCACTCTCTCACCTGAGGAGGTGCTTTTCCGTCGCAAGGAAGCTCCCGATCGATGGCCGCACTACGATATCTATATGGCTCATGAGCACGACCTACCCGAGGCCGGACGGGGAATACTACCTTCCAGCGACCTACTGAAGGCCGTCCATTCGTATACAAGCCACTTCTACGATGCCCTAGGCGACCACGGCAAGCGCGAGTCGCACTACGTTGGTCGTCGAAATATAAACGAAGCGAGTATGGATGAAACAGCACTTCTGGCTCTTGGGATTTTGCTAGAAGAGGCGGGCAAAGAGGTCCTGGGGAGAAGAGGGGACCTAGTCTTCACGGAAGGAGAGGAAGTGTTCGCGAAGGGAGAAGAGCCAGAGCCGGAAGAACACCTGCGCGCCGATTCTCCCCGTCAGCCTCATGGCTCTCTCAACCAAGAGCTCAGCATTCGTATTTCAGATAGACGCAAGCGACGAAGACTCTCGGGGGCCCCGTCGACAATGTAGCAGAGCGGCGGCCTAATTGCCGAAAGCGGCGAGGAGGCATTTGGTTCGTGATATTAGCTCTCGGTGAAGTGAAGGAACGAGGTGAGGTGTGGGTGTAGTAGTGGTAATCCTACGGAGAAGACTTGCCAGGGATGGGCCCGTCGTGGCAGGTTGAGTGGAGCAGATAGCTTCGGAAATGAGGTCCTCTCTGTCGGTAACGAGTCATGATTCACGAACTGGAGGATACCAGGAATACATCATGACGAGTACGAATTATCTTGCTCGATTAACCTTGCTGGTCCCCGAACCCCCTGTCATATCTTCCATATATTGGGTGTCATTCATTTGACAGAGAGATTCACAGGGGTTTCTCGGCCGTGCTCCACTTTCACCACTCTGCGGGTACGGAGTACGAAGTAGACGGAGAGTAAGAGCAAGCTTTTTCACCATCGACAACGAGGCCTTTTTTTTTTTTTTTTTTTTTTCAACCGGTGGACGAGAGAACCCTTGGATCTCCTGGCCTTACTTGCCTACCTTATTACCCATAAAAACGGTGGCGATAGGTGGAAGTGGGGACAGGGTTCTGGCAGCTTATACGTGCCCTCGTATCTCCCATCCCGAGATGAAACAGAAGAAACATCTCTTCGGAGCCGGGGCGCGAGAGTAACCCACCCCCAATACCTTTTTGGTACTGCTCGAAGTACGAAGTACTGGGACTACTTTCAGCCAGGATCTGGGCCATCATTCCCTTTCTGAGGCATGTGAAGGAAAAGAGACGTTTATTTGGATTTGCCAGGCCCTTCGACTATTAGTCTTGGCAATGGAAGGGGAGTCTCGCGTTCCCTTTCGTACGTGTACTCACACCACCTCCCTCCTTCGCGAGACGCGGCTCAAACCCTTGCTCACCGAGCTGTGTCTCACTGTCATCAGTGACCCCTGTCTTGCACTGTCTGGGGTAAGCTTAGTGCTTCTCGTAGAAGGAGGGACGTGCCTTCGCTGAAGCAGGGTCTCGGAAAAACCGTCATCTTACTGCCTCATTCTCATCGGTGATGGGAGATTGGAATGTGGAGGCTGACGGCTCCACATGGACGGAGCAATCATTATTATCCTATCGATCTTTGATTTTTCGTGAGATTGACATGCGCAGAGTGACACAAGGAAAGCAGCAGTTGAGCATGCATGTACTCTGTATTATCCGTAGATCTCTGTTTTCTTCTCTCCTCCTGCGTGTAACGTGTACACGCACGCACAGGTACACACAAACAAACTTCTGGTTTCCATCAACGATCAAGAAGGAGTGTCCAAGGGCAGCAGGAATAGGTGCAAGCGGGTTTAGGCGTGCCATGATGGAACTCACCGCCCCTTCGAAGATGATGACTCGCTGTGGCTAGATTTTGTTCAGCTTGTAAATGCTGGTTCCCAATATCCAGGATCCCGCAGAAACCTTCTTGACATGAAGAAAGACGGACAACCTTGGAGTAGGAAGCAAGCCACACATCTGACGTGGTGTTTCTCGCAGGACCGTGTCAAGGCGGAAATGCCGGACAGCCTCAAGAACCGGCCCTCTCTCTCTGTGTGTGTGTGATGAAGATGCTAGCCATATGCATCCCTAGTTCGCGGTTCTGACCGCCCATTTCCGTCCGCCTCGCTCTTCCTCGGTTTTCTGTCCTTCCCAACTTGCTTTTTCTTTCTGACTCTCTTCCTCCGTTTTCCCGCTCTCGCATCCAGAACGTATCATGCAGAGAGAAAGACATAACGTATGTAGCAAACGGAATTTCTACAGTCCTATCATTATCTCGGAGGAGCGGAAGTAGCGTCGACCGGCGAGTCACACGACCTTTGTTTCCAGCCAGAGGAAGCAAACAGAACATGACGCCAACAGCAAACCAAAAGCACTACAGCCCCGTTGTCATACAAGTGCAGGTTTCCTTCCCAGCTTCATGCATTCTCGGCATCTGTTTTGGCCTAGGGCTGATGCTCATTCGCAAGAAACTAAAAACCCCCCAAAAATAAAAAGAAAAATAGACACGTGGGATGCTTCAAGTCCAGAAGGTTGGTCGCACATATACGCTGTTGTACACCATGCCAGCGTCCTAAAAAATACACACTTCTTTTCTTACATCCCTGGCGGGTTTTCTGCCTCTTTCCTATCTAAGTATATCGAGGAGAGTGTCTGGGAATCCGCATTTTCACCGCTCCTTTCCGTCTATAGATAGGCACGGAGGAACCAGGTAGGAAGCCATCGTAACAAAGAATAGAATGCCGTGTTTAGTCTTATCCCGTAGTGGCTAGGCATCTAGCAGCCCAAGCAAAAGGAACATTCTCTACTGATTCTCGTTTTCTCACCCGGAAAGGTCAAAGACGCCACGTGCCGCTGCCTCTTCTCTTTTTAGAGAGATGAGAATGGCGATTTGGTGATAGGCTTGCCCTGGGCACAGCCGTGCGGTTGTCACGCTGTAGCATTATCACATCACAGTGAGACTGGCGAAGGCGGTGGGGCCTGATATTCTAGGTTGAGGCCTGATGGCCGGCCGGTCATCGTGCAAGTGCCCGGCTTGTTTCCGTGGCCTATCTAAAGCCATCAACATGGCGGGTTTTGTGGCCGTTCGACGATGGTAGAGGGGCGTGTGTGCGAGGCGGGCATCGGAATCGGTAGGGAGCCACGATATCGTTACTTGCTTGGCGATGTGACAGATAGAGAGCGAGGACACCATCAATTATCGTTTTGCAGAGTTTGCACTTTCTATGTGACCTCTGGACGCATCTGAGCCTGCAGAGCAAATCAAGATAGACTTCGGACGGAAGATCGATAGGCCAGCGGCCCCGCTAGGCAGCTTCCGACGGAGATTCTTCTGTGTCGGCCAGCGTGGGCATCAATTGGAAACGGTTGTGTTGGACAGGTGTAGCTCGCCGTCTTGATATCTACAGGATACCGGACCTATTAGCACGAAAATCTGCGACCATAACGGGCAAGCAAACGGCAGCGTCCTTCCCCGCATCGAGTGGACGAATCTAGAACTCATCTTCCGACGGGCGCAAAGGTTGCAGGTCTTTTCTTCGTTGTAGAGCGGGCGCCCATGACAAGCGGCTTCCCGGATCAAGAAAATAGGCTTCACCAATGCCATCTAGTCGCTTCGCCGCCAGCGTCCGATTCGACTGGAGAGGTCTGGTTTCTCCTGTGGAAGTGATGATAAGAAAGCCAGGCAAAGCTGCCGCCTATGCCACTCGGGAGAATGTGTCTAGCTCAGAAGACTCTGAAGACTTGCATCGATGTACACTTCAGCTATATCTCCGGATGTTCAACGTCTAACTACTAGGGAGTTTTCTGAGACTGCACTGTCAGAGAAAGAACGAGGTAGTCCAGCCGCTTAGGCACCACTCCTCTTGCACCTTTTACTTCCCGTCGACAGATGAGTTGCGGGGCACTGGCTCGATCTGTTTTGGGGGGGAACGTTGAACGGGAAGGTGTCGAGCGCAATATTCGGCGACAAGCACGGGTGTCCCAACCTCTTCATCGACGTCGTAAGATAAGTTGCCCCTTTCGAGTAGTCCAAGTAGGACGGCAGTAACGTCGCCGGCGGGCTAGAGGACGTAGTAAATCCATTAGGATCATCATATTGGCCCTGGGAAGCGGGAGGGTAAGGAGCGTGTGGAGATGGGCGGAACCGCAAGTGTGCTTACACACAAACAACGCACACACATGCACACACACATACTCTCTCTCTCTCGTACCCACAGTAGAAGTTGGAGGGGCGTGGTGGAACAAGAGGAGAAAAGATGGGAATGCTCGGGTCGTCTTTTGTCACATCCTCATTGACACCTCGACAAGTTCGAAAGGGGGAAAGGTTCGTCCCTTGGTCTGAAGTTATATTAGGCTGTCGTGTTCTATATCGAGGTCTTCCTCTCTCTGACCGGCGTGGTAGGGGTGGAGTTTCTGTGCCAGATGGAACTTCAAAGCGTCAATATTCCAGGCAAGGGGTCTCTCTAAAGGAATGAGATCTGCCGCGTCGTGATCGAGTCAGTTCCAGGTTCGGCAGGAAAGCTCAGGCATTAAGATTCCCGGGTTCGAAGTTGCTACAGCTACTTCCATACATTCTGAGGTCCCAGTTTAAGCATGTTGGAGACACGGACAGATCTATCATAATTGACATGGAGCAATGGAGATATACCATCCGTCACACGTGTGTTGGTTCCAAAAACATTGTGTAGCCATGCAAGAATCGGTCCACCCCGTCCCTCGACTCGTCTCATCTGACGAGGAATCAATATAAACTGCTGCTGCAGGCGTGCGGCACCGTCTCCAAGATCATACAAACTGTAGAAAACGAGGTACCGCAAACTGTAACTATGAAAGGAGAAACAAAAAAGAAAAAAAAAAAAAAGGTACACGTTGTGTTGGTTCCCGGCCGAAAACAATCAAACAAAAGTTGTGACGGAGAGGGGACGATCGCTTGACTGGCCTGCCATATAGCTCGGGAGTGATATATAGCAAGTGATAATGATCCCAAGGCGCATGTATCGGTCGATGTTTTGACGGAATGGAGTGCGCGAGTTACACTCCAGGAACAGGATCAGCCATCCATTCTTCTATAGCAAGGCTATTATTGCAGGAGAAGAAGCTGGGAACGAGGCTACGCTTCCACGGAAACGATTGATTTCCACCTCTCTGAGAAGCGACGCGGCAGGACGGGGACGAGGCAAAGTAGGATTTTCATCTCGATTGATATCCCGATGCCGTACTCCTTTTGCTCTCACCTTGCTGTCGAATGGAACCGGACAAGCCGAAGGGTTTTTTTTTCCTCCCACACTTCAGAGTGTATCCTCCTGCGCTCACATTCCCGTGTATATACTTTGTACCAATTACACGCGATGATTCTACTATGTTCTTGATGAGGTCTGTCCTTCTTTGTCATGGATGGGGATGGACTGTTTGATCAAGCCCTTCTCGCCTAATCTACAATAAGGCCAGCAGCAGGGTATTATCTATCACGAGGTTTGGCATTGTTATTATCCTCATATGT